GGCCTGATATTTGAGAGTGATTTTGAGCCCGAAGCTCTAATTGACCCACAGCTCCGCCAGGCGCCAGAGCTCTTAATTGAGCTTAGAATTAGGAGCTCCCACTCTGAGCTAGAACTCGGAATTGAGCTCGCAATTGAGAGCTCCCACTCCGAGCCAGAACTCAGAATTGAGCTCGCAATTAAGAGCTCCCACTCTAAGCCAGAACTCGGAATTGAGCTCGCAATTAAGAGCTCCCACTCTAAGCCAGAACTCCGAATTGAGTTCGCAATTAAGAGCTCACACTCTGAGCCAGAAATTGGAATTAAGCTTTAGCGTGGGACTCGGGCTTGAGTGCTAGCTCAGCATAGGACGAAGCTTTAGGCTACAGCCGACCCTGTAATTAAGAGAGCTATAGCAGCTACTTAAAGAGCAAGGGTTTCTATGATACGTAAGTATACTAAGAAGCACGATATCTAACACTTTGATATTAGAGCTATAGTCTCTATAAAGGTTCCTTAAGAGGATAGAACCTCAACTGATAATAAGAGGCTATTTACAAGAATTCTAGAAGAGCCTTACCCTCATAGGTATCGGATTCTTATAGCTTCTAGTATTATACAACGCCTTATTCCTACTAAATCACTTAGAGTTATAGAGCGAGCTCTATAGGGTAATATAGTAATTCCTACTTCTACTAAGGAAGTAGGCCTAGGGCTTGCAGCTAGAGAGGCTTCTACAAGTGCTTAGGTTGGAATATCCTGTCAGTGCAAAGGGCTGTGTAGTACGAAGAGGTGTAGGTGTTATAAGGAAGCAAAGGAGTGTAGTGTACACTGCCATAACGATGACCACGACTATGGCAATTTATCAGGTCTTACTACTCGTACGGAAATAGCTTTAGTTGAGAGGCCGACGCGGAAGCGGGCTAGAGTAGAGTAGGTAATTCAATTCAATTCAATATACTATTCTACTATTCTACGTATATGTTGGTGGTTGGGCCGGAACATATATGTTTTTCACGACCATTCCATTTACTAGTAGGTATCTGAATAACCTCCCTTGTTCCACGTCTCCCCTAGGCTAACCTATACATTAGACTCTAGAAGTCTTCTATCAGCTCTTGGTATACAGAACCCAGTGAAAAAATTCTTGATAGATTTGTGGTTATCTATGTCAACAACCATAGAGATATCTAGATCCCGTTAATCCCATTAATGTAACCTTCACAGAAGTCCACTCACACTGGTCAGGCCTCACAATCGCAACTGCTCCTTGCTCTGTATCTATCCCATATAATTCATATGCCTTTCCATGTCCACTATTATAGCTTTCATGGTCAATGAACGTCTTGTGTAAATCTTATAGGTTGTTAGCGCTTGGTCATTAAAACCCAGGAATATACAAACCCCGAATCTGCCAGTTTCCGGATTCTGGCCAAAAATAAGCTGGTATTTGCTCTTGCTCTATGCGCGCCTCGCCTCGGGAAAGTATAAGTATTGGTTCAATAAAGCTATCTATGTCGAGAGAGGCAGGCGTGAATTGCTGTACAGGACCGTCTGCTGACGATAGAAAATCGCTAAGCTAGAGAGCAAAGTCAGTTTATGAGTTGTCGCAGCCCCAGTTAGAAGCAAAGATATATATACCTTTTTGAGGCGAGTGCTGGCATATTCATTTTGGATGTCGCCAGCAAAAATAACAATGCGCCACCGACCATCCGCTGGCAGTGCTGTTGCAAGGTGCATTGCTTTTGAGTCGCACAGACGCACAACTTGAGCACTTGGGAAACGCATTCCAACCACCAGATTGGTTGCAAGACGTTGACAGCTCCATTCAGAACGAGTAATGGGGGAATCGTCATACTTAGCGGTCAACCCAGCAGTGTATTTACCCGCCTTAACAAATAACTCACTGAAATTCTCCGACACTCCATTCGAATCGGTGCCAGCCTTGGATGAAAACGCCCTGGCAAACTCCCGGTCAAAGTTGATGAGATCTGCTGCGACCTTCTCTCGCTCTAGGTTATATGTCTTCAAAAGATTAGAACCAACTTGTCCTTTCAAAACTGCCGCTAGCTTCCATCCTATGTTATACCCATCTTGCAGGCTAACATTCATTCCTTGACCGGCCTTTGGCGAATGAGTATGGCACGAATCACCAGTAAGAAAAACGCGGTTATCTTTCGAAAAGTGGTCGGCAAGCCGCTGTCCAATGGAGTAAGCCGACCACCAAAATGTTTCTGCGATATCGAGGTTGTAAGGATGAAAGATGCGACGAGCCGCATAATGCAACTGTTCGACAGTGACATCTTTCGCGACAGTTCCACTAGGTAATTCAGTATAAAACCGAACCAATGAACCTCCTTCACGGGGGATGATCAATAGGCTTCCTGCGGTGGTTTGCAGTACACATTTCTTTCTGATGTCTGGAAAATTAGTCCGTGGATATACATCCATAACCCCCCAGACTGAGTTGGTGCTGTCTCCTATCATCTTGAAACCGAGTGACCTCCGGACCGAGCTGTGCGCTCCATCGCACCCCTATATAAACTTAGACGAGTTCGACCATCTAAACTGGCAACACTCACCAACGCATACTTCGCCTTAAAAACCTCCTCCTTGCCATTCCTCATAGTCTTTATCGTTACACAGTAGGCTTCTGGGTCCGAAACTGCAGCGCTATCCACTTTGACATTCTCGACCCGATATCCATAGTCAACTTTTTGCCCGTTAAACTTTCTCATAGCATCGAGTAATAACTGGTTAACCCTCGCTTGGTTTAGGATGACGTGTGGCATACGGGAGAGACCTGGGGCAGTATCTGCAACTTGAGACTTCCTCTCAATACCACCATGCTCACTAGAAGCCCAAAATGCAACCTCGATGACATGATAGGATTCACGCAGCAAATCTTCGGCGATGCCAAAACTATCAAAAACCTCTACAGTCCGGCACTGCACCCCATCTGCTTGGCCGATCTCCATAGGCCCGGCGCGGGAATCTACGATCTTGCAAGTGAGACCGCATTTTGCTAGCCACGTTGCGGCACACAATCCTGCAGACCCACTGCCGCAGATGAAGACATCGACTTTTGTATCCATGACACGCAGGATTTGAAAAAGATTGAAGAAGCGTGTTGAATTTGCTAAGTCGACTTGCAGACGAAGGTTCACCAATATGAATGGTCCGGATGTACGTTGCCATGTCCCTTGTACGGGTTGGACGGAACCGGAATGGGGTAATCATTCCGGGATCGTAGTTCCGGTCAGCTCCGCGGTAATGCTATGTTTTCTACCCACAGAGCGGGGCCTAAGGTCCAACTCCCAGCTCCGTGGCAATGCTACTAATTCAGAATAATTAATCTTTGAAGACCATACCTATTGGTGCATGTGAAAGACGCCCATCTGTTGCTACTGCGGTTAATTGCCGTCACGCATAACTTTCAGCCTAGCATATGATGAGTGTAAGGTTGTCGCGGGGCCCCGCACTCTGGACGAGGCCTAGCAAGGATTGGAGGCGTTATAGAAGTATAAAAGGAGAGAATCTATCTGTACCCACGGTTAAGGGGGGGTCTAAGCAAATACGACGGCAGCAACGTAAAGCTGAGAATCTATATCGCTGCAGAGACGTTGCTCCCTTGTATAATATTAAGCAAGTTCACTGCAGCTATTACTGTCTATAGCCCGCAATTACTTGATATCTTGCTAGTAAAAACACCGACTTCATTCATTTACTCATTACATTACCCTCATTACGGCGACAGAATGACCCTTCTGGCCGTGATCCCCCCGAAGGCTGGGAGCCACGCCCCCATCGCAGTTGCTCTGCCCGATCCTCCGGCCAGCGAAGCCTTTACTGAAGGCCAATGGACCTCGTTGCTGGCTATTATGGACACTGTGGTCCCGTCGGTTCGAAGAGACGCAGTGGCTACCGATAAGATTAATCAACACGCTATCTCGGACGTAGAGTATGCCAAGGCGGCGGAGCATCTGCAGGGAAATGTCTCGCAGGCTTCGGGCACGGCAGCTCTGGATGCGTATCTAGAAGAGCGGCCGTCTGATAACCCCCAGTTCTGCGAGCTGTTGATGAGGACGCTGGTGGTGTTCACTAGCGAGACCGCGAGGAAGAGACTCTCGCTGGTCTTATCTGCCTTGGAGTAAGTTTGAATAGGGCCACTTAGCCCTGAACCCCGTCCTTCCGCCCCCCAATCCGGCCTCAAGATCAGCTATCTAACTTCCTGCCCCAAGCACCCGTGTCGGCTCCCTCATCCTCACCGGTTCTCCAACTCCTTTCACCCAGCAGCCCCTCGCTGTACGCGAGCTTATCCTCCAGCGCTGGCGCCTCTCCTACATCCCCGCTCTGAACGGCTTCTACAAGCAGATGACAGTTGCGGCCAAGAACCTGTGGATCAAGACTAGCCCTAGCTTCTACCATCTGTCTGGATTCCCACAGTTTCCTCCCGAAATGGAGCGCGGAAAGCTCTTCCCATATGAGTTTCTAAAGTTTACTGCCAACCCAGAGCCCGAAGTCATCGAGACAGACATCGTGGTTGTGGGTTCGGGATGCGGTGGCGGAGTATGCGCGAAGAATTTGGCAGAGGCGGGACTTCAGGTTCTGGTGGTGGACAGAGCGTACTTCTACCCTACAGAGACCTTCCCCATGAGTGAGGAGGCGGGAATGGTGAATATGTTTGATAATGGGGGTTCGACTTTCAGCGACGACGGATCAATTGCGGTAGTATCGGGCAGCACCTGGGGAGGCGGTGGGACTGTTAACTGGTCAGCGGCTCTACAGACTCAGGGCTTCGTACGCAAAGAGTGGGCGCAGGACCGAGGGCTGACCTTCTTTGAGACGTCTGAGTTCCAGAATTGCCTGGACCGCGTGTGCTATCAGATGGGCGTCTCGGCAGAGCATATAAGACATAACCACGGCAACAACGTCCTCCTGGATGGGGCCAGGAAGATGGGATACGCGGGTAAAGCGGTGCCACAGAACACAGGCAATAAAGAGCACTACTGCGGCCACTGTTCGTTGGGTTGCGCCGCGGCTGAGAAGCAGGGCCCGACTGTCGCGTGGCTCCCGGACGCTGCTCGAGCCGGTGCTAAGTTTATTGAAGGCTTTACCGCACACCATGTATTGTTCGACGAGTCAAGTGGTCAGAAGACGGCGGTGGGAGTCGAGGGGACGTGGGTCTCGAGAAATAGCCGTGGGGGGGTCGACGGACAGGAGCCTGATCGCACAGTCAGAAAGGTCATCGTCAAGGCCAAGAAGGTCATCGTCTCATGTGGGGCGCTATGGAGTCCGATCCTGTTGCTCCAGAGCGGTCTGAAGGTGAGAGAGCGCCGACTAGAGTCCGAATGGTTTGCTAATATAGATAGAACCGACATATCGGCCGAAATCTATATCTTCATCCCGTAAACATTATAAGCGGCCTCTTCAAAGAGGATGTACGGCCGTGGGAAGGTAGGTTCACTTCCCCGCATCCCCCAACCCCCGTTTCTTCGTATACCTCCAATCTGACTGTTGTAGGTGGTATTCTCACATCGGTCGTCTCTTCCTTTGAGGACCTCGATGGCCACGGTCATGGCGCCAAGCTAGAAGCTATGCTCATGATCCCATCCCTCGCCATGAGCATGTCAAACGTCACCGTAGGCCTCGACTTCAAGAAGCTCGCCCTCAAATTCCGCCACACTAACAGCTGGATCTCTCTTGCCCGGGACCGCGATTCTGGCCGCGTCTACCCCGACCCTAACACCGGCGGCATCCGCATCGAATATACACCTAGCGCCTTTGACCGCCAGCACATCTTGACCGGCTGTGTCGCCCTCGCGAAGATCGCGTACACCGAAGGTGCTATCGAGATCCACACCAGTATCCCTAGTGTCGCCCCGTTCATCCGCAACGCAGACGAGGCTTCCATCCCCTCCACCAAACCCGAGGAGATAGACCCCGGCGTCTCTGACCCGCGCTTTCAAGCCTGGCTTAAGGAGCTCTGGCGTGCCGACAACAAGCCCCCAGGTGCTGGATTCGCGTCCGCGCATCAGATGGGCACAAACCGCATGTCCATACGCGAGAGCGACGGAGTTGTGGATCCCAAAGGCAAGGTCTGGGGAACTGAAGGGCTATATGTCAGCGATGCGAGTGTTTTCCCAAGTGCCAGTGGTGTCAATCCCATGGTGACGATCATGGCTATCAGTGACTGGATCTCCAGAAACATGAGCAATGAGCTTAGGAGCGCGGACGGTAAGTTGGCAAGGCTGTAGGGTAGAACCTAGTGTAATTGTTAGCAATTAATGTGATGCAGAATGGTTGAAACAACTAATACTAACTATTAAAGTTGACATAGCTGGAAATCAAACCGATTGGGATAGACATTCCTCCTTGCCTCAATATTTGAGTCGCTTTGAATATCTATGCAGTGCTATCCTGTTTAGATTGATGTCCTAATTAACCTTTAAAAAACCGAAAAATCTGCGCTGTTAGTGGTGTTTTCCTTTTATCACGTGAGGGTATATATTCAGTGGGCGATCAATCACCCGCATCAAGAATTTAGCGTACGACGCCAAGAGATGGAAATTGCGATGGTCGAAAGACTTGAGCACTATTTTCAGATTGTAATCTATCTGTATTTAAATATACAAGCTATTATCAGGGCTTTTTAACTTCCGAGCTGCGTGTATAGCTGCGTGACCCTATTTTGAAGTTGTTATAGATGACACCTTAAACGAACGTGAGTCCAGAATATCTCTCGAGGAATATGAAAACTTTCGCCGTGAGGCTCGTTTTTTGATATGTCCTTTCTAAGCGCAACGATGCTAAAAACCAATCATCACCGTGCATCTTCCAGGTCTCGTAATAATATCCTCCGCCTCTCATCTCTACCAGCCCTCCCGTCCCATTCAGTATGATTTGATCCTCCATACCCCATGTTGCTTTCACCTCATCAGACTTTATTTGCTCTAATTCTCCAGGTCCAAACATATGAAGGGTTTGAGCGTTTGCGAAAAATTTGCTGAAGAAGCTTGTAAATGCTTGGGAGGAAGAGAAAACAAGCGGGGTCTTTCCAGCCACTAGAATAGAGCCGTCGGAATCGAAAAAGCTGAGTTCTGCATTAGGCAGTGCAACTTCTGCAAATTTGTTCCATTGTTTGGTGTCGATGTATCGGCCGTACTGTGATTTCTTCCGGAATATTGTCTCGGCGATTTCGATTGGAACTGGCATTGTATACTATCTACAACTTATCCCCTTGGAGGCTGCCGAATGGTTGTAAAAACTAGTATGTTGAATTGCGAGCATTCAGTACTGGGTAATAAAAGAAATAAGAAATCCTGCCAGCTCTTCGTAGAATGAGACGTTGACTGAGCCCCAGCTCCGGCCTACCTATATTGATCTTAGGTGGTCGAAACCGCCGAGATTCCGTGGATATGAGAGTTTCGGATAGTTAGCAAAACCGACGGGTGATAATTGTGCCGTACCTCCGAAGCGGACTAACATCATCTTGTTCCGAAAACATCGGGATGTCCGGAACAACTCCGTGTCCATCCTTAAATGCTACTTTGCCCCGTCATCTCCATGAAATGACCATCAATCTTCCCTACCATTCCGTTCCGAACTGCCATGACAGAACCTAGAGGTACCGCCCCTCTTTCTGACGACCCGGTCGCTGCCTCAGAAGCCTTGACAGCTACTGCTGAACCGGCGGCTACTGCTGATTTGCCCCGACCTCCGAAACGCCGGAAGATCTCAAGTGCATGCGAGCCCTGTCGCGCGCGAAAAACGAGGTGCGATGGCAATAGACCGATGTGTGGACCTTGCCAGTATAAACCAAAGAGCCAGCAGTCGTGCGTTTACGCCAGAGACCCTACCAGCAGGAATGGTAACGGAGAGCACGATGTATCTACTAGAGGCTTGTTAGATCGAATCCAAAGCCTAGAGCATGTTATTGCCTCCTCTTCCTGGCAACATGCCAGACAGCATGAAGAAGCGGACCCTAGCTCTCCCCAAGGTATGCGTGAGGTAGGGGTAACTACAACAGTGTCGAGTCCAAACGTCTCTACACTTAGCGCTTCAAGACGCCCTGTTACTATTAGCACAGGGCCTCAAAATCTTCGAGGGGATGAGGGTCCCCATTCCGTCAACCATCTACCTTCTCCTCACGCAGCTCATCAGAGTACACTTTCGGCTGCAGATGTAGAGGACTCATCTAGCCCAGTTAATGCAATGGGTTCGACAGCCTTCAAGGGAGGCGGATCTACCTTACCGCTAAGTTCTGTAAACGAGTTTTATGGCGGTTCTTCTGCTGCTCGTTTTATGGAACAGGTTGAAGAGACCATACCGGGTACTAATCAGCCACAAAGTTATGCTACACGACCACAAGCCAATCTACGCAGAGCTTCTAAACCCGTCCGCCGTGCATCTAAACCCCAGGGTCTCTCTCTCCCTACTCGCGACTTAGCAGACACACTGTTAGAGAACTATTGGGCTAAGTCGCACAGCCTGTATCCTTTCGTCTACAAACCAGTCTTTACTCGTGCGTACGAGGATCTATGGAAACCTGTTGAGCTGCATAGAGGGCAAGGGGAGAGTAGAGACTGTGATCTTGGGCTGGGCACCCCCGGAATATCAGACTCTCAGTCTACTGTTTATCACTGTGCCCTAAATGCGATTTTTGCCTTGAGTTGTCAATTATCGGGACCAGAGATATTACAGCATGACCGAGATTCCTTGTCACAAACCTTCTTCCTCCGCTGCAGAGGCCTTCTTCATGTTGATATCTTAGACCACGGAAGCATTGCACTCGTGCAAACCTTGTTGATCGTTGCTCAATACCTTCAAAGCACTTCATTTTCCAGTCGTTGTTGGACGTCGCTTGGGTTGGCCTGTAGGATTGGACAAGGCATTGGGCTACATGTAGAAACTAGTGGCTTTCAGAGAGATGAACGTGAGGTTGAACTTCGCCGCCGAGTCTGGTACGGCTGTACAGTCATGGACATGTAGGCTTCGCTTTAACATTCTGAGATTGGATGCTGACTTGTTTAGCGTTGCGAGTACTACCCTTGGACGCCCCATGATGACTCCTTCTCGGGTCACAATACCTCTACCTTCCATATCGAAAACAAGTGTGCAAGAAGACCTAGATGGCACGTCTTCTCCGTTTTACATTGAGACAATCAAGCTCTATACAATTCTGGGAAGGATCGTGTCCACTGTCTATAGCCCTTGGTCCCCGCAACTCGCGACCTGTGATCTCGAGCGAAATGAGAACTGCAGCCACAGCCAGCTATCCGAATCGGAAGCTGTCATGTCCTTTGATGAGGAGCTTTCGGACTTCGAAGAGGGCATCGCAACTTGTCTCCACTGGGAAAGGGGCATTAGTACGAGAAATTCTTTGCGAGATGAGTCTCAGCATTTGCTCCAGCGCCAATCTAATGTACTCCATGCAAGGTGAGTCAGATAAGCAGACATAAAAAATATCGCCATTAATCCATTGAAGGTATCTTCATGTTCGAGTCCTTCTATACCGTCCAACAATCTTACGCTTTTGCCAAAAGATGGTGTCGGCATCTCAACCTTCCTCGATTGAGGCACCGAACGATTTTAAAAAGGACGAAAACCTTCGGTCGAGGATGAACGTTCAATCATCGGTTATATGCGTAACTACCTCCATTGATCTGATAAGCTCATTGCACGACTCGACGACTAAATCATGTGACGGTGCTTGGTGGTACACAACCTTTTGTAGGTGTATACCCAGTCTCTATATCTGTTCTCACTCCTAACGTTTAAATTATTAAGATCTCTGCACTGCAGCGACGGTTCTGATACTTGCCAAAGCCTGCCATAGGCTGCATCAGTATACGTCTATCGATAAAATCCGCGAGGCTTGGACCCTGTGCTGTAAAACATTGGGTATCCTCATAAACAGAGGTCATCCGGTGAACCATGCACTAGAGGGTTTGTGCAATATGTATGAGAAATTTGTTGGTACGAGTAATAACACAAGTGCTGCGGCCATTAATGAAGAGCCGCAACTAATTCACACGTGTTTTATAGGAGAAAGCTCGACACAGGGCACAACACAGTCGCAGAGTAGCCTACCTGAATTAGCCTCTGCTAGTGCTGTAGAGACACAGCAAGATTTGCATAGTATGGTATCTGACAGTGTTAGAGACTCTCCCTTTGCCGCTGACTCTCTCCACGGGCGGCATCTACGAAACTTTCCAGGTCAAGCTATCCCCAAGGATTTAGAGTCATCTACTATGCAACCCTTATTGGATTTCATGACACAAGATATAAACCTAATGCCATTTGGACTAATCGACGAAAGCTGGTGGGATCTAGATCAGATGGCAAATCCAGAAATGAGTTTCGATGGTTGAGATATATTTATCCAAGCCGTCTAGTGTTTGGTTGGTATCACTTGGGCGTATACGCCCTGGGAATATTGTGACGCATTGAAGCAAATAGCAAAGGCGGTATGGAATGTACTGTTACTGAAGGGAAATAGCTCCCATTTCTTGTGGATGTACCAGGCCTCGACATGATGTTTATATTCCTCTAGACCCCTATGTTAGATGCGGGCTACATCGGGTCTTCAGGTTTTGAATACCTTTTGGGGCCTCCTGGTATGAAAGTACCCTAACCTATATGCCATGGTCTTCTATTTATCTATCTACTTCAACTTATGCCCTCCCGACAGCAGGCTCCTAAAAACACCAGAGGAATGGTACTTGTTTGCCGTCGCTAGCAGCTTCGCCTTATTTGCCGCGCCATAGCCGGTGAAGACGTCCTGGGACGCATCCGCATAGTTCATGTAGATGTACGGATGCAGCAGCCCCTGTGCCGTCGCCGTCGCCGTGGCGGCGGCGATGAAGTTGTCCGCCATGGCGTACATGGCGGCGTCGTCGGCGGCGTCGGACCAGCGATTAGAGGTGGACATGAGAATGAGCGTGCCATCGTCGGCGGTGATGCCGAAGGGGTTGCCGCCGTTCTTGGCGAACTGCGCGATGGTCGCCGGGGAGATGACCTGGAAACTGATGACGGGGAAGACGCCCTTGACGGCCGTGACGGCCTTGACGGCCTTGACGGCCTTGACGGCAGTGATCTGCGTCTTGAAGAGCTCGGCGAACTCGAGCATCAGCGAGGGGCTGTTCTTGATGTCATGGTGCGGAACTGCTCCCTAAAGCGGGCGGGCGTACCCTTCACCATCTCGTCGGTGATATTTGAGAGGGTGGTAACGCGCATGGTGGACTTCATTGGCGAGGGCACGTCGGTGAAATCCTTGAGAAGAGCTGGGTTAACGACTGGCTTTGCGCCCTCCAGGTTCAGGTTGACGATGTTAATACCGTATGCTTGGTAGTAGATTAACGACACAATCGCCGCGCAATCTGGATCCTCGACTTGGCGGTCGCCGAAGTGCGATAGCGCGTCGACGAAGGTCTCTAGGTTATTCTCTGTGTACTGGACCAGCCCACCCCACATGTCGCCCTGGGCATACGTGGCGAGGTCGAAGCGCGTCACGATGCCAAAGTTATTGCCACCACCCTTGAGTGCCTGGAATAGGTCCGGATATGTCTTCAGGTTCACGTTGTGGATGGAGCCGTCGGCAAAGACGACTTGGAAGTTATTCACGTTGTCGTAGGCCAAGCCATAGCGCGCGGAGAAGGAGGAGATGCCGCCGCCTAATGTCAGGCCGCCGTCGCCAACGGAAGAGTCGCGCCCACCGATGACAGTGAGATTGTAAGGCTCGAGGTAGAAACAAGATCAACGACTCGCGCGACCGAAAGGCCGCTAACAGCAACTCGGCGGGGTATGGGCAGATGGGGTCCAGCTCACGGCGCAAGGCCGATGGCGACGACGGCGGGGTCTTAATGACGCCGATGGGGCGGGGAGAGCAGGCCGCGCCGGCGGACGGGCATAGAGAGGGGAGGTATGTGGCGAATGTTAGCGTGGGGAGCTTGAGGCGGATGAAGAACGTCGTGGACGGTAGTTCCTAGGAAAGCATTATAGGGGCCGCTCGGAACATGGACGGAGTCCACGTCACGAGGACGATCCAAATATCCTAATTAAAGCTTTTATCCGGGGCTAGCATAGGGCTTCAAAAATCTTCGAGGGGACGAGGGTTCCCATTCCCCCAACCATCTACTTTATCCTGGCGCAGCTCATCGGAGTACACTCTCGGCCGCAGAGGTAGGCTGGACTGACCCCATCGGTTGATCGACCCTAGACCAGACCATGGGCCAGTCCGGTCTCAAATTCTCAGACCGGACTACTCACCTCCCTCAACAGCAAAATCTCGCACAGAGCTCTGTTAATACCCTTTGCCAATAGTAATGTCATCAAATCTGATAGTAGAAGCAAGAACGGAAAAGCCTATCATACCCATCCTCTAGTTGTGAATTCTGGGGTCATCGTAGAGAAGTCAGAACCAAAAGTGGGCTTGTAGTTGTCGACTTGAAGATAAAACTGGCCTCTCTCGCTGAATAGATTACATTTCACAATGTAGAAATGTGTCATGCAGGCCTAAAATGGTTCTGGGGCTTTAGCAAGTGGATGGAACTAGCGACGATAGACGACTAGAAATATGATGTAAATGACAAGTGCTGAGATGAAGCACGCCGAAATGAATATCCAAGCACTGCACAATAGAGCTTAGTCCCCTCGCTGTTAGAGGAGACCTGATATTCAGCCTCAAATCAACAATGACCGGGCGAACAACGCATGTAAAACATTTCTCGCTAGTGGAAGGGTAGTGGATGAGCGGTTAGGAAGCAAAATAGTGGGTGGCTGCGGGTAACAGGGTATAAAATGCGGGGTTCTCGGTCTTTTGATGATTACTTATCAGTTTATGAGAGCCATACCTCGGAGAGCTCTCAAAGAACTCTAACGTAGTAGATAGTTATATAAATAAAAAACAAATCCTGTACTGCTAATGAGATACAAATCAATACACTTACTTCTAGACTGCACACAAATCAGTACTGATTCAGAGCATATCATATCCGCTGCACCTCGCAACCCTCACTATGCCTACCATCGAAGCAAAGACCATCCAGGTCCCAAAGTCATACATGACCCCCTGTGACAGCGATCTGCTAATCACTAACCACCCTGTGTCCGCCCCAGGTGTTACGGCAATCTTAATCGTCACCCTGAACCGCCCTAAGAAGTACAACGCCATGACCGTCCCGATGATCGAAGGCCTCCTGATGGTCCTCCAGCAAATTGACGTCGACAGCCGCGTGAAGTGCGTCGTTCTGACGGGCGCCGGCAAGGCGTTCTGCAGCGGCATCGATCTAAACCTTGATGCGACAGCCGGGAAGCAGATGCCTGTCGCCGACCTGCGGGATATTGGTGGGAGGCTAGCATTAGCTATGTATAACTGCCGGAAGACGATCATTGTGGCATACAACGGGCTATCAGTAGGCATAGGGATGACATCTACCCTTGCTGCGGGAATTAGGTGCGCTTCATTCATCTCCATGCACTAGCTCTCTCCTTGCACTCACTGAAGTAGCCGAGTATAATTACTGAGACACAACAGAATCGCGTCCTCGAAATCCGTCTTCGGCTTCCCCTTCTCTCGCATCGGCCTCACAATGGAATCTGCGAGCTCTTTCTTCCTGCCTCGCATGGTCGGCCACAGCAACGCAACCTACCTGCTCACCACAGGTAAGACGTACCACGCGGACTCCAAGGTCCTCGACGGGATTTTCGCCGAGGTGCTCGCGGAGCCAGAGGATGTGCTGCCGCGCGCATTAGAACTGGCATGCGAGATCACCAAGGAGGTCAGCCTGATGGCCGCGTACCTGAATCGGCAACTGATATGGCGGGGCGCCGGGACAGCGGAGGAGGCACACTTGGTGGATAGCCCGATTTTGTTTGATATGTTTGGGGGACGGTGAGTTTGCGTTTTTGTTTCTTGCGCCGTCGCCGGATATATAGGAAGAAGGCCTCCCTGACTTACTGTGCTAGTGATCACCTAGAGTCGAAACGGGCGTTTTTTAAGAAGGAGAAGCCGAAATTTATCGATGAGGTGGAGAATGATGCCCCGCGAGCTTATCCGTGGTGGACAGAGGTGAATGTTGACCTAAAGCCTAAGGGGGCTAGACAAGCTGATTCTAAGCTGTGAATGCTTTTTCGTTGCGTATTATTACTTATTAAAGAGATAATAATAATTAAAAGCGAGTTGCCTACGCAGAATTTGAGTTCTAATAACACCGCCAGTTATACAAAGCCGGGACTTGTGCTGAAGGTTCAAAACCTGGACTGCTTTCATTTCAAGTACGCAGATTCGTTAGGCTACCACCTAGGAAAGTATAAATAGACGAGAAGATCAGGAAGAATCATGGTGAAATGGCTGAGACTGGGTATCGTTTTTGTTTTAATCAGAAAAAATAACAATTCATTACGATGAACGAAACAAGGGCTTTTCACCCCGTCGCGCACGCCAAGTGTTAGTCGAATGCAGCAGATCAGCACAGCCTGCGATGACCCAACCCCAAGACCTGATAAACTCTTCCGTAACCTCCCAACCCGTCGGATCCCAAGGGTCGCGCCAGACCAGCAGTCCCGGATTGAGATCGGGGGCCTGTCCGCGCATGGCATGGCACAGCTCCTCCTCGACAAAAGAGTCAACCCCTTGGCGGAAAATGTTGTCTCGCATCTCTGGCATAGGAAGAAGATCAATCCATGGATGATGAGGAGCCGAGCTTTGTAGGCCGGTTGGCTGAAGTCCGGTGGGGAGATGTGAAAATCTTGCCATTGTAAGATCGGGTTGTAGTGGGAATGGGCCAAGGAGTCTGTTGAACGGCGACAGGGCTTCGTCATCCATTTCCTCATCAGATAGTCCTAATACCCCTATGTTTGCGAACATAGCTTTCACAAAGTTGAATTGAGACAGGCTTGGAGGAATGCTGAGCGTCATGATGCGGGCTGTATAGCTGTGAGTTGCAAAATCCTCGAAACGCTGCATAAACAACCGATTGCCCTCCCAGTTAGGCTTGAGAATTTTGACGAGATTGATAATTTGTATAGTAGCTTCGGTGATATCGACTCCTTGGGTCTCATGTAATTGCACCTTGGAGCCTGGAAGCCATATTTGGCCACCTAGCGCTGGCACAAGCTGCCTGTTAGCAGTGGTGGTCCCCTCGCTGTTAGCGTTCTGAGATGCTACCCGCTTCTTCGCCCCTGTCAGATAGTTAGTCCTGGTTGGATTTTTAAGTTGGTCCCCTCACGGAATGCCCGCTGATTACGACGGTTTTGGATCTTCCTCCGCTCATGACTATCTGCCACTCCTAGCCAGTTCTCTGTGTCATTGACCCAAATGTTGCTATTCAAAGGGAAATGGGAGTGGCTCTGTCCATTCATTGCGTAAGCAGAGAATAGATGGAATTCGTATCGAAGCAATGAGATTCATGAAGACCTAAATGTGAGACGATGACAGCTGCATAAGTACCCCCCAAATGAAAGTTTTATTGATGCCCCACATTAAGGAACCCGCAGCACCATGGGAACTCCGCCGAATTGACCCGTGGGATAGGCGGGGTTACTAGGATAGTGTAAATGCAGGTGTCATCACGCTACATCCGAACTAATCCCCATCACGTAAGCGCGTTAAGACCATAATATAGTGGGGCCTAATATAGTATTGTATGGTGTGAGTATGGTGTGAGTGTTCTCGACCACATCCGTACATATATATCAACTATGCGAACAAGGGACTGGACGTCTTTCAGGCTATGGTGAAGGAAACATGCAACGATTGTTCGCGATTCATACGGATATTGACCCGGTTGGTGTCTTCACGTCCTCTGGATGGATTATGGCGGATTCTTCAAAGTGCGATGGCGGCTAGGATATCTACACGGTTCGTGAACTAATAACTACAATGTAATTAGATAAGCAAAGTCACTCAATCTCACTACTGTTTAACATATTGCCGACTTTCAAATGCGAATAAATTGCTTTGCGACCTATGATGCGTCACCCATATCATGAGACGTTGTACTACGTCTTAAAGTGCAGATATAGCTATGTTTCAACATCTTCCACTATTTAAATATAAGGAAGGAGACTAAAAGAACCCCACCTCACCAGCAGCCAAATCAATGGCCCACCATAGACTCATATAGGGCAGAGAACCTCTCCCCAGAAGGCTTAGCATCGTCGACGATCTTTCGCATTTCTACCTTCTCGTCCTCTGTCAGCACAACACTCCGAGATGCCCAATTCTCCTCCAGCCTGTCAGCCCTCGTCGTTCCGGGAATGGAAATCATGCCCTGGGCGGCGACCCAAGCAAGCGCAATTTGTGCGACTGTGCACTTTTTCCTGGCTGCTAGCTGCTTCATTTGATCCACGATCGCCTTATTTTTGTAGAAATTCTCCCCCTGAAATTTAGGTACTGTGTCCGATATTAGTGACAAAAGTAGTTGCCATAATATCATTCATTACTCACCAGTTCGGCGGAAGTCATCAGGTGCGAAATCATCAGGCGATTTATACTGGAAGTCATCCACAAGAAAACCATGTCCGAGAGGGCTGAAAGCCACGAAGGCCACGCCTAATTCTTTGGCGGTTTCGATAAGTCCGTTCGTTTCATGTAGCGTCTCGAAGGCCGAGTACTCGGCTTGAACGGCATCTATCTTTGCAACTGTGAAGGCCCTTTAGCATTTGACGGAGTATGGGAATTTCAAGAAACATACTAGAGTTGGCTTTACGCAGAGTCGCTGCAGAACATTCGGAGAGGCCAATGTATTTTGTTTTGCCTGCACGGCGAAGTTCATCTAGGGCTGTGATGGATTCCTCCAGCGGAGTATCTAAGATGCACATTAACATCGATGAACCTGTAGACTAAACTTCTCCAGAAGCTTCGACTCACTTGGGTCGATTCTGTGAAGATAATAAAGGTCTGGAGTAAACCCAAGCCTGTCGATTGTGCCCTCGATGTATTCCTTGATATGTGCCGCCGAGTTGGTGACACTAGGTGTAGAATCGAAGACAGAAAATCCACATTTAGATGCAACTAGGCAACAACAACCTGTCAGCTACCATATGATGCATTTATGAACGGAAGTTGCGAATAATTACCAAAGACTTTGTCACGGACGTTGTGCTTCTTAATGAAGTCTCCAAGCAATTTCTCATTGACACCATTTCGGTAAACAACCTAGATCAGAACACTCAGTCAAAAATCCAACTCATTGGACTCGTCTAGCTCTTTTGTTCGACTTACCGCGGTGTCCCAGAACGTACAACCTAGCTCGATCGCTTTCTGAAGAACTGGCTCGGCCTCTTCTAAGCTGAGATTAGTTCCCATAGCAGAACTTAGACCCATAGCACCAAATCCGGGAATTGGGACTTGGATGTCGCCAAATGGGAGTGATTTAGCCATGTTTGCTTGTGAGAAGGCCGTGTAAATGTATGAGACTAAAATGTTATGGCTGCCAGAATTATTTGTGGTTCATAGCAACGGGGATTCTCCTGATATTTATATTTGCTCTGCTGTTGATGAATTGTGAGGCAAATATGCTAGCGTTGAACACTTCCATTCAGGTTTGTCAGTGGCTTTGAGATTCTATGGATGGCTAGTCTACCATGTAACATAGGTTTGCCCACATTTTAGACGTCACCATAGCTACATTATTGAAGCTAATGCGAGAGTGTGACGATTGCATGTGGTTTTGCGGCAGAACCACATTAATAGGGGCCGTACACGCCCTAGTATTCTCGGCCTAACCCATCAAATATACTTATCGAGGCGTACTACGTCTGTACTCGGGGCTACAAATAAGAATTCAGTTGTTGTTAAGAACGGCTTTGGTGGGTGTGTTGATATGAGAGTGTACTTTCATAAATGACAAGACTTGGGCGGTAGGTAGGTGGGGATAAGTCGGTGTTCTTACAAAGACATGACTAGTTAAGCCGCTTGTACGGCCTGCACTGCCCCGTTTGATATCCTCCCCACATCCAATATACAGCCATGGAATGAATTATGTGTGCCTTTGGTGGTGTGCGAGAGATCTGGCTACCATGTCTTTCGGCGGGGCGGTACTGTTCGGAGATAGGTTTCGGGGATAGGTTCGGGGATAGATTAGTGCCGGCAACGGAACACTAGCCTCACCTCTCTGGAAGCCGCGCACTATGGATGGGCCTAATTGGCTGCAACATAGATCATTAAGTTTGAATTGCCTTCAACGTCTTAACATCTCAAACCTTATCTTGATTTCCTTTTTTAGAACAAGTTAATCGCTATATTACCTTAACGTAACGCAAATTAACGCAACTCATGCCACATAGCCTCCCCGTTCGCCCGAAATTGTGGATGTCCCACAACTACACCGCCAGAAACCTTTGGCAATATGCCCCGTGTTGCTCCAGGCCAGAGAAAGCGGGCCTATCGACCTAAAACCCGAACTGGGTGCCATACATGCAAGTCTGTACGCCTATAAAATTGTCGCTGTCCATCATTCTCAGATGGCTAGGTTGGTGTCGTGGTTTGCTAACAATATGGCAGGGGTGAGATTTAGCGACAGATGTTGAACTATTGGGCCGAAACTAATCCGTGGCTAGTACGGCGAGTGAAGTGCGATGAAGCAAAGCCTTGTTGCCATCCATGTGTTTCTACGGGTAGAAAATGTGATGGCTACGAATCAAACTCGGAAGCACCTCCATACCATTCTACTGCGCCCATAGGCGCATTGAGCGCATTGAGCCCCTCGCTGTCTGTTGGACTTCTTGGAACCGAGAAAGAACGCAGGTCGTTCTACTTCTTTCAACAAAAAACCGCGCTCCAGTTGTCCGGGTTCTTCGGAGATGATTTCTGGGAGCGGATCCTACTCCAAGCGGCACTTCACGAAACGTCAATCCGACATGCAGTCCTGGCTCTAGGGTCATTGCACGCAAAGTCTGAGCAAGACAATGGCTTAATTCAGCAAAGTTACACTAATGGATGGACGGATAACTTCGCTTCGAAGAATTATAGTCAGGCAATTAACACCCTCCTTGGACCACTCCCCCATGAAGGCCAGCAAGCAATCGACGTGTATCTGATATGTTCTGTCCTGTTTGCATGCCTCGAGGTGAGTCCATCTCATGTCTAAACTATACTCCTGCTCATTGATAGACAATGCAAAGCAGATACGGCTCCGCCATCACACACGTCCAAAGCGGCATAAAGATCTTATGCGAGGTTAAGTACAACGAGGAAACCCGTCAACATCAACATGATTCCCTTAAAGCATCCAAAATACCATATATATCCATAGGAATGCTAGAAGAGATGTTCGTGCGTCTTGACTTTCAAGTATCGCAGGTATGGCTTCTAGCTTCCAACTTGCGCAGGTTCATTTTGTTAACTGGAGTAGATGGTTGCCGAGCTTGAATCAATGGAAAATCGCGCACAGAAACAAGAGATCCCAGCTATATTCACTAGTTTATCGGTGGCCCGAGAAAGGCTCGTATCTCACTGGCACGTAACGTCTCACTCTACAAGCGATGTATGGGATCCTTTCAGTAAGAAGCTCACAGTTCCCCTGGCTGGGGCCTGGCAGAAGAAATCGTCTAGCATTCTAGCGAGATGGTCATCAGCATATGATGCCTACTTAAACATTCAGGGTAAAAATCTAACGGGTAGAAAACGAAAAGGAACCGCTGTTTTGCACATCCTCAAGGAGCTTGGGTCTACAGCGGTGGTGCTCACTAAAACGACGGTCGATGACCAAATGGAGTGGGACGTCTTCTGCTCCATGTTTGACAAAATCGTCTCCTTGGCGGAGGATATCGTTGAGATTGACCAGAAATCAACTGAAGGGAGGCCGACATTCTGCATTGATATGGCCCTCATTGGACCTTTATTTGCCGTAAGCTTTTTATCCATTGCGTATTTTCCTAATCAAAGATCTCTCGAGTTGCATCAGGTAATATCACACAGCGAGCAAGTACTGACTCTTCCATTGTTAAGGTATCTTGTCGCTGTAGAGATCCTATCATTCGGAGAAGGGCAATCTCAGTTCTCCAAAATTACAATCGGACAGAAGGGGTATGGAATTCTTTTGCGACTTACAAAGCTGCCCAAAGAGTTCTTGATATCGAAGAAACTGGATTACAGAACTTAACAAGTTGCGAGGATGTCCCAAACTGGACTCGCATCTCGAACGTATCACTGAATTTTAATCCTACCGAGCGGAGGGCAACTCTGAGCTATAGCCGGCCAAGAGATGAGTACGATGTGACGAAACAGATGACGGAAGTAATCGAATGGTAGCATGGGACAGGTCTTCCACCCTCATTTAGAGCTTCTGGCAAGCCTTACCTTGAGCTGAGATTTTACAGGTATTGTGACAATATGGTACATTCAGGTAATTTAGAAATAAATGTACATAAGTTAATTATTTTAAGAGACTCCGACTTCTATCACCATCCCTCATAGCCCCCATCCCAAAGCTCCGCAAATTACTGCCTGCTCCTTGCTGAATTCCGTTTAAGCATTGCCTTTCCTTCACATTACTCTACTATGAGTCCTTTCTTATACTGTCAATACAGGACTCCCACTAATATTCTCGGACTTGCTGTAAATTCCCTGTGCTTTTCTCTCCTTGCGACTAGGAATATTACTTTCCTCCCCTTGCATGATGCGACCTGGATGAATGACATTGAGTATGACAAGGCTAAATAGCATGGGAACAGAGTCAAGGCAGTATTGGTACGCCTCGTGGGTTGGGATATTGCTGTGGAATCCCTGGGCGTATTCACAGAGACGGAACACAATTCTCATCTTCGCAAAACCTTAGTCCTGAGGACTACATGTAGGGATATCGATTAACGTACCGTGATAAGAGCGAGTACCAGGTATATCGCATACAATAATGGCAGCGCACCTGAAGCTCCCTTCGCGCCCTGTCGGACTTGCTGAAGGACTGTCTGGTGAAATTTGATGGCGAAGACCAAAAACAGAAGAATGAAGAACTGCTGGAATCCAACACCACCCATGTAAATATGAATTGCTAGAAGAACGTCAGTTTGAATCTCTATCTATTTTGGGTAGAACTCACCGTTGATCACCTGTTGATTTGGCCTTCTGTTACCAGCGCTTGAGGATGCTCCAGCGACCTGGATAATAAGAGCGCTATATCATGATTAGTATCAGCCACTTCAAGTCTTCGTGGACACAGTCTTACATGATATCAAAAATCACAAAGAATGCCGAAAATCTCCACGCTGTGATTCGATAAAGTTTTGCACTGGGAATATAATTCCAGATCATCCTTCCTGAGCCTCAGATTAATAAGGGTTCTAACACATTGCTTAATAAGAAAGCTTACCCATCACCATATAAACAAAGGCATTTGTAAAGAGTGGCGCGATCTGAGTGCAGTTAGCGTTTGGCTTCTTTGGCGGCGTAATAATGACTTGCCAGCATTAGTATAAACCAAGCTGCGTAGGGACCTAGAGTGTTGGGATTTGTGATGCTGATGATGCGGCAGATGTAGTTGACTGTTTGAATAAACGCAGAGCCAACAATCACCCAACAGTATGCCTTTTTGTAGAATATAGCTTGTGAGAGATGGGCGAACGTAGTGAGAGCGAACAAAACAGTGAACACGATTGCAGGGGGTGTTGAGGGGCAAAATGCCCAGTTTGTACGATCAAGATCTGCAAGGGCTGAGAAGCGGTCAGCTTCATTCTCGATGCTACGTGTGTGGAAACTAACCAGAACAACTTGCAGACATTTTGGAAGGTGAATCTTAGTTGGCGAATTTGCGAAAGGTTACTGGGTTGTAGCAGACCGGATTCTTGGGATCTATGAAATATATATGTCTAGTACACTCCATAGCAGATCAAGTTCCCGCCAGTCTTCGTTTAGTTCCGTTCCTGGGTGACGAATGTGCTGTGCCACTATGCTCGTACGGACATTTGTAGCTTGTCACTGCACTTACAAGCACCAGGTAAGAATAAGCACTTGCCAGCATAATTCTGGAAGTGTTTTGTAATCTGGGCACGCATTTAGGGCTCTTTGGAACCCCCGATCGTTGTTATTGATGTTGGATTGGAGGGCTCGTAGGGACATGCTCCACACCACGGAGCGACGGAAACTACTATGCTCCGGTGAGGGAATCGCCTGTAAGAGTACGTAAGGGGGCTTTGTTTGATTACAATATATAATTATTTACTGGAAATCTGTTCTAACGCTTGCTTCGCGGCGCTTTTAAGCTTTAGTGGGGAAGGAGGTGGATTTATTCGGCAGATCCAATTGGCTGCTTCGTATGTACATCCCTGCATTCCAACGTCTGCAGCTCCGCAGTAAGACGGAAATAACCTCACTTTCCATTATGACCCCGAACTTTGCGAACGTAAACAAAAATGACGTCGCGAATAAGCAAGAAGGTTGAAGGATTTACTAGGATAAGAAATAGCAACTTGGATGCCGCATACACTGTAATCCTTTTGACCCACTGCTCCTCTTTAACGTTGTTATAAATGAGGCATCAATAATTTGATGTATGAAGGTTATAAAGACCCGATGGGAAGGCAAGCTCGCACATTTGTACGATAAGTTTGGGTTTCAAATCATTCTCGCACATTTGTACGATAAGTTCGGGTTTCAAATCATTCTATTTTATCATGCAGTCAATTATTTACCTGCTCCTCACGGCTCTATTGTCGCCATCAGTTCATGGTTGTCTCTCTGGTCACCGACATGAAATAAACGCCTCCTATATCGAAACACAGCTGAAATTACTTGGAGCCCGAAGCCAGCGTACGCCACCAACGGGCAAAACAGCCCTCACGAATGTCCGTATTTTCGACGGGTGGCGTATCCGCGAACCCAGCACTGTGGTTATCGACGGCGACAGCATAACCTTTGACCCCCGCGGTGTACGGAATACCATCGATGGAGAGGGAGGTGTTCTACTCCCGGGATTGATTGATAGCCATATCCACCTCAGCTCGTTGGCCAGTCTTGAGACTTTGAGCAGTTATGGTATAACGACCGTCATGAACATGGGCTGCTCGAACTACACATTATGCGCAGCCCTCCGCGACCAAATCGGATTGACGTCTTTTATCACCGCTGGGGAAGGGGCCGTAGCACCAAACAGCACGCATGCAAAAGTGTTTGGGTCGAGAGGTTTCGTGAATTTACCATCCCAAGCACCGCAGTTCGTGGCTAATGTCTTTGGAAACGGGTCTAATTTTATGAAGATAATCTCCGAGCCGGATGGCTTTAACCAGGCCATCCATGATGCGCTTGTCAATGCAACACATGCGTTGGGTAAGATCTCCATGACCCATGCCCAGGATTACGCCTCGTACGAAGTCGCAATCCGCTCAAGGACAGATGGTCTCCAACATGTGCCGTTCGATGTCCCTCTTACGGTGGAGATGGCACAACGCATAGAACGCCAGGCACAATTTGTGACGCCGACACTAAATATCGGGAAGATCGCCACATCTAATTCAACCATTGAAGCAATCGTTTCTGGCGGAATAGACTTGACATACGAGGCTGGAGTGACTAGTGTACAACGCCTCATGCGCGCGGGTGTTCCGCTTCTCGCTGGAACCGACGCAATCGACATAGCTGGTAGTTTCCTCAAGGGTGATCTGATTGGGATCACTCTACATCAAGAATTGCAATATCTGAAAGACGCTGGTATGAGCGAGGTGGATGTACTACGAGCCGCGACGGTGGTGCCTGCTACTTGGCATAACTTGGTAGGGCGAGGGTCTATCAGAGAAGGATATCGTGCAGATTTACTTCTACTCAAGCCAGGGAGTGATCCATTACGGAACATCTCAAAGACGATGGATATTGCGAGAGTTTGGAATGCGGGTATCGAATATGTGCCAGGGCGCGGATGATGTGAGGCCGCTCAGCAAGCGGGCTCTATAGAGCGACGGTGGCGCTGTAGCTTATGTAGTGTTATAGTCTATGATTCCTGTATGTTAGAGAGGCACCAGGAATCAGTTTCCGTCTAATATGGATCAATATATAGAGTGGTATAGTAATAATAGTCGGAATAGTCATACTTTGGTGTTTTCGTGTTCGACCCGCTTGGGTGTCAAACTCGCAAGTGAAATATGTTAACAATTATATGTAAATAATAATCTCTGCAGTACGTAATTGCCATGTTACTTACTTTGACGGGAGGTGGTTATCAATCAATTTGATAGAAAGAGGAGTTTTCATAGTATTAAAGTATCTGTTATTCTTTCCGCTATATACAACCCACTGAACTTCGAGAGTAAAAGAGTAATGGTTCCAGACCACCAGAACAGAACGCCATAATACCAATATACATCAATATCAGTAATATATTGTGCACAACTACAGCCTGGCACCCTTGGCCGCAAAGTCTAAGCGCGCCTTCTCCTTCAGAATCTTTCTCAAAATCTTCCCACTCGCATTCTTCGGAATCTGCTCTATCAACTCAACTCCGCCCCTCAGCTTCTTATGGCTTGCGACACGGCTGTTAAACCACTTTTGTAACTCGTTGATATCAATCGGCTTTGATGGGTTTTCCGTGACGATGTACGCCCGTGGAACCTCGGTGGCTAAATCTTTGTCGTAGATGCCAACGACAGCACAGTCCATCACACCTGGATAATCAACTAGCGAGCCTTCTAACTCTGCAGGTGCCACCTGGAAGCCTTTATACTTGATTAACTCCTTGACTCGGTCGGTGATGAAGAGATTTCCTCGCTCGTTGATGCGTCCAACATCTCCCGTGCGGAACCATCCGTCAGAAGAGAGGCACTCGGCTGTCGCTTTAGCATTATTGTGGTAGCCCTTAAAAACGTTTGGGCCTCTGACGTGCAGTTCTCCCTCCTCACCCGGTTTGAGCTCTTGGAGGGTGGTTGTCGTATCGTCATCTCTGGAAATGTCAACGGGCTGACATATTTTGACCTCTTGATTGGGCAGGAGGACACCACAAGTGCCAATATCAATATCCCAACCATCCCAAGTGCCTTGGAACATATTAGGGCTCGTCTCCGATAGTCCATATCCCTGCTTAATACGGATACCTAGCCTTGCATAGACTTGGTCGATAAGCTCACGGGTTAGAGGTGCGGCACCCGACATGACCATGCGTAGACTAGAGACGTCGTACAGTGCGAATGAAGGGTGTTTTGCCATATGCAAAACGATGGGTGGGACGACATAAGAGTATGTGATTTTGTGTTTTTGCACTAATTGGCACCATGTGTCGACATCGAAGGCAGGTAAAACAACGGTGGTGACGCCAAAGTAAATCGGACTGTGGATGAGAACGGTCAACCCATAGATGTGAAAAAAGGGCAGACATGCGAGAATTTTGTCCCCCCCAATTCCGGGTTCTGGCTTGGGTATGTCCCTAGTTGTTCGGCTTCCGTCCCAGGTCAAATTGTATCCTTCTGCTACTTGATGCTGAAGAATGTTGGAAGTAATATTGTAATGTGAGAGTCTGACGCCTTTCGGCTTGCCAGTAGTTCCTGACGAGTAAACTAGAAAGGCAGTGTCGTTCTGTGGGTCAGTCTTCGGTGGCGCATATCGCGTTGTATTGCTAATATTGCGGACATTCGTCCAATGCTTAAATTGTCCCGTTGTGTCCCTCTGGTCTCCAAGTATGATGATGCGGTTCTCTGCGATGCCCGCTGCAGCACATGCTTTCTTTACTGTCTCGATGTTGGAATAACGCGTGACGACGCATTTTGCGCCGCAGTCCCGAAGCTGGAATGAGAGTTCGGAGACCGTGTAACCTGGATTCGCAGTCGACACTGTTCCTCCTGCCCGCAGTGCCCCAAATATTATGGGAGGCATATCAATGTCGCTTAATGAAGATATAGCCAGCACATCGTCCTTCTGCCAGTCATATTGTGACCTCAACCCTTCCCCAAAATCTTCGGCGAGCTTCCGCACTTCGCCAAAGGTATGGGTTCTGTCGGTAAGCCCATCGCAAAAGATCGCTAAAAGTCATGTAAGCCAGTGTTAAGTCAAGCGTGGGATCCGTTAAGACGGGGCAAAAAAAACTTACGGTGACTATCGGGAAACTTCTGGTCTTTGCGCTTAAACAAGAAAGTGAAGATATCGACGCTTGGAAGATCCAGGTCTGGGTAGGGACTTCTGATAACCATCGTAGCTTCGATGTCACAAGTGAAGATGCGAATAGATTATAATCAAAATATACGTGGCATGAACAGCGTCTTCAAAAAATACTCGTAGAAATGCTCGGAGGGACCTGAATGTAATAAATCCAAAAAGAGTTATCACTTTTCTGGATCCACTCGGCGTCTCACGTTTAGATGGGGATGGGGTCACATTATCTCTCCAGCTACAAGAAGCTACACGATTGGCCCTCCCACTTTTCGCCGTCGACATGGTGGTTGTGGGCTAGTCCTGTTCTCTACTGATATGAGTATCGTTCAGGATGGCTTCGGTAAACCCTAATGGGACTAGCCTCCCTATCTCCAATTGGCTTGCCGCTCCTCCCGAAGCGTGGGGTGCATCATGCCGGATTCTACCCCAACGAACTTGGCTTCGACCCCAACTGACCCCAGATCACGGACTGACAAGGACCCTACCAATCGCCACCTTGATAACTGAACCGCTGTCTCATACCAGACACAGATTCCAGATACTTTTCGTGCCATATTACATAGACACATCGTATAGAGACTATAATTTTTATCTACTCGAAGTCCAATATGGAAATCCGGATCAACGTCGCTATGAATCAATCCTAGCCATAACAATACCATGCATACTGGTTCCACATCACGGCTACTCCAATTTTGATCTCGCCTATTTGGCCACATTATTGGAGACGGTTATGTAGTAGCCAGCAAGATACTCGCATGCAGGAACAGGGGACGACCATGCACAGGCCTTACTCAAATGCGGGGTAAAGTTGCGGGGATTAATCGCGAAATATGACATAAAACAAACGTTGTGGGAATATCTGCGATTACAATTTAGACACCATAGTTTATGCCAACACTCATAACCGCACAACCAACAAACAACCTTCAATATGACTACTAGTATCCCATCAACCATGCATGGATGGAGAAAGCATATGGGCAGCCCTGACCCAGTATGTCGAAAGATACCTTGTTTTACCGTCAAGATCGTAACTGACAATGGAATTTTGTGGAGGTATGGGAAGAAGTTGCTGTGCCACAGACTCCTCCAACTGGGTTTTTGATCAAGATGCTAGCTTCTGGCGGTGAGTCTATCTTGTGGTGATGGCTGGTAGTGACCACTAGTGCACGCCTCAATGGCATTCCGTACTGCCAAAATCTTTCGTATCCGAGGCTAATAAACCTCGAAGTATGTCGCAGCGACCATTCGATACTGATAGACGAGAAGCCACGCCCATGGTTTGAAAAACAGTTTACCCTTGTAAAACACCCTCTCTCTCTGCGTCATCAGCCTCAAGACCAGAGTCTCTAATATCAATTATAGGGCCACGAAGGCTGTGGGACTATAGTGAGAGTTGGTGCTCAAGTCAGAAGTGATTCGAAATTCAAAGTGGTACGTGTGTTTACGGAGTCGCGATGTTTAAACCAACATGCTAATCAAGGTTATGCGTGAAGGGGGACGTGGTTGCCCTTGATGCCGTACCAGGCTGCGGATTTGATGATTGCCCGGAATGCTCTCGCGATGTATCACAACTATGTCTGAGATGTCAACATTCTGGCATTGGACAAGACGGATATCATGCGCCGTACGCTGCGGTAGACCAACGCGCCGTGGTGCTAGTTCCAGAAGGTAATGTTAAATCCTATCTGTAGATACAGGGGTTAAGTTAGCTAATACCATCTTCAGGAGTCACACCTGCAGAGGCTGCAGTAGCCACTGACGCGGTGAAGACCGGCTACCATGCCATAACCAGGAGAGGCGAGGTAAAGGCCCATGAGACCGTATTTTTATTCGGCCTAGGGGGGCTGGGATTTAACGCGCTACAAACCATACACCACATTGGAGCGAGAGTTATCGTTTCGGATGTGAAAGAAGAGCTCTTAGAAGAAGCAGTCAAGCTTGGCATTCCAAGAGGGGATATTGTGCCTGTTGGGAAGTCTCCCACGGAGTTCATCATCGAGAATGGCCTTGATGGGAAGATCGACACGGTACTCGACTTCGTTGGCATGCATCAAACTTTCCATGACGCTCAAGTGATTGGTACGTAAATTGGATCTCTTAAAATCTGCATTACTAACGTTGATAATTTAGTTCGTCGAGGTGGAAAGATTGTTTGTGTGGGAACATTAGACCATGAAAATGTTGTAGACATGAAAAACGGCATCCGAAAGAGACTGAGCTTTATCTTTTCATATGGTGGGCAGTTGGATGACCTCGAAGAGGTGCTGGAATTGATCTCGAAGAAGGTTATTCAACCACAAGTTGTGGGCAAGCCTCCATCTGAGTTCCCGGCTACTCTACAAGGCCTTCTTGACGGACAGATCAAAGGACGTATTGCATTAATGTACGATCAGTAATCACATAGCATAATAATTGACTTCGATTTGTTTATTTGATATATCTAAGCATTTATTTATAATAGTGATTTGTTCTCCCATATATATTATGCTTGGTCAGGATAATAATGAAATCCAATTTCTTTATTTAATATATTACAGCGTTTCTTCATAATAGTGATTTATTCTCACATATATATTATATTATACTTAGTCGAGTTAATAATTAAATCCAGTTTGCTTATTTAATATATCACAGCTATTCTGTATAGTAGTGCTCTATTATCTCAACGTATATTATGCTTATGCATTTACACTTGCACTTTTAGGCAATCCAATACCGACCGCGGCCGTAGTTCCAGCATCCACGGGCAAAATCACTCCTGTCATCCACCTCGCATGATCACTTGCTAGAAACACAACTGCGCAGGCACAATCCCAACCCGTCCCCTCAGTCCCTAACAAACTCCTCGCTTTCCTCGCCGCGCGTGCCTCCTCCGACATGCCATTAGCATACATCATTGGTGTGTATAACATCTGAAATACAAGTTAATATAAGGTCAATCTCAAGCCATAACCAATGAACTCACCCCTGGGCAAACACAGTTTACCCTGATTCCATCCGCGGCGTGGTGTGCCGCCATAGCGCGCGTCATGTTGACAATCGCGCCTTTACTTGTCGGATACAGCAAGTGCGGCGTTCCACCCTTCAGGCCTGCGACACTGCCCATATTCACAATGGAACCGCGTAATTCTCCTGTATTCTTCGCCATCGCTGGCACTGCGTACTTGGTCATCTGCACCATACTTGACACATTGATCTCGAGCCCACGCGCCCAATCCGCCATGTCAACATTAACAGCAGTCCCTGCTGCGCCGCCGATTCCAACATTATTAACCAATATGTCGAGGCGCCCGAACTCTCGAAGCGCAGTCGCGACGGCTTCTTCGCAGGCTGTCGCAGAGGTGACGTCGGCTTGAACAGCTATAGCACGGCCACTGCCTGCCTGCGCGTTAACAAGTTCAGCTGTCTTGGTGGCCCAGTCGAGATTCAAGTCGAGGCAAAGCACGTCGCAACCGTCGGATGCGAGGAGGATAGATATCGCGCGGCCATTGCCTATGCCTTCCCCAGCGCAGCCGGCGCCGGTGACGATGGCGACTTTGCCCTTTAGTGAGCGCGAAGGGGGTTGAGCAGATATTTCGGACATGTTTGCTTCGCGTGTGTAAATTCGAAACTGTGTCTAACTTTCCATTCGTTTTGATAGGGAGTGTTGGTAAAATGAAATCACAACTTCAATATTACACAAAAAAACATTAATAGAATATATTCTTTCATAATCTAGCTAGCTCGATTTTGCGGTTACTATTGTTGGCACTCCATGGTCTGCGACGGCATTAACCCACGAATGCTCCTGGGATGGAGTTTGATGACCGGCGGCAAATACAAAGTGGTTGGAAGTGGTTGGAGATAAGCTGAGGGGTAAAAGTGGGGCGTGAAAGTACAGTGGGGTACATGGGGAAGCGGGGAAGCGGTAAACCTCTTTCAGGATTGCCGTTGCCGAAGTTCGGCCATCAGCTGTCCTTGTCAGTTTCCCCGCTCGCCGATCCCAGCGCCGATCTTTCTGATGATCCTTGAGTTTTCCCGTGACTCCAGTTATCCGGACATCAACAACCGCATCCCCAGTTCCGCGGTTTGTGTTCCGTATTCCCGCAAAAGCCGAGAAGCGTTTGTTATCTAGTTCGGGGAGCGAATATCTGGCCGTTCTACTGCATCAGGAATCAGAAGAATTACTAAACAATTACAATTATATGCTCCCTACCTTGAAGAAAACACGTGAGAATATAGATTCACTCTTGACAGTAATATCTGCGGATAGATCAACAATAACTATGTGCGACTTCTCTTCCTATGGCGGACCCAGCGACGAGTGGCTGGCAGTCGAGGCAAGCCTGCCCCCGCCAGTAGCCAACCAGTCTGTTTCCGAGATGATACTCAAAGCAAACGAAGGCCGCGAGGCCATCGCCAGTAAAGCCATGGTCTCGCTATCTGCGCAAGTCCACATGCGCGACCACTCGATCCAAACGCGAGATGGGTACGCCCTTGAGGCGCGCAGCTATCGCCCGTCGTCAGTCCCTGCGTCAGAGCTCCTGCCCGTCTACATGCACTTCCACGGCGGAGGCTTCGTTTTCGGAACATTGGCGTCCGAAGATGCGATATGCGCCCGTATCGCAGTCAGTGTTGGTGTCGTCGTCGTCAACGTGAATTACCGACACGCGCCAGAGTTCATATACCCGACGGCTTGGGACGACGCACAGGACGCCTTTGTGTGGTTGCATAGTCACCTCCATGAGATAAATGGAGACGGGCAGAAAGTCGTGCTAGGCGGGATATCGGCTGGCTCGCGTTTGATTTCATCGTTGGTGCTTCAAAAGCATTTAGGCAAGGCAGCATCGGGGTGTCCAGATCCTGTTGGTCAGGTTCTGATGATTCCGTCATTCGTGCATGCGAAGTGCTACGAGCCGCAGTTGAAGAAGATGAAGGACAGGAGTATTTCGTCGTATGTCGAAAACGAACATGCGCCCATCCTGCCAAGGAGCAAAATGGAATTTTTTGAGGGCCTTTTGAATGTTGAGAACCCAGATGAGGCGGATTTGAAATTAAGTCCCGGAAATGCGACGCCTGAAGAAGTGAAGGGGCTACCACCGACTGTTTTCGGTATCACGGGTCTGGATCCATTGCGTGACGAAGGGCTGCTATATGCAAAGATGTTAACAGAAGTTGGGTATGTAACCTCTCATTTGTTTACCATAGCTCGTGCTGGATGAAGGTGTTATGAAGGCTGACCGAAATTTCAGAGTTCCTACCGATATCAACGTATTCAAAGGCGTCCCTCATGGGTTCCGCCGTTTTGGCGACGCGCTTTCTGCAAGTAAAAGATGGGATAACGTTATTGATGAAGGCATAAAGTGGGTGTTGAGTAATCCGGCAGCGACAAATAGTTTTGATGTCAAGGAACAATAAATTCCATAGAATTAATTCGCAATTCTTCAGGTGTTATACGCAGATATATGAGCCCTCTATGTGGAAAACCGAACAAGAGAAAGTGATTCATTCCTACTGACCAGTATCTGCCACTCCCCTCCAAGAACGGCTTCTCAGACCTTCCAACTTCGTGGGGAACGTGGCAATGGAGAATTTTCGTAGCATGAGATGTGAGGACGGATAATTTCACAGATCACACATGCATGAAGGTTGGATTTTTTACTATTGGCTCATTTTATTTGCTAATGTGTAAATATCTGAACAAGCAACTGAGCACCCCAAGGAAATATCTAAATCTGTACAATAAATTGACTCCACGCTTAAAGTATCGTGAAGTCGGAATACTTTCGAGATGCAACATCATCACACTTCTTCCTGTACCCTGGCGCCGGGCCATTGTATCTCGCTATCGACCTCTTTTGCTTGTGTGAAAGATTCTTATTAACACCCGTCATCCAGGAGTCCACCTCATTTGCCAAAAGTCCCACTGCGCACTCATTCACATGGTCACCCCATTGATCCATTTTCTGTGGTGTCGCTTCGATGTATGTGATGTTGTTCTCAGCGGCGTAACCGATGAGGTTTGAAATCCAGTTGACGGCGTATTCAATGCTTCTGGGGATGTTGCCGAACATTTGATGAGGACCCATAACCATAAACATGTTTGGGAAGGAGTTGACCGTAAGGCCGAGATAAGTTTGGATAGACTCGCTCCACTGATCCGTCAGTTTGAGGCCGTCTTTCCCTTGGAAGTCAACAGCTCTGAAAGAGCCGGTGACGGCATCGAAACCGGTCGCATAAATAATAACGTCAAACTCGAGCTCGCCATCCTTGGTCATAATGCCCTTTTCGGTGATACGCTCAATGGGGTTTTCATTAATGTCCACCAACTGCACGTTGGGCTTATTGAATGCCTCATAATAGCCGCTCTCCAGAGGAACTCTCCTTGTGCCGAATCCGTGATTCTTTGGAATAAGCTTCTCGGCAACTTCTGGGTCATTGACACGTTCGCGGATCTTCTTGGCAATAAAGTTGCTGTACAACGTGTTGGCCTTGCGGTCTGTACCGATATCCCTAAAGTTGCTCAAATACTTCGAGAAACCCGGTTTAGCGTAAATCTCCTCCCAGAAAGCCTCACGCTCCTCGTGGGTCAAGTCGAATGTGCTTCTCGTGTCGCTCAAGTGGATGAAACCAGCGTATGAATCGAGACATTTCTGGAAGATTTCGGGGTAGCTTTCGCGGATTTCCTTCATCTCTTTGGTGCTAATCTTGGTGTTTCGTAATGGGCAGGTCCAGTTAGGAGTGCGTTGGAAAACAGCAAGAGACCCCACGGTCTTGACAATTTCTTGGATGGTTTGAATGGCTGTAGCACCAGTTCCAATGATGCCTACCCTCTTTCCGTCGAGCTTTCCAGCAGCATCGCTAGGCCACCTTGCCGTGTGAAATGCGTCGCCTTTGAAGTTGTGGACGCCAGGAATGTTTGGGAGTGTAGGCTCGTTCAAAATACCCATGCAGGTAATCAAGTATCGTGAAGTGTACTGTGCACCGGTCTCATCTGTCGTCAACCACGAGTTCGAGGTTTGCTGGAAGTGTGCCGACTTCACGCGGGTGTTGAATTTCATGTCGCGCTTCAGATCAAACTTCTTGGCGAGGAACTGGCAGTATCGGAGGGTCTCTGGCTGAGAAGAGAAGTGTTCAGACCAGTCCCACTCGTCTAGAACTTCTTGTGAAAAAGAAAAGATGTATGAATAACTCTCGGAGTCAAATCGGGCCCCAGGGTAGCGGTTCCTGTTAAAGAGTTAGAAATTTGATGTGCACCATAAACTGCCTGTTGCTTACCAGAACCATGTGCCTCCTTCTCCTGATCCAGCCTCGATCACCTTCGCTCTCAACCCCATTTGTCGCATTCGGTACAGGGAGTAAATGCCACTCAATCCTGCGCCAATGATCAAGACGTCATAATCGAGATCTTTGTTGCCCGGCATGGAGGGCTTTGCTCCATTTGTTGCTGACCCATTGGTGGTGGCTGATCCATTAGTGGTCGACGCCCCATTGACCGTCATTGCGAAAAAAATATGTAAGACGACTTGTGAGTTGTAGTGATATGAATGGGCAAGTAGAAATAACAAGTAGAGTCTTTGACAAAATATATTACTTGCGCATAATCACACGAAGGACCCCGCGTTATAAGGAGCGATAAGAGAACTGGTGTCGGCGGGGTTCAGCGACGCGCATGAGGGGTTGCACTGTGGGGTCCCCGCAGATGTTCCGAATAATTTGAGCTCTCGGCCGACATATCCGTTGGAGTTGCCGTGACAGCCTTCAGTTTGGTTGTTGTCGGCATTACGTTTACGGTTAGCCCCCATATTCTGCCGCCTTACCATAATTGTCCATGCCGAATATCCCCACCACTCGACTCAATGGACGCCTCTCTCCTGACCACGCCTGCGAGTAACAACAGTAACTTACCAAGTATTCGGCTTCGAGCCTAACAACCGCTTCATCTCTAGCTGCACTCCAGTCCATTTCCTACCCCATAATGCCAACTCTCCGCTTTGGGAAAGCCGCGATGCTCCAAAGCCCCAATGCCGCCCCACTGTACTCTAGCAAGTCTCAATCAATTATTCTGTAGCATGTGGAGAATAACCCCCTAGCTACAACCTTGGAGGGTTTGGTAAAGGAGTGAAAAGCTTACTTATAAAGACTGGTTGTCTCGTATCTTATCTTTTACCCCGCGCATCAACAATAACTCAAAATCAAACAAACATTTTTCGATTATCAGCATGACCGTCGTCGTACAGCCTCCTGTTCGGATTGATGGCGAAGTGCCATCTATTCCTCATCTCAATGGCGATTCTTTGAAAACTAAGGCACCTGCGGTGAATGGGAATGGAATTTCCCCCGCCATTGCTCACACAAATGGTTCTCCCATCACCGCCCACGCAAATGGCGATGTGACAGATCCGTTTTCCCTGAGCCAGCAGTATGCCTACACTTCAAGGAAGCTGAAAGTCATAACTATTGGAGCCGGATTTTCCGGACTGATCATGGCCCATAAATTCCAGCACAGGTTTCCGGAGATGCAAGACATCATCGAAAACACCATTTATGAGGCTCGTAGCGACATTGGAGGAACATGGCTCGTCAATAACTACCCTGGTGTCCAGTGTGACGTGCCAGCGCACATCTACGTAAGTTTCACCCTTGAGCACGTGCCAAAACGCCATCTAACAACTCTTGCAGGCATTTCCATTTGATCCCAACCCAGACTGGGATCGATTCTATGCTAGCGGTGGAGACATCCAAGCTTATATCAAGAGAACCGTCAAGAAGTGGAACCTTGATCGCGATATCAAGCTAAATACCAGTGTCACAAGCGCAGTGTGGCAGGACGACCTGGGGAAGTGGAAGCTTACTGTTGAACATAAGGGTGAGGTTAGGGAAGAGTTCTGTGATATTTTGATATCCGGCCAAGGTGTTCTTGTGTACGTATAATTTCGGATCCTCACACTTTACATATTTCAGTTACTAACGATAAAACACAGCAAAGAAGCATGGCCGAAGGTTTCTGGTCTAAGTGACTTCAAGGGCCATGTAACACACTCTGCTGCATGGGACCATGACTACGACTATTCCAACAAGCGCATTGCAGTAATTGGCAACGGATCGTCTGGTATTCAGATTGTTCCACAGATGGCTAAGTTGGCAGGAACAGACGTTATGAACTTTGTTCGTGGCCCGGCCTGGGTCTACTACCGTGCGCCGCCATCGGCGCATCTTGGTAGAGAGACAGCCGATCCCAATCCGCAATTCACAGAAGAGGAGAAGGAACGCTTCCGCGACCCTGATTATCATCACCAATACCGCAAGGGCATAATTACCCGCACAAACAAGTCCTTTGCTCTCTTCATCAAGGGCGAGAATAATAAAAAGACCATGGAGGTTGCTACGAAGCAGATGTCAGAAAAGCTCAAGCACGACCCAAGGTTATGCGAAATTCTTATCCCCAAGTGGGAGCTGGGTTGTCGCCGTATCACGCCAGGCCCAGGATACCTCGAGTCATTCACCAAGCCAAACTGCGATATCACAAACAGCCCCATCACCAGTATCAGTGAGAAGGCAGTTCACACCGCTGATGGCAAGACATACGAGTGCGATGTTGTCATCTGTGCAACCGGTTTCGACGTCTCCTATCGCCCACGCTTCCCGCTGATTGGAAAGAACAGTGTCAACCTTGCCGAACGCTGGGCGGAAGATCCAGAGTCCTACCTCTCTGTCGCCGCACCGGACTTCCCAAACTACTTGATGATGACCGGCCCCAACAGTCTCGGTGGCCATGGCTCTCTCGTGGAATCGTTGAACTGGACTGGTGATTACTTTGTGAAGTGGATCAAGAAGATTGCTACTGAGGACATCAAGTACATTGAGCCCAAGAAGGAGGTTGTTCATGCCCTTGTTAAGTATGCCGATGAGATTCACAAGACTTTGGTTTGGACCGGTGGCTGCACGAGTTGGTATAAGAGGGGACGTGTTGACGGCCGGGTTACAGCACTGTTTGGTGGCAGTGCACAACTCTTCAACCGGTTAATTCGCGACATCCGTGCTGAGGACTTCAACATTGTATACAATACCGCGAATAACTTCAGGTTTATGGGTAACGGGTTCACCGAATTTGAGTCGGATCCAAACAGCGATTTGGCTTGGTACGTCGAGAAGGCGGAAGAGCTTAAAGATACTGCCTCGGAAAAGAAGTAGAGGGGCATTGTTTTAGTAGCTAGATTGTTCTCTTTGCATGTTTAGATATTCAGTTATACCAATTTTAGATATAATCTTCTACCTATACTGCCGTGATTCCTGCACTTCACTATATCCAAGTATTGGACATGACAGGTACTGACGCCGATAGACCAAATCAAATAATTCTGATTTCACGGAAGTTGGGTCAATAAGAATGTCTGACCCAGCCTTCTTCAACCTCGAAGCCCTTTCAACGGCCCCACAAGAGGCAACTTTGATACCAACGGAAAAATAAAACACTAGACTTCGAATGATTATAAAGGCTCCGCTGAGGTTCTTTTCGTATAGTTCGATTCTTCGCGGTTTATCACTTCAAAATAGCTGTGGCGTTTGTCATGAAAATATTACTTGCTTTGGAAGGCTTTCAGAGTTGAGATGTGAATAAATATGAAGATGTATTTCATGGTATAAGTAAACTATCATAGTATATATGGGGGGAACTATATACAGCCATCGCCCCTTATTTCTTGTTTCTTCCTTGAGCCTCGTCTCTGTCAGCGAGATCCATTTTCAACTATGCTTTGTAAACTCTTACTTTATATCCTTCAAGCCATTGATCCTCAATAATTCTCAGCTGCGTCTCTTGGTTCTGCTTGAAGTAGGGCTCCTCCTCAGTATAATCCTCCTTGTCGGTGTCCTTGAATCCTTCCTTTACATATGACCGTGGTGTAATCATGAATGAACGGCCTATTAAATTGCATCATATTAGAGAGAGTTTTTCACCGTGGGCATGAACATATCAAAAACTTACCATTCACTGTCCTGTCACATGCAATCCTCATCATGGCACCGGCGCAATCCTCGGTTTCACCAAATTTGATGCCGTTGTCAATGAGCCAGCTCTCATACTCGGCAGTTCGGATAGCGCTCTTGATCCAGCAGGGTGCAACATAGTTGATCCTGATGCCTTGCTCCCACGAGTTACGACGAGCAGTTCTCATGAATCCTCTTAGAGCATACTTCGTTGCTGTGTATTCCCAGTTTCCCTATTTGACAAGTTAGCCTTTCATGTTCAGAGCTAATAGACATTCTGAATCGGTTGGGAGCGAGCTGCAGTTTGTTTTGCGGGGGATGGGCTGTGGGAGGCGGGGTCGGGGGGAGGCTTACTGGAGAATCAATCCAAGCCACCATGCTTCCAGTCATTATGAAGCATCTGTCACGGTCTTCGTTATCGGGTTGTCTTCTAAAGTAATATGTCGCAAGTTTCCAGGTGTACAGAGTGCCGTCAATGTTGACCTTGACAATGTTGAGATCAGGCTTTGTTGGCTCTCCTTTGAGGTCTAGATTACATTTTAGCAAATTGGCCTTAATAAACAGCATTTAGATACGATGGGGCAAAAACTCGTACCATCAAGGTTCCATAAACTATCTCCTGAGCTCCTGCTGATTCCAGCATTCGCCAATACAACGTCTACACTGTGATTTGGGCTCTTGCTCACGGCCGTCTCGAAGAGCGTCTTCTGCTCGTCCCAGCTACGGATATCGCACTTGACAAAAGCCACACGATCTCCGTCAGCATTGAGCTCCTTCTCAATCTCTTTGCCCCTCTCGCTAAGGTCTCCAAATGTGACGAAGGCACCAGCAGCAACGAAGGCACGTACGCACGCCTCGCCGATTCCGTTGGCGCCGCCTGTAACAATTACCGACTTCCCCTTCATCTTCGACTTGTCGGGCACCACGGTGTGGTCCACCGGGCCAGTGTAGCTGTATTTGGCTAGTTGAGGCATAGTTATAAGTGTAAAATAAAAATTGGGATATTAGATGCGAAACTTTCTGTGGAATAAAACAGAGAATTAGGGGAATTATTGAGGGCAATGTGTGACTGTTTTATCAATGACAGAATAATATACACTGAATATTCATCGGATATGCGGCAGCGTAAAAGATAGAAGGATTAGGGATTGAGATTGAGGGGGACGACGATCAGTACTTTGCGGGGTCAAATCGCGGGGTAGTGGTTGGGGTGTGGCTGGGAGACTTTCCATGCGTACGGCAATCCGGATTCGGATCGCCGTCAGAAACCCTAGTGGCAGTCCAAATTCGGATTGCCGTCGGCATGGAAAGTCAGACATCCCCACCAGCCCGCCGGACTCAATATTTCAATTAGCACCAAATTCCGGCCGTACATCGGTACCACAATAGCGTAATGTGCTAATTCGGTAGTTTTCTTTTAGACCGGCATTTTTTTTTTTTTGGATTGCATGGCTGCCACGTGCATGTCAATGAATGGGAAACGCTAGACCTGGACTGTGTCGAAACTTGAATATGACGTGTTAGCTTGTGTGTGTTGGAAATTGGGGCGAGATTTGCATCCAGAGGGCCATTTGTGAAGCCGATCACAATGGTCATTTCATTGAGCACTGCAAAGGCAAAAATAATTTATGTGATATTGCGAATGGTATAAACTCTGGTTACACTATAGCTAGGCCAATCCCACCGTTTTCCAATAAGGTTCCAGATCTCTAAAGAATGCCCACTTCAGCATATTGCCCCATCCCTTCTCCTTCCATGCATTTAAACTCTTGGGGAAATGATCAACACCATCTCGTACTGATCCGTCATGAGCAATGATAACAAAGACGTTCTCGTTGCAGTCAAGGTCTTGCAGATGCCCAACTGTAGTAGTTGCAAGCGGTATATCAAGCCCATAGGTTATATCGTAGAGAGTATCTGTAGGTTTCCTACCTCTTGATTTTTGAAGATCGTCAAAAGCGCTACCAGGACAGAATGGGAGGTCGCTTTGTGGATTGCAAGGATGCGGCGAGATTGATTCGGGTACTGGTAGATGCTCGGAAGGTCTAAATATCCCAGGATAGTGACAGACGTCACCACCTAGGAGTATAAAAGTATCGGGGCCAGTGGTTGTTCGTGCAAGTCCACAGAGATGGCCGACGGCGTGTCCGGGGCTATCTAGGAGGTAGAAAGAGCCATCGCCGAAATAATCAAAAGCTGGGAAGCGGCCAATCCGAAGAGAGTTCGGGCCGTCAAATGAAATCTCACGGAGGGTACGACCACTAACACGAAGCCGTTAACACATTGCATTGTAGCCATGGCGAGGAATTAAAACGTACGCGTAATCACTCTCACGTATGGGCGATTCGGGATTTGCTGGGGCACCTGGAAGCATAGCTTCTTTGAACCCCGCCCCAACTACGAGGTCAGTAGTGGGTGGGAAAGTAGACGGGTCGCCAATGTGGTCCCAATGCCAGTGACTTCAAACAGAGTCAGCTTTCAAGATGGCGACAGTAGGGGCAGTGAACCTACCTCCAAATGACGGCCTCGATTTCATTGCCGCGTATGCCGTTCTCTTCCAGGATATCGATGACATTCACCTTGACCTGAATGTTGTAGTTTGTCGTTGGTATGTAATTCGCAATGGTCGGAGCATAATTGTTAAAATCCTTTCGGATTCCTAGATCCCAGACCAATTTACGGCCAGAGCCATGCTCGATAAGAAAGCATAGTGAAGGCGAGTGTGTCTTGTGTGTTGTCACGCTAGGCACAGGTGGTGCCATGAACCTGTTCAGGACTGCTGGTCCAAAATTGACGGCATTGATCAGTTTGACAGTTACAGTTTCCTCGCCAGCGGGGAGCTGAACAATTGGCGATTTCTTCTCCATAGTTGCGTATATTATTGTGTTGTTGTGTTGAATGCGCCACAAGCGTCTTATTTCAATATTTCCGATATTTCGGAGCGGGATATCTGAGCGGGGTAAACACCCCAAGAATGTGGAGATGCTTTCCCCGCACTTCTTAGAGGCCCAGGGACCGGCAATCCACATTTGAACTAGCGCATTGTGCCGCTCCAAGAAACAAAGCCCACGCAACCCGGCCTCGCCCCCTAGCATTTTCAATTCCAGAGTATGCATCACGTAGCTTTCCCCGTAGCTATACTCCATACCCCATAGTCTATCCCGTAGTCTTGGTCTGGGGAAATGTGACTAGGAGGTTGCTAGAGCCCCTTTGCATGAGTATTTATATCTGATCCTCCTTTACCCAGGTCGTTTATCAAAGCTCTGGATCGGCATCCAACACATCCTACCTCTTGACACCCAAGAGTGCAATAATTTTTTCGATCAGTCACTATGAGCAGCACTTCGGAGAAGCCTCAGGTCATCCAGACAGAAGGTGTCACCACTCCTTCAAACGTTGAGATGGAAGATCTCAAGACTGCACCAACAACCGATACTGTGCATTTCGATGAAGCATTGAAAGTTCTTCAAAAGTATGATGGTGACCAGACGTGGACTGATCAGGAGGAGAAGCGGGTGCGAAGAATCATCGATTGGAAGCTGATGCCAGTGCTCTGCATGACATACTGTTTACAGTACTACGACAAGGCAATGCTCAGTCAAGCTGTGAGTTTCTGCTTTTAACGTCGAGTCATTGACGAGAGACTGACTTGGATAGGCTATTTTCGGACTCAGGGATGACTTGGGCCTGAAGACGGGCAATCGCTACTCCTTCTCAGCAGCTATTTTCTATCTTGGTTACATCGTTGGGGCTTACCCAACCATGATCTTGGCTCAAAGATATCCTGTCGAACGTGTGGCATCCATCCTTGTGGTGCTATGGGGTATCTGTCTCATCCTTACTGTTGCTTGCACCAACTACCAGGGACTATATGCACAGCGCTTCTTCCTCGGTTTGCTCGAGTCTGGCATCAGTCCTCTCTTCATGCTTATTGTTGTAAGTATTCGGAACAACTCGTCCTCCACTACACGCTGTTCTAACTATTTCTAAAGGGAAGTTGGTACAAGAAGAACGAGCAAGCCTTTAGAATGGGGTGAGTAGTCATGTTCCTCCAAAGACAACCCGTACGGATCACTGACAGTCCTTCAGAATTTGGTACAGTTGCACTGGCTACGTGTCCATCTTCTCTCCTCTCATCAACTACGGATTCGGACAGATCACCAGCGGACCTCTCTCATCTTGGAAGTATATGTATCTCTTTGCCGGAGCCATAACAACCTTATGGGGAGTTGCCATCTGGTTCGTGCTCCCACCCGACCCAATCCGAACAACCATCTTCGACGAAAGACAACGCTTCATCGCCATTTCGCGTCTGCGCAGCAACAACTCCGGCGTACGAAACATGCATCTGAAGAAGAACCAGATCACCGAATTACTCCTTGATCTCAAGTTCTGGATTATGATCTCAACCGCATTCCTCATGATGATTGCCAACGGCCTCATCTCGACCTTCATGCCAATCATCATCAACGGCTTTGGATTCAGCACCCTGAACTCCCTACTTCTCATGACACCCGCTGGAGCCTTCGCAGGAACTATTCAGCTGGTTGCGCCGTTCCTGGCAATGAAATTCGCAGGCGTTCGAACCTACATCATCATCGTTTGCCAGTGCATCACGACTACCGGAGCGTTGTTGTTATGGCTTCTGCCCCGAACCCAAACCGGAGCATTGTTATTTGCTGTTTACATCCTGCCAGCAACCGGAGGAGGATATGCTGTTGTCATGGGCCTCCAAATCGCTAATATTGCTGGTTATACGAAGAGGTCCATCGCGTCATCCGGTTTATACATCGGGTACTGCTTGGGTAAGATACCTTTCCGATTCTAGCTTTATAAGTGCATACTAACGCTTCTGCTAGGTAACTTTGTTGGCCCCTTGCTATTCAAGCCAGTGGACGCACCTCGCTATGTTCCTGGGTTCGTCGCTGTTGTCATTACGGCAATCGTTGCTGCTGGATTTATTGCCGCGTACCGATTAGTATGTATTTTGGATAATCGCAAACGCGACAAGTCTGGTATCATGGAAGGATTTGAGCATGCTTATGAGGATGACCTGACGGATATGAAGGTAAGTGCTGAGATTGTGGAATTTAGAGATTGTTTGCTAACTTTCGTGATTTAGAATCCTCAGTTCAGATACATTCTGTAAGCGACATATATTGTTGGGAAACGGACAGAAAGTAAGGAACTGTAGTAGCTAGGAGGCTGGTTTTGAGTATTTTCAATAATCAATAATTTAGTATGAGTTAAAGGGCAATTGGTAGTTAAGCTTTATTTTAGAAGCTATTGAATTATAATATCAACCCATTCGCCAAATACTTCAGCTCGCGATTCATTATAAAAAGCATCGTTGAAGTGGGCATCGCCATATATATGATGAGCGTCTGCTCGTAATTCCTTGGCATCTGTCTAGAGACTTTGCAAAAGACCTATAGTCAAGGCCTATAACACCTGTGTATATAACCATAACACCCAATTGCTACAATTATCAGTACAATACTCATCGTTCCTCTCGCTTCGCATGGGTCATATGCAATCTTTTAGAAGATCACTCAGGTCCAGGAGCCCACGAGTAATTTTGCAAGAACGGGTCAAAAAGATCCTGATACTGCATCATGATGTTCTCGTGAAATAACTCATTACTAGGCGACGGAAATCCTCTCGTGGCACTTCCATTGGCTCGTTCCGAGAGGAGCTTCTCCGCTATTCCGTTGGTTGCGCTCGTCACGAATGGAAAGAATGCCATCCAGTCAAAATCATCGTCGTCTGGCATACCCATGCCTTGTTGATCAACCTGTGCTGATAATATTCTTGGCGCGCTGGGGGTGCCGAGATCATTGTCGGGTGAGAGAGGATGGTCATTCGTTGTCATCCTCGGTTTATAAACGGCAGTGGCCGAGGTAGTAGTGGTGCTGCTCTGGTTCCTGAGGCGATCGAAACCATCAACAAGGACGTTTGCTGATGCCCACATTGTTTGGAGCTGCTTGACGGTTTGCACAAGAGTGTCTAGATCTCTATTAGCGTCCCGGGAGAGGTGATCGACATGGCATGCTTGCAGTAGAGCAATAAATGCCGTTCCACTGTACCAGCACGTAATAGCCATGAGAAATCGTGCACTGCCTCGCGATAATATATCCCGAAGTATGCGTGCGATGCAAGATGCCGCCATAATTGCCGGCGGTAGAGCTTGTGGTAAAGAATGAGCTGATCGCTTGAGATGTAGAATGGTAATCACTGTGAGATATGGGAGGTGCAATTGATGCACGTTCCGATTGAAGTTCTCTGTGCGCGCTGAGCTTATGGGAAGCTGGAGGTGGGGAGGGAGAGAATGAACCCATTCGATAAGCTCCTGCCGTAGATGAAATGGGAAAGGGGGTGATGGCGCCGACTCATCGGCGGCAGAGCGTAAGAGAACCTTGGCTACACGACCAATGATGGCACATAGACGGACCCAATATATAAAGATCTCGCCCTTAGCCTGGTCCTGTGGGTTGCTTGGAAAGTCGGCAAGTGTTGGCTCTGAAATGTTGCAGTCGTCTGGATCTATGATGCAGGGCTTACTTTGGCATAATGCCGTTAGGCGCTCTCGAGCCTTGAAACTATTAGTATCGGTGAGGTCATAGAATGGATTTGTACCCACAAAAGCAGTCCACCAGATCCTGCGACGCAGACTAAAGTCTAGATTATCCCCCCGATAGAGATCAAGACTACGTTCGCGATGAAAATTCATCTGTTGAGCATGTCGTATGAGAACCGACGTCCACCACCACGACGAATGCCTATGAACTATCGTCGTCCCGATAGGAGCCCACCAATAGAATAATGCTATAGCTTTCAAAGAAGTCATGCCGTCGGCCTCCTCATCATTATAGAACAGCGATCGAGCCGTCTTGTAGTATGCAGCGGAACCCTCGTGCGGAATTAATGGAGGTTGAATATTACTCGCGGCAGCAGCAAGTGCATTTGCGAGCAGAGGAGACCGAGTTAGGTCGTTCTGGAGAGTTTCTCGGCATAATATGGGACAAAAGGGATAGCAATATTCAAAGTAAGTTTCGATGAAGCTTTGCTGGAGATCCAGCTGCAGAGGCTCTGCGACTTCCTTTTGTTCTAATATTGAAACAAGAGCGTGACTCTCAGCTAACCGTCGATGCTCAAGATCATATATTTGTAGAAATCCGGTGTCTACATCACCCGTGTGTGCCTCCCCAGTCTCCGTATGCTCGTTGCTTGCTTGAGACTGAGGGGCAGCTGGGAAGTTGGCTTGATGACCTAGTGAATCGTTCCGCTGTTGGTGGAAATCATCTGAGAGACCTGGTAGATCTTGGTTCTGTTGTTGGTGGACTGAGTCTTGAAATCGTTTGGCTGCGGAATTGCTGATTGCTGTAGGGGAGGGGCCATTTGGCGCTCCCATTTCGGGGTTGGAGATATGAGTTGAAGTTTCAACTTGCTGGGATATAGAGTGACCGTGTCGGATACTCTCGGGTGTCTGCATGACGTTGGAAGTAGGTGAAGGTTCTGAAGAATTGTTAGTATCCTTATCGGCTATGGCATTGTAACGAGGTCGAACCTGTGATTCGGGCCGGCACCTTTTGGCGCTTTTCGCGCCTAGTTGGACGAACACAACATTCTCGATTTTGAGTGCTACAAGTCGTACAGTTTTGGTGACCAAGGTTTGTCCTATTTTGGAGATCACATTTGGTCTTCTTGGAATGACAGGCAATACAGACTAGCTCTGCACGTTTGCGCCGAGTCTGAGGTGCAGTAAAGTGCATCCAGTCGAGTTCGGTCATGACTGGGGTTGGTGGCACCGTTGGCGCCGTCAAGGTTGAGTGAGGCCAAGATTGCGTGGGTTTCGCGGTGCGCTTGCTGTCGTGACGGTGACGATACTGGTGATGTGTATGGCTCGTTGTCGCCGTTGCAGTCGTTCCGGTCGTTCTCGTCGTTGTCGTCGCTGTAGGTGTGGTGCAAGGCTGGTGCGGAGGTAAATCTGGGGTACCCGGTAACCCCGCTCAATTCTACAGTTTTTGGGAGACCCGAGAAACCGATTTCGTCGATGTGTGGGGCGCCAATACGCTTATCGTGCGGAGAAAACCACAATGCTGACCAAACATTTAATCCCCAGATACCAGGCCGCTAAGTTTTGCTCTGCTTCGTCGCGCCATGATATGATTGTTAGATGATAGATAATTTATGTGGCTGCGACTTGGGCGGCTTCATATTACCCTGCTCGTTGAGGAGGAATGAGGACTTTTGGGTGCTGTGGGGGGAGATGGTGGGCAGGGGTCCTACAGTGTCAAAACCATGATAATATAGACTATATCACGGTATCTCCGTCATTTTCTTACCTACAATTGATTATAGTCTTGAGTGACTGGACGCATTTACCTGAACTAAAGTTACTGCAGACAGTGTTCTCATCCACAGTTCCTCTCGAAATATTTAGGGTGAGCTCAGCGCTTGTTTTAATCGCCCCGGGCATGTATATGCTTCTCTATGATTTTCTATATCGTCGTAGTGTTACAATATCATACAATATTCATTACACCCCTACTTCTTCCCCTTCCCCTTCCCACCCGCGCCCCCCTTCTCGGCCTCCTTCGCCTTCGCCTCCTCCTCCAACACCAAATCCTCAATATCCCTCTCCCCCAACCAAGTCCTTACACTCTGCATCACCTTCTCCAGCTCCTCACCCCCGTCCATAACCTCATCCAAATTAAACACACTAAGACCACTCCGATGATCCGTCACCCGCTGCTGTCCCCAATTGTACGTCCTCACTTTATCCCCCCTTCCCAACTTCGTCCCGCCCCCAGCCGCCTGCCTCACCTTCTGGACCTCCTCCTCCCGCTTCTCCCGCCTCGCCTGCGCCAGGCGCGCGCGCAGGATATTCCACGCTTTCTCGCGGTTCTTGTGTTGAGATCGCGAATCTTGCATCGCTACCACAGTACCCGTGGGTATATGCGTCAGGCGAACCGCAGAATCAGTCGTGTTAACGTGCTGCCCCCCCGCACCACGAGCTCGCATAACATCAACACGCACATCCGTGGTGTTGACGTAGTAATCGCTCTCGGGATCATTAAGATCCGCCTCCCCTATCGACTTCTCCCCCCCGGTCGTCGGGATGCTAGGAAGTACTAACACACCCACAGCACTCGTGTGCGTTCGCCCCTTCGCCTCAGTCACTGGGACGCGCTGCACGCGATGTACACCGGACTCGCATCGGAGTTCCGCATATGCGCCTGCATCCGAAATCTCCAGAATCGCTTCCAGGATCGGCGCTTCGGACTCCGCGCCCGTTGTACCGTCCGTAGTCTCGTACTTGAGCAACGACGACTGAAAGCCGCGACGCGCGCAGTAGGCACGGTACATGCGCAGCAGGTCGCCAGCAAAAAGATTAGCTTCGCTGCCTCCCACGCCAGGTTTGATCTCGATGAGGCATGGCAGGGCGGCGAAGGGGTGTATCGGGGTCAACGCCGTCTTGAGGTTTTGGGATAAGGACGCGACTTCCGATTTCGTAGCTATGAGGTCTTCCTCCGCGAGTTCACGCAGCTCGGGATCGGTGCTGCGGTCGGAGAGGAGGGCGTGCAGCTCCGTGAGCGAGCTAGTTGCTGTATCGAGCGAGGCGAGGGAGGAGGCTATGGGTTGCAGCTCCCCAATGCGTTTGGCGAGTTTGCTGTCAAAGGTATCGCTAGTTTTGGCGCTTAGGGAGGCATATTCGTTTGTAAGGGATCGGGCGCGCGTGAGGAGCGCGGGACTGATGAATTCATTGCTCGTAGCTTGGGGATGATTAGCGGGTGCTCTTGCGCATCGGGGAGGGGGGGATTGGATCGGTCGTACCTATGCTTTGGAAGCGGATAGGCTGCTGCTGCCGCCTAGCTGGCTTGGAGAGTGCGGTGATGCATCTGCGACATACCCACGGACTTCGAATCATGCTGGGATACCTAAATCGCAGCGAGGATTATCTAGGTCGTCGCGAAGTGCAACCCCCAAGCCGTGAGGTTATTCCGAACCCGCGGCGCCAAAAATGTTTCGGGCCCTGGCGGAGAAATGATAGGCCGTGCCATCACCGCCCTGGCAGAATTCGATGGATTGGGGGTTCTGTGTGGAACAAAAATCGGGGGAGGGTTCTTGGCGGCAACGTTTATATCTCGGCAGATGGTCAGGGACGGGTGTAGCATGTGTTACAACTAGTTTTCTGTGAGATTGAAGTGATGTTATGCTATATCGGCGTGGGATACGGGGATGCCGACGCGCCTCCGAGCCTCGGCCGGGGTAGAGGAAGCCGATTTTTGAGTTTCGGCGTCCACATGTTACCCCGCCGTGCATGATGGCATATGCCCCACGGGTACAGCGGCTTCCCACCTTCGGACAGGACTGTTTATCCCAGATACCCCCACTTTCACGTATCACGGTCGGGCGGGGTGGCTGTTAGGCTTCGGGGGTTCGTCGCCGTAGTGTAGTATATCGGGACCTGTTTGACTCTTAGATCTCCTTTCAAAAGGTGAAGCTTTCCGTATATGTCCTTGGAATCTACTGGCTGCATACAACCACGAACTTGGCGCAATCAAGACAGCTTCATCGATAATACTAAGAAGCCACTTACTATCATAGACACCTACAACTGCCCAAGATGGCTCTAAACGCAGAAGCCATCCCACCCTCCTCAAACCCCGCATTCGCCCAATTCCCAAGCCGAAGGAGCGTCGTCCACAGCACCGACGGAATCATCGCCTGCACGCAACCATTGGCAGCAAGATGCGGTCTCAGGATCTTACAACAAGGCGGAAACGCAGCTGTAAGTCAACCAACATCCCACACAAGACACATCACTAACATAAACCCAGGATGCCGCAGTAGCAGTCGGTATGTCCCTCCCCCCCACCAACCCACCAGCCAGCACCATCTAACCCCCCACAGCCGCCGGACTCAACATGACCGAACCCTGCAGCACCGGCATCGGCGGCGACATGTTCTGTCTCTACTACGACGCCAAAACCAAGAAGGTCTCCGCCATGAACGGCTCTGGCCGCGCAGGCGCAAACTGCTCGCTCGAAACTATCCGCAAGGATCTCGGGCTCAAGGAGGGGCAGGAGGGCTCGATACCCCTGGATAGCGTGCACGCAGTCACAGTCCCCGGAGCTGCTGCAGGGTGGGTCGACACAGTTGAGAGTTTCGGTAGCGGAAAGCTCTCTATATCACAGATCCTCGCCCCCGCCATCGAGCTGGGAGAGAAGGGGTTCCCTGTTTCTGAAATCGCAGCTGCTTCTGTACGTCCCCTCCCCCTTTTCCATTCCACCAAAACCCCCTTTAAACCCCCCAAACTAACTCCCCTCGCAGTGGCAACGCGGGGAATCCAGTCTCCGCGCCGCCTCCCCCAACTACGCCGAACTCCTCAAATCCGACTCCTCATCCCCTGACGGCTACCGCGCCCCCGGCCCAGGAGAACTCTTCCACAACCCCAATTTATCCTCTACTTTCCGCGCGTTGGCTACAGAAGGGAAGGCAGGGTTCTACAGCGGCCGCGTGGGCGAGGCGCTTGTTAAAGTGCTTGCTGATCGCGGGGGACGGCTTACGGCGGAGGATTTGTCGAATCATGCGAATTTGGGAACCGAGCACGTCTCCCCCATCGCCCTAACATTCAACGGGCAGAACGCCGGCAAACCCTTTTCTGCAGACGCCTCCCACGCTGTCAAGCTGTGGGAACACCCTCCCAACGGCCAGGGTATCGTCGCTTTAATGGCATTGGGTATTCTCGAATCCTTGGAGGCCGCTGGCACAATCCCAGCTTTCAAACCAGAAGACCACAACACAGCACCCTACCTCCACGCCATCATCGAAGCCCTCCGCATAGCCTTCTCCGACGCTTCCTGGTTCGTCGCAGACCCCAACGCCGTCCGCGTCCCAACCGCCGAGTTGCTCTCCTCCTCCTACCTCGCCACGCGCGCTGCGCTCTTCGACCCGGCGCGCGCGACACCAGTGCCCACGCGCGGCTCACCGGCGTTGAATTCCTGCGACACCGTTTACTTCGCCGTCACGGACGCGGAGGGTAACGCAGCGAGTTTTATTAATAGCAATTACACCGGTTTCGGCTCCGCTATCGTGCCCCAGGGATGCGGATTCACTCTCCAGAATCGCGCGGCGAATTTTAGTCTCGATAAGGAACATCCGAATGTGCTGGCGCCGGGGAAGAGGCCGTATCATACTATCATCCCTGCCTTGACTACTAACGCGAGTGATGACAGCTTGCACAGCGTCCTCGGCGTGATGGGGGGATTCATGCAACCCCAAGGCCACGTCCAGGTGTTGTTGAATATGCGCGCATTCGGGTTTAACCCCCAGCAAGCCCTCGACGCGCCGAGGGTGTGTATTGGGGCTGGGATGCCGGATGAGGGGGAGGTGTTGGATGTTACTGTTTATGTGGAGGAGGGGGTTGATGAGAAGGTGGTGGAGGGGTTGAGGGGCTTGGGACATAAGGTGCAGGTTGTGGGGGGGTGGGAGAGGGGGTTGTTTGGGAGGGGACAGGTGGTGAAAAGGGGGAGGGATGGGGTGGATTCGGGGGGGAGTGATTTGAGGGGGGATGGGGGGGCGTATCCTGCGTAGATGGTGAGACGTCGTATCTTAGCTGAATCGGAAATATATCATGGCCATCGTTGAAGTAGGGGGGTAATATGGAAATACCTTCACACATGTCAACCTCGAGCTATTACCAGCTTTCATCTTGCAAGGCTATTGTACTCCTCAGCATTGAAATGGAAGAACTCTAAACTTACATCTCATCTCACACCTACTTACCACAACCTACTCACCACATCTGACATCGAAAACTCATCATACACGTCATCTGAGAAACAACAGAATGGCAAACCTTACCTTCACTTATCTCACCATGCTTACCATACTCACCTCACAAAACCACCATCCTCAGCATCTATCATCCTTACCATCCATCCTCACCATCCTGATCATCCTCACCATCCATCCTCACAGCACATAACACCCCTCACATCGTCATCCACCTCACCCATCACCCATCAACCCCTCACCTCGTCATCCTCCCACGGGTACCTTACATACCCCTCTCCCCTCCGACGCCTCAGCTTATGCACATCGTCACACTTGGCAGTGACGTTTCTTCTGACTTACCTCATTCCTCACCTCCCACTACCTACTTTCCCCTTCTACCCCCGATCACTCCTACCATCTTCCCCCATCTCCTATAGTCTTCCATCCCTTTTCCATCCTTACCTTCCTATCCCCAATCCGTCTCATCACCCCTCACATAACCACCACCGAATCCGTCTCCCCCCTTTCCCCATCCCCAATCCGTCCCAACCACCAGCCATGCTCCTCGATATCTGCTTACCAATCCCCTGCCCCGCCCCTTGCATGCCAGTAGACACATGATTGGGTACCCCACAAGGAGACTAAACTATAACAGGATTAGTGATATGCACGCGCCGTAAATGGAATAGCGGCAGGCGGAGAAAATGACGAAGTGATGACGCAACGCTGTTCGTGGTTGGGACAAAGCGAAAAAATGGATTTGGTTTTTCTAGGGGGGGGGGTTAGTATGCTAGATGCTGTATACACTGTATATGTGTATTGGGATGGAGATGAAGTGTAATACTGTATAATACTTATATCCCTATCACTCCTTGTCCGCGTCGTGGATTAACAATCCCCCAACGCTGAAAATCAGACGCGACTCGTTGAACGTGAATCCGCCCTCGGTACACTTCCGTACCACAGTACATGCTCTCGTGCCCCCAAGTCAACTAGCAGAGTACAGAAAGTCTAAGTGTCCACACACCAGCACTACGGTAGTCGGAAAGTGGGCCGCCCTTCCCATCCACCCAACCTATCACAGGAGGGTTAACGTGATAGAGACCCACTTATGTGTGGTTTCGTCATAGGCACGAGAGATTGTGTGGAAAGCGGTTTTTTGGTGAGCAGTGAGTGGTAGAGCAGTAGTAGGAGGAGGGGACAGGGACAGGGTGAGCGGGAGAAGGGGAGGAGAGGGTTTTTGTTAGTGAGGGTTAGGAGAGGGAAGGAAAAGGGGAAGAAGGGCGTTTTGTTAGGGGGGATGATAGATGGGCTGTTAGGGAGTGTACGTGACTTTTCTTACCGTCTAGTCTACACCGCATCCATCCCGGCAGTCACATTTTAACTACCACCCACCGCCCACCCACCCACCGCCGAGACTCGACTTGACTCGATCAACTCTTCTAACACTTCTTTCCTAACTCTCTGGTACAACTCTACCACGGCACAACGGCACTGTTACATGCATCGTGGGCATTGGCGTGGTGGGAACCGCGGTATCGAGGTGGGTGCGCTGTTGTACCTCTGGCTGGCATCCACTGGGTGTCTTTTGTAGTGTTAGTAGTCGAGGTGTTGACCAGTTAGGAGGCGGGAATTGGGTCTAGGAGCGAGGAGACGGTGGGTGGTGGGTACGGGGATGGTACTTCGAGGGACTTGGATGGTTATACTGGCCCAGCGCAGGGTGAATCTCTCGGTTTTGTAGCATCCCATCCACTGATGGGATTTGGGTGCTGTTTTGTTGTTCTTACTCCCTAACACCCTCCCTAACCTTCCTGTTTGTCTCCTACCACTCTCTTCTCCTCCTCTCTCCCCTCTTTCTTTCCCGTCACACACTCTCCTACTTGTTAGTCACACTCCTCTTAGTACACCCCCTAGGAGACATACTATTGTTAGTACCAACCTACTATTTCTTAGCACTCTCCTCCTACTGTTTACCATTTCTTACCACACCCACCTCCTCTCTTACTACCACCCATTAACACACCTATTAACACACCCATTAACATACCCACCAACACTGTGCATCTCCTCCCTCTACACCCTCTACACCCTCTACACTCTTTGTCTAACGCACCAGCTACCACCACACCCTCCTTACACTAATACAACTTACAAATCATCCACAACCACTACCAACTCTACCACCACAACCACCTTAACAGTACCACCACCTCCACTCCCTCTACCCACTTCCTACCACCCCCCTTACACTCCCTCCTCACACCCCCTACTACCCTCCCTTATTCCCCTACCAACCTCTCTTATTCTCCCTCTTACCACCTCTACCACCACCACCTCTATTTATCCATCCACCTCCCCCCCCAATCTAAGTACACCCCAAGTACCCCCAAGTAACCCTGCCCCCATCCCCCATATTCCATCCCCACTTTTTCCTTCTCTCCATCCCATCTCATCCTCCCATTTTCCTCCACTCCCTCTAATCCCTCCAATCCCTCCAATCCCTTCTCCCCAAACCTCTCCAATCCCTCCCCCCATCCACCAATTCCATCCAATCATCTCAGTTTTTTTTTCTTTCCCTTTTCCATTTTCCCTTTCCTCGTCTACTGTCCCTACCACCCGCCCTACCACCACATAATCCGATTAATCCCCCCCCAAGACCGAACTCCCCCCAAAGAAACATCCTACCTGACGTCACGTCGACTTCCGTCCTACAACCACAAACAATTCATTCAACCACCAAAGAATATCAACCCAAACTATACTATTTCTCAGCTAATTCGACTTCAAAATCACCCTACGCAATTATCACTCCAGATGAACTAGCTGCTTATACATACTACCCTAAACTAATCCCGACTCGAAACTTCAAAAACCAAGCCTCCCTCGCATCTCCTCCCTCCGAAACCTTTCGCCTGTCATCTGCAGAAAACACTCGTCATAGCCCACACCTTAACACACCCGCGACCACACCATCACCCCCAACCACCACCACCAACGTCACTGCCGTCACCGACGTCCGCCAGAGACACCACAATAGCCTCAATCGTCGCTTCACCCCCCCCCCCCCCATCACGCGCGCGAACAGTCTCTCCTTCCTCCCCCTTCCCTCCCCCACAATGGAGAATTCTCCCACAGACACCGCGAAGAAGGAGATCCCGTCGCCGACTGAGCCTGCCACAACCACCACCAGCAACACCACGCCAATAAAGACGGGTATGTCATTCTCTACACGCACCTGCCACCCCTCTCCTCCCCCCTTCCCTTCTTTCCCCCTCTCTCCCTTCCCTGTCAATGACGTTGTGACGTCCCTGGCGCGTTGTGGTTGTGTCTTGGGCGACAAAAAAAATGAAAGACTCACATGCTCACAATCACTCAACAGACAACGAGACAATCCCCAACAACGCCGACTCATCATCGACCAACGTCGACGGCGACGCCGAAACCACCGACCCGACACTCCTCCCTCCCCCACCGCGCCCATCGTCAAACTCGGGCACCAGCAATAACAACAACAGCAACAGCAACAGCGACACCTACTTCGCGCCGAACCAACCCGCGGCATCACACCTCTCCTTCGAACCCAATCCCTTCGAACACTCCTTCGCAGGCGGCGGCGGCTCCAACTCGGCAGGCGACTCCCAAACCCCCGGCGGCACCAAGCTCCCACCCGTCGCCTCCATCACCTCACCCTCCTCCCTCCTCCCCGGCGGCGGCACAACCCCCTACCCCTGGGGCAGCTCCTCGCTGCGCACCGGCCCCCTCTCCCCCGCCATGCTCTCCGGCCCAACCGGCGATTACTTCGGCGACACCAACCACCTCCGCGGCGGCTTCACCCCGAACGAGTCCAGCCTGCGAACAGGCCTCACCCCAGGCGGCGGGGGCACCATGTTCCCCACCCCCAGCCCAAACTCGCAAGCCATCTTCAACCAGATCGCCGCCGCCACCCCTGCGACACCAACAGTCGACTTCCACCGCTCCGCCCTCGCCGCCTCGCACCGCAAGCAATCAGAGGCCGCGACCCCATCAAACATCACATCCCAACCCCAGCGCGACGTCACAAACGGCGACCACGCCGCCACCACACCAGCAAAGCAACTCCAGCAGCAGCAGCGCGAACCCTTCGCCCAACACGACGCCAACGACGCCGCGAACGGGCTCTTCCTACTCGCCTCCCAATCACGGACTAACTCCGTCGGCCCTGGCGCATCAGGACAATACGCAATGGCGCCCCAGCAGCCCGTGCACGCGCACCCGAGCGGCGGCGGGGCGTCGCAGCCGCGCGAGCTAAGGAATGGGAGTCGTGGCGGCGGCGGGGTAAGCGAGGGGAGCGAGGATAGCGAGGATAGGTCGTCGTCGAGGGTGACGAGGGGGAAGGGAAGGAAGGGTGCGGGCGCGAGGAGGAAGGCGGAGGAGGTGCCGGTGGCGAGTAAGGCGCCGCCGGCGAAGAAGGGGAAGCATGGCGGTGGTAGCGCGGCGTCGCAGCATTATATGGAGCCGGAGCCGCCGAGTGAGGAGGAGGATGTTAAGCAGGAGGAGTATAATGCGAATGGGAAGAAGATGACGGATGAGGAGAAGAGGAAGAATTTCTTGGAGAGGAATCGGTATGTCTTATCCCCTTTTGCACCCAACCAAACCACCATTCTCCCCAAACCCGTTTCCGCCAGAAAGAAAGAAAAGATCAAAAAACGATAGAACAGAAAACTAATTTTTTTGCCGTTAGTGTCGCCGCCCTCAAATGCCGCCAGCGCAAGAAACAATGGCTCGCCAACCTCCAACAAAAAGTCGAAATCTTCAGCTCCGAAAACGACTCCCTCACCAACCAACTCGCCAACCTCCGCGAGGAAGTCATCCAGCTCAAAACCCGACTCCTAGCACACAAGGACTGTCCCGTCTCCCAATCCCAGGCTATGGGTGGGTATTTGGGGGGTATTGAGTTTGGAGGGGGGGCGCCGCCGGGGATGATGGGGCAGGGGATGCCGGCGGGGATGCCGGCGGGGATGCAAGGGGGGGGGATGCCAGCGGGGATGCAGGGTGGGATGCAGGGGATGGGGGTGCAGTATGGGAGTATGATGGGGCAGGGGATGTCGGGGGGGGGGATGCAGGGGGGTGGGGGACAGCAGCAGCAGGTTATGGCGCAGGGGGGGGGGGATAGGCGGTTCTCGTAGGGAGATGGCCTGAGATGTCCCTTCCCGTGTGACCCTGGCTGTGGGACGACGAGCGTTTGATTCGTCCTAGCTGATGGGATCTTTATGGATGGTGATGAGAGGGGATAGAGGGGAGAGAGGGGAGAGAAAGTGGACACGTGCTACGATAATGGGTGTTGAACTGGAAACTTTTTATGCCGGTGGACCTTACTGGCTTGGTTGGGGGGGGGGGGACAAAATGGGGGGGAAGGAAGGGGGAGTTCTATTTGTTTATATGTCTGCTCTCTCTCTGTGTATTCATTGTGTCTTTTCTCTTCTGTTCTTTTTTTTTGTTTTTGTTTTTTTTCGTTTTATAGTGTTTTGTCATCGGTTTTTGATGTGCTTTGTGTTGGTTGAGTTTGGTGGGTGGAGTGGAGAGGGAAGGATGGGAGGGATTGGAGGGATGATGGGACGATGGGAATAGGAGGGAATGAGAGAGAGGAGGGAAAGTGGTAGGGGATGGGGGGGTTACGGCGATCGTACCCTAGGGAAGAAATGGGTGGTGGAGGTGTATTACTAAGACAAGATCCAAGATCGAGATAAAGATCAACATATGATACGAGATGGATGAGATGAGATGATGGGAGTGGGGGCTGGTGTTGATATGAGGTTGACGAGATGCCCCGGGGTTGAAGAGGGGGGGATTGAGTGTGGGACAAAAGTAGGGGGTTTAGGGGCGGGGGGGGAATACATATTTGTATATATAAATGAGATTCTTGTTCTAATACACATTTCTGGTGCTAATCTGATGATTGTGTGACATATATATGCTATGCTCCGTGTCCGACAGGTTAGGAATGAGATTTACGAATTAGGAAAGGCGGGAGATGGGAAAGGCCGGGTAACTAACTCTGCTCTACTGAGAGGAGGGAGTGTGCGCGTGTGTGGATGTGCCGCTATATCATCTGTTCCCTTACAGCAGGGAGGATCCTGTCAAAAGTAAAAATAGGGGGCTCGAAACAAGATCAGTCGGTCCACAACGAAAGCGTTATAGCACTTCTCTGATTCCGAGTCATGGTTGGAGATGGGCCGCTTGCTGGCTACGAAGCTAGGTAATTGCGGGGTGCGGGGGTGGGGGGCGGAGGCTGTTGTCGTCGTCGTGGATGCTGTTGTTGTCGTGTTGGTGGTTCTCGTCGTCGAATTCCTGCTGTCGTCGATTCCTGCTGTCGTTTTGTTGAGCTGTTCTCGTCGTCCCTTCCTGTCGCCTCAACACTCACACACCGTGCGCGTTGCTTCGGACACACAGATCCTATTACCGTTTACCGTTTACCCCGTTCCAGAGAGGGCTGGTTTTGAAGGTGGGAGGTAGAAAGGTGACGCGTATGTGAATTCCAGTCTGGGGACGGCGTCATGTTTGGGGGGTTATATGTATATATATGTAAATGGGGAATTCTTGGTGATGGGCTTGGTTGTGGGGTCGTGAGGTGCTTGGGTGTGTGTGTGTGTTGTGTGCGTGTGTTGTGTGTGTATTGTGTGAGTGAGTGATTGGGGAGCGAACGAAAAAAAAGGGGCTGTGGGTGGTTGGGGGTTGAGGCGCGATTTTTTTTTATGCGGTTCGTCATGATGCTGTGACGGTACTTAACTACGATGCAAACCCCCCCCAAGCCCTCCTTGGATTTCAAACTCTAGCTTGCTTGTTTATTTTATCCTCGGGTAGAGGTACGTCTAATATTCATGCTGTAGAAGATGACAGGGGGGGCAAGAATAACTGGGATCTCGTACGGTGGGAGACGAATGGTTCAGACTTCAAATAGTGTGGGGAGAGGGGTGGTAGGTGTACAGGGGGAAAGGGGGGTTGAGGGGGGTGTTGAGGGTGTGGATGGAGAGGAGGTCTCTTGGTGGTGGTGGGGGATCTTGTTGGTGGAGCTTCTTGTCGTCGTTGATTCTTGTCGTCGTCGACGATTCTTGTTGTCATCATCAAGGAAGACCTCAGCAATTACTCGTCGAGAAGGTGACATCAGTACTAGATTATGATTTGTAGAAGCTCTACTTCAAAGGAGGTATGATCTTGTATCCTTCTGCGACGTTTTGCCCCGCCCTTCTCGTTGTCTTTACCCCTTACCCCCTACATATCACCATCGGGATTTACTTCTCGCTAATACGCAGATGAATCTACTACGTGCCAGAGAAAGGTTTGGAAGGTAAGAGGTGTGAGGATATTGGTTTCGGGGAGGGCAGGATATTATAGGGTCTGAGCATGTTTAGGTTATTAGATGATGAGAGGATGAAGGGAGAGGGAGGGTGATATGATTCCAAAAGCGTGGATGGTAAGCAAGGGGCCGGGGGGGGGGGCTGGGGAAATGCTATCCAAGACGCAACCACCATTACCCTACTGCGAATGTTATAGCCTTTCCTATAAATCACCACAGATGTGTTCAAATAACATTTTTCAATATCATAAGTGAGCTACATTCCCTACGTGCTTGCCATACGACGTGGTACGGGGAAGCTGGAGCTGGGACGGCTGTAGAGTCGGGGTTGGGGGGTCGAGAGGGGTGGGAGGTTCTTGTTAGTGAAACTTCTTGTCGTCGTCGTCATTCCTGTTGTCGTGAATTGCTGTTGTCGTCCCTCCCCCTCACTGTCGCGGTTCGTATAACGTTTTGCCATGCGGCTGATATTGGCCTCGTCGTAGATTCCTCTCTTCATCTTTCCCCCTCACCCCCCGGTGTGTATAACTTTGTGCCATGCGGCTGATAAGAACCTCCGCGAGGGAGCAATGATTGAGTTTGCGGAGTCTACAGGCGACAAAGCCGTGGGGCTAATACTTGGCCTACCCGAATATATCTACCGCGGTCTCAACTTTTCATGGGCATGAATCGGCTTATGGATCACTGGTTTAGAATTAATGAGGTGCTTTGAAGGATAACAGACATGGGAATACTAGTCTCAGAAACGGATGTGAGAGTCCAATTGTTTTCGATACTTGGTTCGAATACTTGTGATTGTGGGTTGGGTTATTATATGTGATAGGCGTGATGGAATGATGGAGTGGTAGGGGTGTAGCTAATCGGGCGGGGGTGATATGGGGGAAGAAGGAAGGGGGATAAATGAGGGGAAGCGTGGGGGGGTAGGAAGGGTGTATATAAGTGAAGGTTTGTTCTGCTACTTCTTTTTATCGATGCATGAGCATCCACGGGGTGATATCCTAGTCGACCATGATGCCATTGAAGAATAGACCTCAGCCACCGCGCGGCTTGAAGCTGCTGCTGCTGCTACTCAATCTACCAACTGGATGTGTTGGAAGAAATGAAAAGGGGGTGGGTGGGGAGAGGTTCTTGTTGTCGTCCATTCCTGTTGTCGTCTCATAGAAGACGACACCCCTCTATTCTCGTCCTCACCACCCACATCCACAACCCAAGCCTGCATCCTCCTTGCTGTAGCCGCTTGCATCTTTGCCACCTCTGATTCGTAGTTTTCGTATTGTAATCTCGATCTCCCTTGATTCCTCCGATCCCGTCTCATAAGACCACGGAATGTGACTCCGCAGGTGGTGATAATGGCGTAGCCAATGTTCTGTTTGATTTGTTTCAACTCGGGTCCATCACAAGAGATCAGTGTCAAATGACTTCTTAATCATTTGAAGAATTGAATCCACCATCAACCTAACCAACCGTTCTTTTATCAGTCTAGGCTAGCCAACCCATGTATCCTGTCCCAGCGATGTCTTGTCGCTGTATGGAATTCTAAAGAACAGACAGGACAGGATATATATATTCATCACCTCCTATCTCTCATCCCCCGCCCCTCCCCTCTCTCGCCGCACTCTACACTCACAGCATCATAGAAATAAATCTATATTTTTCGTCCAAATAAGGAAGGAACGCAAAAGTCAAAAACCGTCCCAACACGGTAGCTCTTTCCCTCGTTGGTTGCTCGTTCCTTCCGTTTTTACTCGGTCGTTTGTTCCTCCTGGAGTCGGTCGCTCCTGCCTTGTAAAGCCAGTCATTCCTTCCTTACTTAATCGGTCGTTCCTTCCTCCTGGAGTCAGTCGTTCCTTCCCTCTAAGTCAGTCGTTCCTTCCCTCTGGAGTCGGTCGCTCTTTCCTTCTCGAGTCGGTCGTTCCTTCCTCAGTTGGTTGGTCGTTCCTTCCCTCTAGAGTTGGTCACTCCTTCATCCTAGTATCGGCTGTTCCTTCCCTATATGATGGGCCGTTCTTTCCATTCCCAGCTGGTCGTCCCTTCCCTCCAGCGTCGATAGTTCTTTCAATATTTAACTATTCCACAAGTCGTCCCTTCCCTCGATAGTTGGGTCGTTCTATAGTTCACCAGTTGTTCCTTCTCTTTTTAATCCCATTATCGGGTAGCTCTTTCCTTCGATTGGTGGTTGTTCCTTCTATATATTCATACCTGCACGGTCTCGCAAGTGTGGCGCTAACTGCTGCCTCGTTTCCATTTGAGTTGCATCAGGGGAAGAGAAGATGGAGAACAGGAATCGGAGAGTATGTAGTTGAAAGATATCTATATTCTGCGTCATCAGTCTTTCTTCTCTGCTAATAGTATATACCACTGTCTCTCAGTCTTCGCACTTCCATGCACCTCCTCCCTCAGCCGTTTCTTACCACCAATCCTCTCTCAACCTCACATCCTCACACCCAAACCAATCGTCCAAATCCCCATCCTTATTTATATCCCCTCATAACCTCCGAAACGATTATATCCTCCATTTCCAGGTCCGTGTCACACCCACACCGTCTTTACTGCTGGATCCTCTCTGGGATGATGTAAAGGTGAGAATAATCTTCCGGGTGGAAACTTCAACCGCTTCTTTCGCTCTCACCAGATTCATCTTCTGTCCCACCCGATGAACCGGATAATGATTCATCTTCTGTCCCGCCCGATGGACCGGACGATGATTCATCGGATCCACCGATCACCGACTCTGTTGTCTCATCTTCTGTTGTCGAAGGATCAGACGGTTCCAACAACACTTTTCCTTCTTTTTCCGCATAATAATCCGTCCAACTGCCTGTTCCATCGCTACTTTCGCGCGCCGCCCCCTCCACCCTTTTCTTTCTCGGAACTGGCTCATCTGGAATCGGCACCCCCATCAACTCCTCCCTCTTCCATCTCGCATTAAATGCCGCCCACCCCACCTTCATTATATCCTCATGAACTCTCCTCCCCAGCTCCACCTCCTCCGCTCGACGCGCCCCGTAACCATCTACTTCCTCCACCCAGAAGTGCCTCCGCGCCATCTCACTCTCCATCTGAAGAACTCGTAGCCTCATCCAGTCGCTGGGCGGCGCGTAAAGTGGCGTCCGCAGACCCTGATCCCACTCTTCCTTCGTCACGCCAATCATCCCTGCGAGACCCTCTCTGTTGTGGTCCGCGTCCCGAAATATCGGCTTCTCTTGGTCATCTTGTATCCGCCTATACGGTATTGGAAGAAGCTCTGATGTTGAGCTGTCTGAGGATCTGGCTTTTGGGACCCGCCGTGACCTTGCTCGTCCTCGACCTGTTCCGCGACCGCGTCTGGGGGGCGTTCCGAAGATTGAAGGCTTCTGGGCCTCGGGTGTGCCTTTTTCAATCTCCGTAGGGATCTGGTTGCGCCACGTCTGCCATTCTGTTGCCATATCGACCTGCAGTAGGTACCTTACTCACAGGACTTTGATATCTGTCAGGAGCGGTTCATAATACTCTCGGTGTTGACGCGAGTTCCTGCTCTTCAACGGTACAGTCGAGAGGTGGCCATGAGGTTGCATGGTCGGTCTCACGACAAATATTGCAATGAATGAATGAAAGTTGCTTGTTTGAAATAAGCAATCACGATGTGCCCAGCGACGAAGTTGGTGGTGCATCTTGTCACAAGAGGGAAGGGGCGAGCGTGCGTACGTATGTGGTTGTGAATGGGATTTTTGAACATCCGTCCGTGGTTTTGATAGAGTGAAACGAAATAATTGCAGAATGCAAAAGCAAACAATGGCGGAAGTATATTGTGTAAAGGATATTTGTTTGATGTTCTACAGTGCAATATGAAGGGATATGTTGTGGTTAAAAGGTTATGTGGAAAATGGATTATTTTCCTATTTTATGATAATACTAAATAAATAATCCGTGCCATTGAATTAAAAATCCATACGAATTAACGAACCCAACAACCACTCACTTTCCATCGCCTGATATTGATTTAAAGCTTTCAAGCAAGCTGATGCACCAAGATTCTCCACGTCACACTTTAATTGCATATGTTTTGTTTTGTTTTGGGAACCAGCCACTCATCACATTGCTCTTGGTGGCTCAATGCTCAAGACCCGCTACAAACCACGCTCCTCCATCAACCTTTCCAGTAGTCTCTTCAACCCATGTACATGAGGTGGCTCTATCATAGTTTCATGTGAGCCTGTAACCTCATGGATCCGGGTGTTTTTCCCGAATTCTCTCCATTGAAATAATCTCACTGGAGGCGTGCTCCATTCACTCGCCTGTAAAGGGTCCTGAACAATCACATCCATGTTCTCGACGGATCCTTCGGGATCATAATCCCGGAAAAGTGCCACAAGGTTATCAACCAGCTTTGCCCAGTTATCTAGGCGTTCCCGAGTCGTCCCAACTTCATCTGGCCGGGCGGGGTGCGCAAGAGAGAAGATACAATCCAGAGCCTCCTCATGTGACTTCTCACGTAAATTAGAAACAGCCCTTACAAATTTTTTGTTGACGAAACCCAAGAAGAATGAAATAGCCACCACAGAGTCGTACCAATCGTTAGTTCGTGCCCATCCCTTGAGACGGGGGCCATGATCGATGACTGTGAGAAATTTCACATTGTCCCCGTTCCTCTCCATAACCTTTGCAACCTCAAATACAATGTTGGCGCCTATTGCATAACCTCCAAGTGCATACGGCCCTTTAGGCTGGACCCGCTTAATGGCGTTGTGGTAGAGTGTTATTATTTCGCCAAGGGAAGAAAAGTACTTTTCGCCGTCGAATCCTCGGGCGCGCAGTGCGTACAGTGGCCGATCGTCAAATAGTCGAGCAAGATTCATAAAGACCAAAACGTCACCCATGCCTGGGTGGATTAAAAACAGGGGCGTCTTAGTCCCCCGACGCTGTAGGACGGTGATCGGGTCATAGTCGCTCTCCCCATGAGGCTGTAGGACAGTGATTTTGTCTCCTTTCTTCAAATTGTCTATAGCCTGGCTGAGTTGACCAAGAAGAGGATTCGAGAAGAATATTGTTATTGGGATATCCTGTATGTTGAATGACTTTTGGAGGTATACCTTAAGCTTCAGCATATCGATGGAAGAGAGTCCTAGCTCAAACATATCACTGTCGATGTGGATGTCCACCCCCAGATGACCGGAATCCAGCGTAAGGAGTTTGTAGAATACCTCTAGAATTATTTTTTGGGTGGCTGTTCCAGAAAAGGCTTTAACAATGTCGCTCCTAGAAGTTTCCATAGTTGTGCTATCCTTGGTCTCATATTCGAGAGAAGTACCGTCCTCAAATGCTCGTTGGATTTTCGAACGAGATAGTTTTCCGAGTGACGACTTTTGCAGCAATGATTTCGGCAATGCAACGATTTTGAATGGCCGGGCTCCGCAGTATCTGATGACGGCCCTTGAAATAGCAGCGGCAGTACTCAGTCGAGTTTGCTTGTCGTCACTTGAATATGCAGCGAGGTATGCAATGCACAGGGACTCTGTGGGTGAGTTAACCGGGCGATAGGCGGTGACAACTGTATAGGAAGGGGTGATGCCCGGGATGGCCGCCTTTTCGATGGCGCATTCTATGCTCTCGGATGAGTAGTTGACACTGTCTCTAATAAGCTATTCACATTTATGATATGGGAAGACCGCCACACTAAAAAAGCCGTGAAGATGGGAATATACTCACCCATTAATAATGACGCTGTCCTTCTCGCGGCCTGTCAGTCTCAATCTTCGATTGGAATCAAGCAATCCTAAATCTCCAGTCTTAAACCACCCATCAGGTGTGAATGCTTCCTTTGTGGCCTTCACATCGTTGTAATAACCACTGAATATAGACGGACCGGACACCTCGAGTGATCCGATCTCGTTTACGCTCGCATTGGTTCCGTCCTGAAGGGTGATTCTCATATTGGTTGCTTGGTTCGCCTCACCAAGCGCACAAAACTCGACACCATGTTCGATGTCGTACTGCGGACAATCGACGACGTTATGAATGCAGCCTGCACAAGTCTCTGTCATTCCGAAGCCGGGCCTGATGAGATTTATGGGAGCACCGTATTGCGATAAAAGCCGGGTCAGTTTATCGCATGTATCGACAACGTTGGACTCGCCACCGGAAAGCACTGCACGTAGAGAGGAAAGATCAAAATCCGGAGTCGACTTCTCGGTTCGATGCCCGTTCGTCAACTGATTGGCAGCTTCAAAGTTGCGAACCAAGAGCGCGAGGAAGAAGTTGGGCGCAAAGGTAATTGTGATCTTGTTATTACTGATACATTCAAGAAAGCGTAATGGGTGGGCAAGAAGCGCCGGCCCATTGACGTGGAACTGCTGCGCAGCCAAGCTGACGGCATGAAGATGGTTGTCAGTGAGGTTCGCAACGTGGTCAATCCCAACCCAGTTAAGAAAGATATCCCTCCGACTAGTGTCATGCTGTACGCTTTTCGCTCTCACCGACGCTAGGATCTGCCCATATTTTAAACAGACTGCTTTGGAGCTGCCGGTGCTCCCAGATGTCAACATGAGAACAGCCAGGTCCGGATTCTTTATAGTCGCCTCTTTATATTGGAATACGAATTCCGTATATTCAATATCGCCTGAAGAAAATAACACGTTAACCAATGAACAGAAGGTAGAGACTTATTGGTCGACCATATATCCTTTAGAAGAATATAGGACTTACTCGTTGACAATACCAAAGGGCAATGCAGGCCCTTAAACTCTGCAGCCAGAGCCTTGGACGTGATAATAAGTGGCTCATTTAAGAGCTTTCTCAAATGCGTAACGCTATCCAATCGAATTACCGAATCGTTAGAAAGAGGAGGACAGATACATGGCACAGCCCCAGCAGCGATAATGGCCCAAAACCATTTAATATTGTCCAGATGGTCCGAGAAGTACATCAACACCACTTTACCCTCCACGTCGGCCAGCTGCCTTAGGTTCATCGACATCTGTTTGGCCAGGGATAAGAGAGCCTCGTAGGTCATGAACGACGGGTTATGTTCGTTTTCGGCGGTGTCATATACCATAATGCCCCTTTCTGGGCCATTTTGGGCAGCCCGAACCAGGAGATCGAGCAAGTTTCCAGCCGACATAGCTAAAATAATGGTGTGAAGGGGGTTGATAGACAGAGAGTCGCTTTTTGTCAGAGGTCTGTTGGGTAATTCTACGACTTCTTGCTCTAGATGGGTCATAGCAATTATATATTTATGGTACACAGGAAAAAGAGTCGTGCACATTGCTAAATTCTCGCCAGTTTGAAGCCACCATAACGTACAGTCGCTGCTCACGTGTGCGTAAATCCATTGTGCGTGAAACTCTGTTGCACGAAATAGTAATATAAGGCGCTGATCGTCGATCAGCTTGAAGTATGAAAGAGCATACTTAAGAGGGCAATTAGTTGACGGTGCCATGGTCATGCATCGCAGTACTTTACTGCCCGCTCTCCACTACCAGTAAAGTACTGCGATGCATGACCATGGCACCGTCAACTGTGATGCACGAAGCTGGATGTGTAGCACAACACAAAATTGATCGTGATAGCACTGCCGATGGTGACACTTAGATAGTGCCGACATTTCAGCTCTTATTTGAGCGGATTTAAGGCTGAAACCGAGAAAATCTTAACTTAATTAGGATAGGGGAGCTTCAAGAGAAACATAAGTCAAGCTGAAAAAATCCCCATTTAAGAATGCCGCCTCGCTTTGATTCATATCTGTACGACCACCACCAGGGACGAAGATAAGCAGAAACACCACAGGCGGAAAGACAAGAAGATGCGCAATGGGGGGACACCCTCAGATTTTAGACGACGAAGAATAAAACTCAGAGTTCCAGTAAAAAAGGCATGCGTGCTCTCCATAAAATGTACGTCTGTTGACAACGCTGAAGGATTAAAATTGACCGGACGGATTTAACCATCTTGTAGCAGCTGCAGATGCGGGCCGGGTCGTACATTGCTCTCCCATCCTTGGCAGGGGCTTTAGTAAATCTTGGTCCTCGACACCAGGGGCCGAAGCTCATACTCGTCGATCAAGATCAAACCCGAGTTTGCAACGGTATCCTGGTCTGGTCTTCGACCGAAGACCAGACCATGACATGGATCACCTTGGGGTCCGACTCTGGTCTTCTGCCTCTACCGCCAGGGAGTGGAATATAAATTCTGTGATTACGGGTATGTGGCAGGAATCTGCCTTGTTAGCGGGAATCTGTATCCTGTCTGTGGATGTGAAGATGGACTTTCTGCGCTAAGAAGACAAGCCGACCGCATGTATATTTGGCCGTAGCTGGAATTATATAGCATATGAGACTAGCAATGCGATCCGGTCCGATCCAGTATGGTCTAGTAGAGGATGGTGCTTGCTAATAACAAATGCACCGATGATGACTGTGCTAATGGTATTGATGGAGGCGGCGTGTGGGGTCGCCCACCCCTTCTAAGCAGCCGCGCTGTATGGAAGGTGGTACTCTCGATAGTCTTCACTAGGCATATGATTGATTTTGGGGCGAAGGGGGCTCGGAAACCTTCTTCGCGCTCGAAATCAATGCTTTGGCCAAGAGACGAGAATAGAGGCGGATCTATTTCTCTCCGGGGGTATCGTTTCCCGAAGCGTCTTCGCCCCACCACACTCCCCATGCCTTCTCCGTTATGACCATCGTATCGGCGACAATACTATGAAATGGTCATTAATAAATTTCATTTGCTCTTGTAAATTGTCCATCATTCTATCTCTCAAAGTTCCTAAACTCCTGCTTGTTAATTAAAGCTATATCTCTAGCTAAAGCACACCATGGAGTCTAACAATTACAATCTCCGCGACCCGTCGCTCTTCAATTCCCAAGGTCTCATCGGCGGAAGCTGGAAGTTCGCCCCCTTAGGCAAGACATTCCCCGTAATCGAACCCTCAACAGGAGATGTCCTTCGTGAATGTGCGGACTTTACCAAGCAAGACTTTATTGATGCCATTGAGTCAGCTCACGACGGCTATCAAGAGTTTTATTCCAAAACTACTGCCAAAGAGCGAGGAGTAATTCTACGTAAATGGAACGATTTAATCCTTGCAAACTTGGAAGATTGTAAGATACTACGCACCACTGTTCGGGCAATGAGACTGATTCGACGACAGTGGCAACCATTCTATCCCTAGAAAATGGCAAGACCATAGCTGAGGCTCGCGGCGAAATCACTTATGCCACCTCGTTCATCGCCTGGTTCGCTGAGGAAGCCACTCGCAACTACGGCGACACAATACCCTCTTCCTATCATGACACAACCGTCCTAACATTTAAAGAGCCCGTAGGTGTATGTGGCATTATCACCCCATGGAACTTTCCCGCCGCTATGATCACCCGCAAGATCGCACCTGCAATCGCGGCAGGGTGCTCAGTAGTGATCAAGCCACCTAGTGAGACGCCGTTTAGTTGCATAGCCCTTGCTAGGCTCGCATTGCAGGCGGGGATTCCTGGATCATGTCTACACGTCGTTCCCACTAAGGATAGAGAAGCCTCGTTACAGCTGGCAACCCATCCTAAAGTTAAGAAGCTCAGTTTCACGGGCAGCACAGGCGTGGGCAAGATGCTGGCACGAATGGCAACAGAGACCATGAAAAGAGTCAGCATGGAGTTAGGAGGTAACGCGCCATTTATTGTGTTTAAGGATGCGAATTTGGAATTAGCGGTCGCGGGTGCGATGGTGTCGAAATTTCGGTCCTCAGGGCAGACTTGTGTGGTAAGTTTTCACTTGAGTTCTTGAGTATCTGCAGCTTGCCACGAATTAACAAGTTGACTTTCGATAGTGCGCAAACCGTCTCCTCATCCACACCTCCGTCGTCGAGGAATTCACAACAAAGCTTGTGGCTAAAGTTGAAGCACTCAAGCTCGGTTCTGGCCTCGCAGAAGACACCAGCCAAGGTCCGCTCGTCAACGCTAGCGCGGTCAAGAAGGTAGATACTCATGTCAAGGACGCAATTAGTAAAGGCGGTATTCTCCGAACCGGCGGCAAGGCGCCAGAAAACCTCAAAGGGTACTTCTACGAGCCTACTGTCATCACAAACTGCCATCCAGGCATGGCCGTGGCTACCGACGAGACTTTCGGCCCTTTGGCGGCAATCTTCCCCTTCACTACCGAAGCCGAAGCTCTCGCGCTCGCTAATGATACTGAGCTGGGCCTTGCAGGTTACTTCTTTAGCAAGGATATCGGGACTGTGATGAGAGTAGCGGGGAAGCTGCAAGTCGGCATGGTTGGAGTGAATACGGGATTGATTAGCGCGGCGGAAGCACCATTTGGAGGCATAAAAGAGAGTGGCATAGGAAGAGAGGGGAGTCGGTATGGGTTGGCGGAGTACCAGAACTTGAAAACCGTGACGATTGGGAATACTCAGGATTAATTAGGACTAAAAGGTTATCATACAGCATGTCATGATTAAATAGGTACTTCATCTCAATTGATATCATGATCTCCTTCGACATTAGGGTACAGTTTGTGCTTATAGACTATTAACGATGTCCGAACCTCTTCGTTAGAGCTCTTCTTGACCATGAGTGAGTCGTCTCTTCCGTCTGTCATCACCTAATCCACGGTCATCACCAGCTGGGCTTCGCCTCTTCGTCTGTGGCAAATTTCGGGTCTTGCTGAACCAGTCCCGTTTGATGCAAATGATCACCTCTAGCGCTCTTGTCGAATTTCCCCAAGCCTCTCCCATCTCCCCAAGGGCTTGACAGCAGAATTGAAGATCATTGAGGCATTTCGTAACAGTCGCCCCTTTGCTGCTATATGCGTTGTATATACAAATCAAAGATGCTGTGAAGACGAGGTGGACGATATGAACATTAGGCCGGCGAAGGGTATGCTGCTTACGGTAGATACGCAGGAGCTTTACGATGGATTGTGCTGCATCGATGCATATATTGCGCGGGTGATTGGAGAGTTGATCATCGGAAAATTTAGGCTCTTTGAGGGTACGTGAGAAGAAAGGTCGGTGGAGCAGTATCGAAATCGTGTAGAATTGCATGCTGTATAATGTCAAACAAAACGACGCCAAGCTAGGGAGTGAACCTACTGTAACTGCAGAATGTGAGGGAGATAGAACCGATTCTCATCAGACATATCAACTCTCAATTCTTCGGGAAGGGCGTTTTGCCATGTGGCAAACTCGACGCGCATGCTTGCAGCTAATTCCCGGATACCGTCATCGGAGAATGTTTTATCGGAATATCTGTGCATGAATCAGCAAGAATTATTATGCACAAGATCTCATGAGGTGTACATAGTCTGGCTAAGTTGCCTCATCATGAAGCAAAGCGATACATTCGCATCGGCGCAAGCTTCAATTGGATCAAACCACCCCTCATGTTCCTGATCTGTTCCTGGCTTGCCTTCATCCGAGTCCCGCAAGGGACTCCACTTTTTCGATCTTAGCCTATCATGTTCTTGTGATGGTCGAGATATTGAGATATCTTGAATGTTGATGCTCGAAGGCCGCCCGACATACAAGCTCCACATACTGTGATTTTCAATAAGCTCCTGCTCGCCGCCCAAGTGCATAAGACTTACCTATCATGCACAAAAACGCCCCAGAATGTAGTACGGCGCACGTCAAGTTCGCGTTCTGAAAGACTACCATCCTGCACCACCTTGCTCGGATCACGATGTAGGCCAAGGTCTGCACTCAGTCTCATAGCCATTCCTAAAAAAAATATCAATTAGCTTGAATTTTCATTGAAATCCAAGAGGCGCTCACCGCTGTAAAGCCACCCCCTTGAATCTCTAGTAGAAGCTGCTTCTATTGCACTCATAATCACAAGGGCTTGTATAGTAGCGACAGAGGGGCTGTCCATTTCGATCTGCAGGAGAAGCTTCGCTCGGGCATTGAAGAACTCGGCGCCAGAATCAGGTAGCCTATCATCTGATGACATCTGAGAGCCTATAGCGCATCTGAAATGGGTGTCAGAGATAGATTCCTTTCTAAATTTTGTCTAAGTTATCTATGTTAAACCTACATTGTATTTTTCAATGTTTCCGAATAAAACGGGTTTCCATCTTCTCCTGAGTAGTACGCACTCTTTGCGAGAAAATACATTTCTTCATCCACGACATGAATGGCTGGGTCTTCCCATCTAAAGTAAAGATCCTCCAAGTGCTTCTCGAGATCAGGATCTATTCCCTGGTTGAGTTCCGCACGAGTTAATGCCTCCTCTCCCTCGAGGCGTATTGATCGATGGACTGCCCGTGGCAGAGAAGATAATCCATTCTGCAAGATGTGAAGATTAGAGGTAGCTCCGTAGTACCGCAGCTGACCATCCTCAGTAATCTGGAATGTACCAATCCGAGCCGATAATTGATCTACAACCTCATCGTCGTCACTCTGCTCATCATGGTCTGCAGAAGAGTTATTAGATGGAGAGAGTAAGATCGCCTGGGAACCGTCAATTTGCCCGCCCGTTGTCGTATTTCCGTGCTCCAGATCATTCGTAGATTGCAACATAGATTGCGGCATTAATATGGGAGCGCCCTGATCTGCTACCGTATCTGGTTCATCTAAGATGTCATCATATTCTCCGGTCGCTAGTTGCTGTTCATGTCCATGGGTTCTATTGCCTGCTTGATTGAAACGATAGAAGGGATGGCCGGAATTTTGGGGCGACTGAAAGATATTTGTAACATCGGTATAATCTGCATGAAAATCCCCCATTTCGTTCATTCCAAATAGACCCTCTACCGATTTTTCGAATTGTATTGCATTTGTTAATTCTGGGTTCAATTCAGCCATAAAAGTATGTTCATTGAAGTTTGGCAAAGCGGCGTAGTTGACTCCACCGTCGTCTTGGTTTCGCTCGTATTCGTGGGAGACTGGAGGAGCTGAGAGATTCCCGGCTTCCACCGACGTGTCCGGTGGCACCTCAATACCATGACTCCTCAGGAGATTTTCAAGAAATACCACGCGGTTGTTAAGTGATTGTATAGTTCTCTTATGGGAAAGCCTATCGGGTGCCGTCGCTGTCAGCAAGTCTCTGGATCCCCAGGATTCTGCGAGCTATCACGAACTTTCTCTTGTCGTTGCGAGAATATTCGCAGGCATGGTTGTATAGTGTGCAGTTAGAGCATGTCGGTGTCTTCCCATCGCACTATTGGGCATAAATATGTCAGTCTTGCTATATAACGATATCGATGAGCATGTTGATTGTCGCGAACCCTGCGCTGAAGCAAGGGTGTCTCACCTTCACCTTCCGGTGCCGACAAAACGAGCAGGCCGAGGAAATGTGCTTCTTCGGAGCACTTTCTTTTTGCATGATGTCCGCTGTGTTATTGGAATGAATAGCATTAAGTATACGAACAGGAAACAACAAGAGGCATAGTGTAAATTATTGATGTGCGGAGTATGGTGGTTGGTAATGGATCTTTCCGGAATGCGGGGACGGCAAGCACTTCTACTAGCGCTACCCCGCAGGCATGCAGGCACCACATCCTCCACAAGAAGCGAATGGAGGAAGTCGACACTTCGCTGACTATGAGCGACTACCATTCTCTTTGGCACAATACCTTCATTTAATTTCGATTTGTGGTTTGCCTTCGATAGTCCCTTCGTCCTTCACTTAATATACAAAATTAAATTGTCATGCACTACCTCGATCTCCAATCCTCGTTATCTGGACTCTTGATATCCAACCTTTCCGCATCTTCAAACTCCCTCCTCGCCTTCCCAGCGTCATTGGGCAATTCATTCAAAAAACTCCATGCAAATCTCTCCTTCCAGCCCTTCTCTTTCCAGGCATTGATATTATGCCTCGGGAACAGCTCCTTAATTTCTAACATCGCCATATCGTGTGCTATCAAGACTAATATATTATCGTCCCCGTCTAACTCCGAGAGGCTCGTGACGCTCTCCTGTGCGCGGGGCGGATCGGCATACCACCCCCCCTTGGCCTGTGGCAAATTGTAGAAGGGCGTGGAGGAGGCCTGGTCTTGCACTGGATGAATGCTGGTAAAGCAGGAGCTAGGGCAGGGGCGTGGGAACCGAGCGTCCATCCGAACAGTAGATGGAATTGTCGAGGGGAGCGTAAGATGTGCCGAAGGTCTGAATACACCAGGGAAGTGACATGAGTCGCCGCCTAACAAGACGAATGTATTGAACGTGGTGCGAGCGAGGCTGGCGATGTGACCAACCGCGTGCTAAACATAAATCTGTCAGCGGAAACGAGAGAGTGGGAAGCACCAAATTGACTTACACCCGGGGCATCGAGCAGATACAGACTTCCATCCCCAAAGAAGTCATGGGCTGGGAAGCCTCCAATTTGGAGATCGTCGGAGAATTTTATTTCCCGTACATTGCGCCCTCTATAAATTGTGTCAGCTCGTCAGTCCCAGGCAGGCAGTGCTCGATGGAGGCTTACTCGAAATCAGAGTCTAGCAACAGTGCATCCTCTTTTGTAGGGTATCCCGGCATGAAATTCTCTTTGAAGTTTGGTCCTACCACGAGCTCAGTGGTTTTAGGAAAACGGCTTGCATCACCAATGTGATCCCAGTGCCAGTGGCTGCCAAATTAACGTATCAGTGATGGTTTGATCATAGCTCAAGAATTCGGTAACTACCTCCAGATAATCGAGCTGAGCTCATTTAAGTCTTGGCCTCCTTCTAGGAGGATCTCGTCAACGCTCTTTTCTATGTGGACCCCGGAAGTTGCTACAGAGGGGACGATAGCTGGAGGCAAGTTCTTCCAGTCCTTGCGGGATCCGCAGTCGAATAGAACAGAACGGCCAGAGGCCCGGTGACGGATCAAGAAGGCAAAAGTGGGGAGATAGAGGGTGTCTTGTCCTTTCAGTTCTGGCTGCAGTAGGTCACCTGATTTTACGGTGACATCTGTCGTTGTGTTGATCAATCGGACATCTACCACAAAGGTCGACTTAGGAATGTAGACCATGGCCCTGAGGTAGGAGGTGGAGCTGTGCAACTGTCCGTGCCTTTGCGAAGTTTGGTGACTATTCGGTGTTTATGAGAGTTTCAGTGGGTAATATTTCACCGTGAAAGTGCGATCAATCATAGCGGAGTTGTCAACCTTCCCATTGCCTTTCTTATCGTCCTCTCCAGGCAGGCCCCGCCCCACTTCCCCTTGCATTCTCGGTCGTAAATCAGAATGCAACATAATAGAATTAGCCAACGTGACCTGCGAGTCATATCAGAATAAATCGCGGGGTTGTTGACGGCCAGAGCTAAACCGCGCTCATAATAAGAATTTTGCCCCGCGAAATCACGTAGGTGGGATACCTCAGGTAGCGCAAACAAACTGTGGGTCAGCATGTGGTAGGTAAACCAAATATAATCTCGGAAATCGAGTTCCGTAGATATCAGGGTGGTTTTTAAGTCGCTGGTACTTCACACAGCGGAACCGAACCGCTGTCCAGAAGAGAGGTTGAGAAGTGCTTGCACGAACAAGAAATCAGTTCTAATGTTTGACGATATTCACAAACGCCACTTTCAGTTCGATCAGCCTTGGTCGCGAAATAGCGAAGTCTTCTATTTCTCTAATCTATGCCAGCGAAAACCCAGCGAGAATGGAATGCCCTTTGTACACTAGGTAATCTCCTTGGACTCAACAAATGACCGAATGCCCAACATATCTACTCGAATTCTCTTGTTGAGTTATCTCTCATCGCGCCTGTGCCCGTTGCACAAGCTTGGCGATATCTTGCAGAATTCGCTCCCTTTTGATAATTCCAAAGGCCAGTAGAAATGTCATGGTGTGCTGAGAGAGCAACGTGTTAAATAGTCCCGTAAACAACCATCGCACAATACACTTCGGCCACCAGAGTGTGGAGCCACCTTCAAGCTTGAAATCTTTGAAGCGAGGGAAAAATGTCTCGCGCCAGAATGTAGACGCATACCCGGGCCATGAAGCGGAGTTCTTTCCCTTGGAGTTGATATACCAGTTGGAACAATTTGCACTAAAGACAGTACCACTAAGAAGTGATTGCACGCCTGCAGTGAAACTATCTTCTGCTTCTTGTTTGACCTCTATGATCGATGCACGATTGTTCATGATAGGTGTAAAAAGACTTTTGACTATGAATGCCGCTTGAACCTCCGTTGCGAAAATAACAGAGTTGTGGGCCGGGAACGAGTTCGGACCAAAGCTTCACTGTGTTAAAACATTTCCTGTACAGAGCATTTAAAAAACTTACAGAATTGCAAAATTAGGGAAATTGTGCACGTAAGTTCCATAGTATGCTTGAGCACCGTCGGATTCTTTCCACTGCTCTGAGAGCTCTTTGCCTTGCCGCCCCACGATCTTCATCGGGGTCAGGAACTCTGAGACCTTGAAACCCTGCCTGGCATTAGCTTCTGACCATGTAATAGAGTTTTTTTCTTACAGTCGCAAGAACTATGACATCGAACTCCTCGTATGTTCCTCGTTCGCTAGTAATGCCCGCTTCGTTAATCTCTCTAATCCCTTCATCAACCAAGCTCATACTCTCCTCGTGCAAGGCCGAAAGATAGTCAGGGTCGAAAATACGGCGTTTACATCCTACATTGTGTAATTAGTGCCATGCTATGCTTGATATGAGAAGGCATCTTACCGAGGGGGAACTCAGGGACGATGAAATGGTGATATTTCTCTGGTGCATTCTCATATATGTAATTCCTTGCAGCATACTCGGTAGCTGTGCGCACTCGCTGGGCCTTTTCTCCTGCCCCATAAGTCTCGACAAGAGCATCATTCCCCGTGAAGAGGGATAGACGATGGTATCTTTGCCAGAGAGGAATATAGCGGAAGCAGAATTTCTCTAGCTTGGAGAATTCTCGATTGGGGCGCTCGTGGTACCATTGAGGGCTCCGCGCAAATCTAAAATCGCGGTGTCAGTATGAGTACTTGCGCAGGGCAAAACGTTATGCCTACTGTTTGAGATACTGGACTTTGTGAACCACATTTGGAACAACCTGAGCCGCGCTGCAGCCATTTCCAATCACTGCCATTCGTTTTCCTTCGTAGTCGTACGAATGATCCCATCGTGCAGTGTGAAAGATAGGACCTTGGAACTTCTCCATGCCAGGAAATTTGACATCTCGGGGTTCTGATATACCCCCTACGGCACTGATGAAAATGTCGGCTACTTTTGTGAATTTCCTGCCTATCATGTCTTGGAGTTCAATCTCCCACTTCTTAGTTTTCGAGATCCATTGTGCCCCAAGACATTTAGTCACAAATCGCATATGGGGCCGTAAATTGAATTTGTCCACCGTCGCTTCCATGTCTGATATCGTCAATATTTCGTCACTAGACCATGATGGAGCCACAAACACTCAAGAATTTCCGGTTGGTCGCAAAGCTCTTTGCTCCAATCGGGGTTGAGATTAAAGCTGAACGAGTATAGGTGGCTTGGAATGTCGCAACCACTAGTTGAGTAGTTAGCCATGCGCAATGTTCTAATGGATTGGTTTACAAACCATCCAGGGTATGTGTTCGTTCTCCATGTGCCTCCAGGACCGTCAAGCTTCTCATATATCTGAATATCAAGGTTAGGGAAATTCTGATGAAAATAAGCTCAAAAGTCTGACTGTGAACTTATTGAATCCAAGTTTATGCTTCAGCGAATGCGCTATCGCGATTCCGCTCGGTCCAGCGCCTATTATAACCACTTCCATAGCTGTTTAAATGTTTCTGATCAAAATATGTCGGTTGCTGGTAGATTGTATATATGAAATCTTGAAAAATAACAAGAACAGATTACGCGACTTGCGAGATAGAGCAGAAGATTCGGTGAAGAATGGGGGCTCAAGTTGCAAAAGTATGAGTACTTGAAGGAGACAAGATCAGTAGTGCGAACAACGACAAGGGAAAGAAACGCGTCTCGATCTATCCTAGCATTTGCTCCATAGAAATGAGATTGAAATAGACCTGGAACGCAACAACCGATTAGGGAATGGTGGAAAGGGTGATCGTCTACTAGTGGCGGATATCGGCACTGTAATTCCAACGGGATAAAGTTCCCTGGATTTGCAAGGTTCATGCGCATTGTCACATCACCTCCGGATGCTAAGATTCGAAAAGCGAACGATTTTGATTGCCGTGATGAACCCAAAAGCGGAAAAGGATCATTGGAATTGCCTAGGCTATGCAAGGATTCAATTCCAGTCACCTAAGCATATTTCAAACACCATTTGTGATGGCAGTTCTCCAACTCTAGCAAGCATGGGATGAAGAATACCTCGGCAACTAGATTATGAATGAAGGCAACAAATACAAACTATATTGCATGTGGTTGAGTTGTCTTTGATCTCTCCGTCGCGGCTTCATCATATCGTTCATTCATGACTATTTCGTAGACTTCATCTGAAATAAATTTCAATTACCTTGTTATCAGGCCGTATTATAGGGAACAAGTGGCAATTTGATCCAAACATGTAGTTTTATTTATAAGATATATCTACATCTATAACTTCGACAGCCTCACCTGTGGCTTTTCATTCTTCGCATGGTCCCTCAACTCCCTCCTCAAAATCTTGCCCGATGAACTCTTTGGAATATTATCCACAAAAACTACGCCACCCCGTAGCTGCTTATGCGCTGCCAGATTCTTCTTAACATAGTCCTTCACTTCCTGTTCTGTAATCAAGCGCGATTTCTTATCCCCTTTCCGTACGATGTAAGCTCTTGGTACCTCGTTTCTTTCGACCTTGGGATCTTCTACGCCGATGACTGCTGCGTCTAGGATACTTTCATGACTGAGTAGGTATGCCTCTAGCTCAGCAGGAGCGATTTGCAGCCCCTTGTACTTTATAAGTTCCTAAGATATGTTAGCTTTACGCTTTTGGGATTATTGTGCTGGTCTATGTCTCACCTTTTTTCTATCAACGATATAGAACAATCCATCCCTCCGCAGGCCAATGTCGCCTGTGCGAAGCCATCCGTCTAAGGTAAATGTCGCCGCAGTTGCTTCGGGGTTATTGTAGTACCCTTGAGTAACGATTGGGCCCTTGATGAGAAATTCACCTTCTTGTCCTTCCACCACGTCTTCAAGATTGTCATTCACAATTCTGAGTCTGCTATTGGGGAGCAGCGCTCCAACTCCTCCCGTAGTATCATTATGGTACCATGGCGTCATTGTCAATGATGCACTCGTCTCCGTAAGTCCATAAGATTGGTTGAGGTAGCACCCTATCTTCTCCTGTCCGAGTTTCTGTAACCCCGGTCCCATAGGCGCCGCACCCACTTGCGCATGTACAAGTGAGTGGAAATGATCAGTGACATCTGGACTGTTGATAATCTGTAGATAAATCGACGGCACACTCAACATGTGGGTAGGTCGATACTTTTTGGTGTAGTGGAGGAAGTCGGCAAGAACGAACTTGGTCATCCAGAACGTAGCACCGCCCGCCATCATCCCGTTCATAAAATAACCCTGCGATCCCGCAACATGGGCGGCTGGGAGGTGAGCAACGATCCCATACTTAAAGTTCTTCGGGTCTTTGCCAGTTTTAGCAACCTTCGCGGTGTTTAGGGAATCACGCAACGTTGCTTGCCAAGTGAGGCTCTGGGCCACAATGTTCTTGTGCGACAGCATTACACCCTTCGGCGGGCCCGTCGTCCCGCTGGAGAACATAAGGCATATTGGCTTCTTCTCCAATGTATCCAAGTCGGTGGGCCTAGCCCAATTTAGTTCGTTTGTAGCTTGTAGGTAATTTCGTTCTGGCTGAACCGTATCTCTCAGACTCCTCTGGTGTCTTGCGCTGTCGAGAACCAGGACACTATCTAGTGGAATGCCGCATTCTTTCGCAGATTTAAGCGCCACTTCTAAAGAATCTTTGCTGGCAATGATTAAATTGCTTTTACTCGTCTTGAGCTGCCTCGACAACTCAAAGGGAGTCAAGGACGAAGATGCCGCGGAATAGACGCCGCCGGCTGCAATTATCCCAAAGAACACTGTAGGAAGAAGAATCTGGTTGGATGCGAAGCAAGTTACTACATCTTGATATAATGCACCGCTCCCAACGTTAAATCGATGGCGTAACACATATGCCAGGCGTTTAATAATAGTCCTCGCTTGGGATTTGTTAATGTAGTTGGTTTCGTCCGCAGCATCAACGTGGAGGATGGTCGCATCGTTGGCCCATGAATAAGGTGAATCTGCCGGTATTCAGTAAGTCCATATTCCTCGAAATCTTGTATGATCGTGCTGTCTTTTCCCATTGACTTACCAAAGGCCAGACTGACCAAGTCTATCTCAGGCAACTCAATATCTCTCCAGGGTAAATATGCCATATTGGGAGCAAATAAATGATGGTAGCACCGTGAAAAAATCTACTCGCAGATGGCTACTGAACAGACCGACGGCAGCTTAGTACCTTATAATACGGGCAACGGCCATTCCCCATTTCCCTTCTTCTAGCTTTCACTTCGCCCAATGCATGTACCAGTATTACTATACTTTTTCAAACGGATTTATCCCGCATGGTTCATGCGGTGGGTCCATCCTGCGGGGTTCATGATCCACATAATCCATGCAAAAGCTAAGACTAATTGGAGAACTTAGGGTTTTGTGAAGAGGGGTACCCTGTAGAGGATCCCCGACATCGTGCAGGTCGCCTCCTATTCGGTCCACGGAAGTCAACTTCCATGAACTCTCACATCGAGGACATACCAGGGCGATAAATTTGTATTTTTCATGTACGATTTAGATAGCCGGCATAGTATTCCCCATCATCTTCCCCCGCATTATTACCCGACCGACCATCGCTACATCTAGCGTGTTATATTCCCTCGCCAAATTCTTTCGGTGATGTTGAAATTCCGCGACTTATATTCGAACTTTTACTATTTACAAATGTATAATTTGATATACTAGAATTGCGACGTTTTGAACCGTATAGTACGTTTATCAAGTGAAATGGGTTTCACACCTATAATCATTGGAGTTGGGGATGTCAGGAATAAGGCCGCACAAGATTCCGTTGAGCCTGTAGACCTGATGCTCGAGGCAATTAAGCTGTCATTAATTGACTGCAATCTATCGCCTATAAACTCGCAAAGACTCCAGTCGGATATTGACAGCATTGACGTCGTTGCATGTTCAACATGGCCATATCATGATCTGCCTGGCCTAGTGTCAGAGAGACTTGGTGTTGATGCTAAACACAAGCATTACACCCCCACCATGGGCAACCAGCCGGTGAAGTTGCTCAATGACATGGCACGGCGCATTGTCACAGGCGAGAGTAAAGTGGCATTGATGACTGGGGGCGAAACTCTAGCTTCACGTACGTCGGCCAAAGATCTGATCTGTCCCACCCAGACCATTTCCCTTGCTAATATTTTGGATACATAGTGAGAAAGCTTGAAAAGGCTAAAAAGTTTCCTCCGCCTAGATGGACTAAACCAAAGCAAGATATAAATACCTTGTACTCTCCAAACGCCGTTGATCTCCTTGACGGCAAGTGGTGCTCACTTCTAAACTTTACTTGACTAATGAGCGATACAGGTACGAGCAGGATCCATACGATTGGAACTCCAATTCAGGTGTACCCTCTATTTGAGGCTGGGTTTCGCGCGCATCACCACCAGTCATATACGGAGAACATTAAAGAGTCAGCAGCCTTGTATGGCGAATTTGCTAAAGTTGCCGAAAAGCATCCCAGGGCCTGGAGCTATGGCGAGAAGACGGAGACGGAAGAAACAATTGGCACAATATCTGAAAGGAACCGAATTATCTACTCGCCCTGTAAGGAAAGAATCCCTAACGAAGCCTGATAATAAGCTGACCTTAATTCCGGACCCTCTCCTAATGAATGCGATGCCATTCGTCGATCTCGCAGCGGCATGTATTGTCACATCAACCGAGCATGCTGAAAAGCTAGGCATCCCAAAGTCAAAGTGGGTTTATCCACTAGGAGGAGCCTGGGCGAGGGATAGTGAGGATTGTATGGTTTCCATTTGGTCGGCATGAAGTCTTGCTAATCACGCTCATCACTTCAGTCTATAACAGGCCAAATTACTACTCTAGCCCTGCTATATCACAGGCCCTAGACTCAGGTCTGGAAAACTCTGGGCTGACAAAGGAGGCTATCGATATGTTTGATTTTTATTCGTCCGTTTCTCCCTTGTTTTCCTTGAGGTTTGGGTCACCTAACTGAACAGCAGATGTTTCCCAATTGTTCCAAAGCTAGCCTGCGAGCACCTTGGGATTCCTCAGACGAATTGGGTGAAGCCTATTACGCTGCTGGGAGGGTTGACCTCATTTGGCGGAGCGGGAGCAAACTATTCAATGCACGTAAGTTATTTCTGTCGTATTGTCGAGGTCGCATCTAATGTGTACACAGGCTGTTGCCGAAATGGTGCAGCAACTAAGATCAGCGCACATTAGACGCAACGGTCTCATTTTAGCAAATGGCGGAGTATTGAGTTACGAGAACACAGTTTGCCTCTCGAATAGGCCAAGACAAGACGGGTTACCATATCCGCAAGACAATGCTCTTCTTGAAACTCCAGCTGAACTGCCATGTCCACCATTCGACGAACAGGCTGAAGGTCCAGTGACTATTGAAGTAGGTGCCTCTTGTCCATAATACAGGGATACCTAAATGCAGAGCATTAACAACTTTTAGACGTACACAGCTGAGCACGATCGGAATGGTAAGCCCATCAAGGGCTATGTTGTATGTCGCTTGAAAAGCAATGGCCATCGAATCATTGCAAACCATGCAGACTCTGCAACACTTCAAGAGTTGTCAAATACAACCCAAGAGCAGATTGGAAGAAGCGGCTTTATCCGGCAGTGTGTTGATGTGAAGGGGAGGAATCTATTCAGCTTTGCGAAAATTACAAAATTGTAACTACAGTGCGGTAACGATTATCTCTCTGTATATAGTCACAATAACTCAATTGCATCAAAACCTTGCATATTCTGTTTAACTGGATTTTTTATGTGTGATTCGCTTGATACTATTGTATTAGACTTTTCTCCGGATTAAATAAGCAGTTATGATCTGCGTACGCAGGATTCAATCCAACCTTGACTAGTGTATGGCTGTCGCGTCAAAGCAACGAACGATAACAATTTCGGAAGGTCGGAGAAGTATGCCATGTTGCAACGATTTGATATTCATTGCAATAAGAAGGCTCGGAGATTGGCGGATCTTACGCTGTCTAGCGACACAAACTTGCATCATGCCCATATGGAACTGTTGCGCCGAGTCCCAATCATCGAATACCGGGATCCTTATATTTCGTTTAGGCGGGTCAATATTGGAATTGACAGCGACGTCACTTCAGGTAAGTTGGATACTCCATAATATTTTGCTTTTGCTGGCGTTTACGGCATTCCGATCAAGTTTGTCAGGAGTATTACTTGCACTTTGACCATGCCATCGATCCCCGCAAATCACTTCGGGATTACAGTCCCGCCAATCATGGTGCCAACCCCGGATTTTACCCCACACTCTATAGGCCCCACTATGTACCAGTTATGGAAAAGTTATTCAAGATGCATCATCCAATAGATTCAATATATCGCGAAGATTAGAGCATATCGTACGAGAACGTATATACTAAAGCAACTTCCGCGAACCCTCGATTTAGATTTTAAACATAAGAATCCTATCTTCGTTCTGTGCCGACTAGTTCTACCTTGAGATCCGTCTATTAATTACAACTCATTACTCTAATACGTGTCTTTGCGATTATGAGTAAAGGAGAAGAGTCGACTCACGTCGACCAGGTCGAGTGCAAGGGGGCTACAGATAGTGAGAAGGCCTCTTCGATGAATGAGCAGGCTACCATTGTTTACGATGAAGTGGAATCTAAGCGAATCCTTCGCAAGGTTGATATGCGGCTTCTACCGTGTCTAACACTTTTGTATCTCCTGTCTTTTCTAGACAGAGGAAACAGTAAGACATGCTATTCCAATTACCATCGCTTGTACTTTACCTAATCATACAAACAGTGGGAAACGCTCGCACTCTGGGCATGCAGAAAGACCTGGGATTATCAGGCCCCCAGTGGAACATCTGTCTCACTATTTTTTTCTTCCCATATTGCGCCTTTGAGATTCCTAGCAATGTGGTGCTCAAGCTTTTGCCTGCAAACCTCTGGGTGTCGATCCTCGTCGTCTGCTGGGGCACTTGCATGACATTAATGTCATTGGTCAGCAACTACAAAGGCTTGCTAGCAGCACGCTTCTTCCTCGGATTCGCTGAGGTCCGTGTGGTCTCCTTCTCCACATAGAATTTTGCTCTGCTAATGTATGATTCCTTTTCCAGGCCGGATTTTTCCCCGCGGCTACATACCTTTTAACTTGCTGGTACCGACGCGCTGAGTTGCAGGGGAGATTGTCCGTCTTCTTCTCAGCTGGGTCTATGGCTGGGGCGTTCTCAGGGCTCCTCGCCTATGGGATCAACTATATGCATGGTATCGCTCACTTAGCTGGGTGGCAATGGTAAGGCGAAGAGTGGCTCTTATTTTGCGAAAGTGGTGATATACGTGCTGACATACGCAAGGATTCTCATGCTTGAAGGGCTCGTTACTGTTCTCGTCGGATTTGCGTGCTTTTTCTTTCTGCCCAACGGCCCTGCAACGGCAACGTTCCTAACGCCTGATGAGAGAACGTTTCTGATCGAGAGACTCAAGAGCGACAACGGTGGTGCATCCGGCAAGGTTGACACCAATGAGCCTTTTCAGTGGAAGTACATGAAAGATGCGTTGACAGACTGGAAGATCTACATTTCTGTTCTGATCTACTGGGGAAATGCAATTTCTACTTACGGGTATGATATATTTATAGCCTCTAGCTCCTTGTTCCCTCCTAGCCTCCTAATGAGCAGATACTGATAGAAGTAATAGATTTATCTACACCCTACCTTCCGTCATTACGGAACTAGGCTATAGTGCGGCCAATGCCCAACTACTGACCATCCCCGTTTATGTTTTTGCCCTGAGCGTTACTATACTAGCGGCTTTCTTATCCGATCGCTACGAGTCTCGCTCTAACTTTATCATCTATCCATGCATCGTCGCTGCAATAGGCTATATCGGACTTCTATCATTGCCACACCCTGGAATGCCAGGCGCAACATACGGGATGTTATTTGTTGTGGCAGGCGGTCTGTATCCCCTAATTTGCGGAGTAATCTCTTGGAACGGTGGGTCTTAATCTCCCTTGATTGATATATGTGCCGTAACTCATGAGGTCCTAGCAAACAACCTCGCCGGATCGTGGAAGCGCTCGATCGGCATGGCATTGCAAATATCCATCGGCGGCATGGGAGGAGCGGTCGGATCCAACATCTATCTCTCAAAGGAAGCACCCCATTATTGGACAGGTTATGGGGTCTCGCTTGCGGTGATTACCATGGCTTTCTTTGCTGCCATCTTCCTCCGATGGAAACTGAACAAGATCAACAAAGAGCGCGACGCTATGTCCTTAGAGGAGATTCATAGCAAGTATACCGAGCAGGAACTAAAGGAAATGGGAGATCGCAGCCCCCTTTTTAGATATATTCTTTAAGGGGGAAGAACGCGTAAGGTAGCAAGAAACCCACTGAGTTACATTTAGCAAGACAAATATAGTCAAATAATCAAAATATATCTTGACCCTGATTTTACATTGTTCACTCGCCGTTTATTTACGTTGTTCTGTTATTGGCACATTAAGTCTGCTGGATACTTGCTAACCTGGAAGTTTTATACATATTAAAAGGAAAACGGTATGCTACATACATAATTTATATCTACCATGAGCATGCTAAAACTATGCCTAGACTAGTAACTATAGCCATGATTGAACCTGCGTTTGGGAAAAAGGTGATGCACACCCCAAATCAAGAGACCGCGAGCCTCCGGGCCGCAAGCTGTCGAGGAAATGCCTCAGCTAAGGTCGGTATTAAGGAATAGTAACGTGAGGTGGGTTTAGACCGTCGTGAGACAGATAAGTTTTACCCTACTGATGACCGTCATCGCAATGGTAATTGAGTTCAGTACGAGAGGAACCGCTCATTCAGATAATTGGGTTTTGCGGCTGTCTGACAGGGGAGTGCCGCGAAGCTACCACCCGTGCCTCGAAGCACCGCTACCCCTTTCAAAGCTTGGCACTAAGTAGGAACACAGGAACTACTTGTACCCCATGTTGTACACTGAAGCGTGGGGTACCTTGGCTAAAATGCCTCGTAACAGACTGCTTGGTGTCTAACAGCACACTTGTCGGAGTGCAAAATTCGGAACTGGCATGCATAGATAATACGACAATTTATGTTCATTCATAATAGTTGAGTGAAGCCAATAATGATGTATTCTGACAATCGTTGGTGTATCCTAGCCTTTCGAAGCTCTATAACTTTGATACAGAGCTAATATACCGATCTGCTCCTTTTAGGATCGTGTATGCCTCAACAGTCATTTCCAGCACTATCTCTGCAGCAGTCTGGTTCTTTTTGTTTACCATCGATGCTCCATATCCCATAGGTCTAATTCAGATACGTTAGCATTAAGCCCTTAAAAAGAGCATGATGATGTTTTACCTTTGTGTTGTCTGGTCAATGATCTCATCAGTTAGCTTTCCCTCCTTCTCTAACCTCTCTAACTCGTAATCTAACACAATGATGCCTTTACTCTGAAGCTCATTGATTTCAGCCCTGCGATTCGTCTCCCAGTCGATGAGATAGGGTGTTGCCATTGCTCGAATCGGGCGGCCGCTCCATAATGTTGTTCTGACAAACGAGTCAAATCCGGCATCGATAATTCTGAGAGAAGGAAAAAGTTGTTAGTCTACAATATAAACGCGATGATAGGTTGAATATGTTACTCACGCCTGCTTGCCACCTTCAGGAGCGTTTGATTCTCTTGCGGTGACGAACCGAGTTCCGACCCAAACGGCTCCAGCACCATACATAAGGGCCGCAGCAATACTCCGACCATCAAACATACCTCCAGCGGCGACGAGTTGTACTGGCTCTCCGGTGAGCGGTGACACGTACCCCTTGCAAGCATCAGCGCAAGCTGGAATTAGAACACTGGTTATAACAGTTAGTTTAAGGAACATAAAAAGGAACCTAGAGCGTGGCCAGGGACGTACCTGGTTGGGATCTCCCCAGTATGACCCCCTGCTTCTCCGCCTTGAGCACAAACCAGATCTGCGCCAACTTCACATGCTTTGTGGACATGCTAATAAATTTATTAGAAAACAGGTGATATGAATTGCTCGATTTACATTATACCTTTGGATGTCCGACCATGTTCTACATACGCAGAATGTCAGTTGTGTGATCGCCGAACACAGGATGAAAATTACTTACCATGTACAATACGCCAGCTGCGTGTAGCTTATCAACAACGGCCTTCGGGGGTATGCCCACGGCCGACACAAAAAGCTTTGCTCCTTCTTCGACAATGATATCAATTAACTCCATTAATTGTCCTCTGGTGTAGTCAACGTTAGTTTTCCGCGCCTTGCCACCAACTTGTGGGATTAGTAGGTCAACACCAAATGGCAGCGACGGGTCCCGAAGTTTGCTTTTAAGGTCTGTAAGAATCTCTCGCAGCGCATCTGGGGTATAGCCTAAGCCACCAACGACACCCAACCCCCCCGCATTGGAAACAGCAGCGGCGAGCTCAGCGCCGGACGTGTATCCCATACCAGCGAGGAGGATGGGTTGCGTGATGCCAAGCATCCGAGTGGCTGGAGTGGTGATTAAGGACATTCTGTTCGTATAATTTAGAGTTGCAAGTTCAGACATCTGGTAAGTTGACAGGAGATCTATCTTCTGATTCTGGTGGGAATGTGCCAGCTTAAGTCTCTTGATCTAGTCGGGCCAGGTATAACTTTTCAATGTATTCCCTTGGCTATGAATACATGTTAGTAAAGACTGCAGGAAGAAAAGGGCATAAAGTTCACTTTCGTCGGCTTCTTTACTTTCTACTTTGGATTAAGGCTGCATTTTACCATCGCCGACTAAATCCCGAAATGTGATCTTCAGTTAAGCTGGACAAATGTCCCTTGTATTCCGCATGACACGGAACTTTCTCCGCGATGCAACACGTTAAAGTGGGGGGATAGCGGGGTAGGAGCATAGAGTTGGGGGCTATACTAAATGGAATTTGAATTCCGAAACCAATCGCGCGCTAATTGGCACCTACTAAGCCTTGATTTAGCGTTGTCATCAGTGAAGTATTGCCAGCGGCCGAGGTTACTAGCGCCCTACGAGAACCCCACTGCAAACACTCCAGAAATTATTATCGAATACTCGCTATATACTTCGAAGCTCACGCAGATAAAAGTTGACTCATCTTCTCATATCCCCTGGTTACTTGGAGAAACTAGCACTCGTTCAGCCCGTGCACGCCATAACAATTCTTGTCTCAGCACCAGCACCCTAACCACCCTTATGAGTGAGGGGCATTCATTACCTTCAACAAGGAACAGTATAATGTTGCAGCCACATTTTGCAACTCCTCCTCCAAGGGTTGCCGATGCTCTAGTGTCGTTCCCGAATCCTTATATCCTTCTCGTCGTTATAAACCGCCCACAGGTCCTTAATTGCATTGGCACGAGAGGAGATCAGGAGTTGACGGCTCTTTTTAGTTGGCTGGATTCTGAGCCATCCCTCCGTTGCGCAGTTATCACGGGCGCTGGGCGTGCATTCTGTGCTGGTGGTGACCTTAAGGAGTGGAATGAACTCAATGCAAAGGGGCAGGTCAAAAAAACCCCCCCCGAGGGATTCTGTGGGCTTTCACAGCGGAGAGGGAAGAAGCCTGTGATAGCTGCTGTAAATGGCCTTTGCTTTGGGGGCGGTTGCGAGATGATCATAAACTGTGATATGACCATTGCAAGCGAAAAGGCGGTTTTTGGTCTGCCCGAGGTGAAGCGTGGCGTCGTTGCTACGGCCGGAGCCCTGCCAAGGTTAACGAGGATTATCGGCCGTCCACGCGCCATGGAGATGGCACTTACAGGGCGGACAGTGAGCGCCCAAGAGGCGGCTGAATGGGGTCTTGTGAATAGGGTTGTAGGCAGTGGAGGAGAAGGAGCTAGCAGTGAGGTGGTTGCTGAAGCAATTCGCTTGGCCAACATGATTGCAGACAATAGCCCCGACAGCGTCATTGTGACTCGCGAAGGGATCAAGATGGGATGGGAAGGTGTGAGCGCCGAAGAGGGCACCCGCATACTCGAAAAAGAATGGTTTTCAAGAATGAACCAGGGAGAGAACATGAAGGAGGGTGTGAGAGCATTTGTAGAGAAGAGAAAGCCTAAATGGGTGGCAAGCAAACTGTAATCTAAGAAACGCGGACGTCATATGCGACATGGGTCCGAAAAAAATAATATACTATATATTAGGTCATATATGCCTCCACCTAATGCAACATGCTGCTATATTCTCGATTGGCACGATCTTGTGAAATCAGGAGTGGAAGCTGGGAAAGAAATACTTTTTTGATGTAGACTAATATTAGAGTAAAAGGAAATAAGAGGGTTAGGCTAATGGATTCGAAATTGGACTAGAGTCTAACTACATTGGTCTATTGCATTTGTTTGCGCTCCTGATGTCGCTATTTCGCGAGCGGATAGGACATATTTAGTCGAGACGTGTGATAGGTGAAAAATACGTTGATTCGAGGCCACGGATGAGTAGCTTTACAATAGGGATCTAACATAGGCCAACGACTTGCGGAGCAGACGACCTCGAGGACAGCGCGTTACTATATTACCAGATTCAGGATGAGCACGAAGCCAAAAAATATTCTTGTGGGAGTACTGTCATCTCGACGCATATCATAAAACCTGAACGATGCCGAATTTTGACGTTAGTTCGAGCAAAAAAAGAGGGTGGAGGGAGTCCTAAGTTTACTACATATTTCTAGGCGACCAAGCGAGACAGGATAGACCAGATGATACTTTATATACCACGTGGAGCCAAGAAGGGCTCATCCACTATCGGTTTTATGGGCCGAGTAAGATGGCCTTCGAGTGTACGAACACGTGTGTTTGATAATGAATTTATAAACAATCTGGCATTGGACCACTCGTATATAAGATCCCTATAACAAGAAGGCAGAGGTATTTCGTTTTCTAAGGGTGTCTACAAGTTCTCATACCTTCACAGAAACTTAATATGTGGCTTTCCCAAAACTATTCATTCTATGCCGCACCGGCACTCTTGAACTCCGGACTAAAAGGGTAGTCGGTATATCCTATAGGGGACTGCTCTACGTAGAACGTGGCCCGGTTGTAGCTATTCAGCTTCAGCTTCTCCGCAATCCGAAACGGCAGATCAGGGTTGGCGAGGAAATTGCGACCAAAGGCAATCGCGATCTTCTTGTCAATGTGTTTGCTAATGGCCTCATTTGCTGACTCCGAGGTGAAGCCACCCGCGAGGATGATGGCATTGCCGCTTCCCCAGAGGTCAATCAGCCAGTCCACCTGTTCGGTACCCTCGATGTCGCCCGCGCCTGAGATGCGCGATTCCACAACATGCAGGTAAGCAATGTCGAGTTTCTTTAGCGCCGTAGCCAGATACGAGAATTGCGGCACTGGGTCGTCCATCTTCATGCCCTGAAAGGGGCTATAGGGGCTTACTCTGTAGCCCACTCGTTGCGATCCTATGGCTGCGGACACCGCAGCAGCTACTTCGATGCCGAAGCGCGCGCGCTTTTCGATGCTGCCGCCCCACCCATCAGTGCGGTTGTTACACTTGTCCTGCAAGAATTGGTCGACCAGGTACCCATTAGCGCCGTGGATTTCAACGCCGTCGAAGCCAGCTTCGATGGCCCGTCTGGCAGCGCTGGCGTAGTAGCCAATAAAAGCCTGGATGCTGTCCTCGTCTAGTGGCTCGGGAACTGCTGCGTCCTTGGCCATCGCGATGTTGCTGCTAGACACAACCTTGTATCCTTCGGCGTTGAGAATATCAGCCTTTGCTGCGCGACCAAGAGCCCAAAGCTGACAATAGATAAAGCTGCCCTGTGCATGGACGGCTTGTGTGACCTTCTGCCACGCCTGCACTTGAGCATCGTTATATATACCTGGCGCACAGGAGAAGCCGCCCGCTTCTGGTGCTATGAATGTGGCTTCGGTGATGATTAAAGTTCCAGGAACTGAAGCCCGTTGTGCGTAGTACTCCACGACCATTTCCAGAGGGACGTGGTTCTCATCGGCACGGTATCGGGTCAAGGGTGCCATGACAACACGGTGCTTCAGCTCCGAATTGCCGATTCGCATGGGCGAGGAGAGTGGTGGTGACATGGCGGCGATGTGGAATGTCGATAACCCTTTTGCCAGGACGTCCTTTTTAAAGAAGGTAAGTGCTCGTACTCGTCGACATCTCTTTATCGAAGGGGGCTTGAGATTACTTCAATGTTCATTAATAATCATTATCAACTACCCTAATTCTTTTCTTTTATCATTACTCATGGCGTGTGGATTGAATTTGTAAGCAAAGGATAATCGTCCTGACCGGCTCGCGAAGCGAAAAGTTGGTCACGACGATTATCAACCGAGCCGTTTCCCCTGACATTTCGTTAGGGGCTAATATTTGTACACCGTCTCTCATTGAAAGCTGAGCACTCTTAAAAGCTTATCTTTTACACATACGTCACTGGCCGGCTACTGCCCGATTTAATCCTAGCCTACCCCGCACTGTGGATGGCGGCACGGTGGAATGTCATTACTCATGCCTCAATATTCGACAAGGTCGTAAACCCGATTTATTCGCTGTGAGAATGAATTTCAGGCTAATCGTGTGCGATCTAACTTGATAAGTGCCATGTAAAGAAAGGGCTGTCGGCCAAATCCCAACCTCGATTTAATCCAGGTGTTATACTGTGTTTGAAAACTAAGCTAGCAGTGTCTAAAACTACATCATGTAAGGACTCGGGACCAACGGTTTGCGCTGTATTTGGGGTCGTGCCTCCACAAGCTAATTGTGAGATCCTACTTATCCTCGATGGCTGCAGCAAATTCAGGAAACCGCTCTTTGAACGGCTCGCTGACGGACCAGCACTCTAGTTTTCGTATGTGTTTTTCAAATAATGGATTCATCATGAGTTCGCCACTACTGTCTGTCTTTGGCATTACTGCGTCTGCTGCATCAAATGGCCAGTTCAGGTTTACGTTGCTGGCATATAGTTCCGAGAAATCGCGGAAGGTGTACTTTGTTGGATTTTGTATCAGAAGATCTCGAATCCGGGGCCTAAAAAATAATGAGACACGGCTTAACGATCCTGCTGAGCGTAGTTACCAAGGTATATTGTCTATCCAGGCTGCATGTGGAACTATGACCTGGAAAATAGTTGGGCGTAGCCATAATGGGAGGCTTTCGAATGTTTCATCTGTAGGGGCGATTTGCCACTACGCAAGAGCCATATGAGATACTTCATCCAAGAATGGAAGGAAGGGGCCTGGACTCACCCGCATAGTAGAGTACATGATATAAAAGAATCCTAACTGCTCCTGAAGCTTGGTATCCTTGAATGTAGAGACAACGTCTGCCATCACTCGAATTGCAGCGTGAGCCGAGCCCTTGAAACTTGGGTTTACTAGGCCCGTTATCGACGGGTTTAGAGGTCCAACTAATACAGATGCTGGTGTTCCTTGGGCTGCAAGAAGCCTCCGGGAAGTTAGAAAATCCAGGAGAATCTGATCAAGTGGACACGTAGCCTCCATATGCTTCGGAAGTATAGTAGACATTGTAATATTTTTGTTTGGTTCAGGATGCGCCCAAGTGAACGGCGGGATTGTTGAGTTACTAGACACCGTTGGACCTTGAGGAGCAGCATGGTTTTTTGACGAGGACATATTTGTCATCACTCCATCGAGATAATCATCTGCAACTAAATAGAAGTCGTTAATGTTATATCTACTTGAATAGGTACAGTGGATAGTTACCGCTCTCAGCATCTCGATATCCAGGGGAGATTGAGTGTTGGGAACTTAAAGCATGAACTAGACTTGTGTTGCTTGACGTACAGTCCGCATCTCGGTTTGCTATAGGCTGCCTACTATTGAACCCATTATAGTAAGTGATATGAGGGTCATGAGATCCATCTGTCGTCGCAATACCGTAGCGTGTGTCCTCTTGTGGCTGGCGTGTCGTTGACGTGAATGATCGGTCGTCTTGAGCTACGTAATCATTGCCGGATGGTGAAAACCCAGCACTTTGTGGCATTGATTCCGTATATGCGCAAGTTTGGGCAGCGGCTTGATTCTCAACGCCCATATCTACATCCTGGGCAATGTTCCCCATAGCGTGTCGTTCATGATCATTGTTTCTAACTCGAAACCATCCTTGCTGTTGATGTTCTCGAACGACATTTGACGTCGGTGTCATTATTGCGTTATATTGCGATGAACATTGGGAAGGATGTGGCCGTGTGCCTTCGATTTCTTTTGCTGCGCACTGCATATTTGATTGCGTACTAGGTGATGGCCAGGCTTTGGTCGCATCGACGAGACCATCGGTCACGGCATGGGTGGCGCTAGAATTTCCCGTCGGATTGTCGCCAGCTGGAGAGGGTTGCAAGACATGATCCACCCCATCCGCGGCGTCGTCAGGCTTGGAAGCCAGCAACAACATCAGAGGGCGAGCAAGTTGCGTGAGCCTCTGCATCTGACTCCTGAGAGCCCTGTTGTCGTCAATCAAGACTTGGAGCTCGCTCGCCTTGGACCCCTCGAGCTCTCGACGCTCTGCCTTAAGCGCCGCAAGTTCGTCTTCTAGCACGTGGATGCGCATCTTGGTGCGCTCTCGGAATGCGCGCTGAGCCTCGCGGTCATTGTCGCGCTTCTTGCGAACCTGCTCCTGTGTGAGGCTAGAGACAGTCCTGACGCGCCGCTTGGACGTAGTAGCAAGAGAAACAGATGTGGAAGGGGAAGGATCAGAACGATGGCCATTGCCACTGTGCATATTAGGATCCATGTGCTGTTATTTGTATGAGATATGTGATCTATGTGTTTCGTACGATGAGCGCCCACAGGTCATGGAACGACCTCGGCCCTTGCTAATGAACTTGGGCAGTAGAGAAATACAGCGCCGACGAGTGGTGAATGACGGTTATCAAAGCCGTGTTCTGTTTTCGTGGCTGTTTCGGAAACAGCAGACGATCATGGAGGGTTGTATTGTATTGTATACCATCAGGTCGCACCTTCGAGGTCTACACACTGCAGCATTTCAAAGCTATGTTGATCTTCAATCTAGGGAAGGGACAGGACAAGGAATCGAGAGGCACTAGTGTGCGGGGTTAGTGCGGGGTTCATGTAGCTGTCTTGGCAATCGTCGGATCGGATGATTAACCACTGAAGATGCGCAATTATAGGCGTATCCTATCATATTTTGCACTTGTAACATTGGTATTCCCCGTACGCTTTGATATACGCTAGGATATCAAATCTCGCAATTATCGATAATTTATCTAGCGGGTTGACCATTAAGTGCCTCACTATCATTGCGATACATTCTCGGTGGCAACATGACTCTCCTCCCTTCCCCTAAGAAGGACACAAAAACAACAAAAATGCTTCATTGTGATACATTCTCATCGTTCTACATAACGGCACATCACACACAGACAGCCACTCTTCGGCCGTCTTAGTTCAACAGCCCGCCCTACCCACGCTTCCTCTAAATGCCAGTTATCAAATACGCCCTCTCTCTAAGAATTTATTCGGGATCTCGACATGCTTGCAGCGCAAATACTCTGCCACGTTCTTGCCTAGCACGTCGTATGTGGAGCTCGAGGACACTCCGCGGTCCAAGTGGTCCTTGAGTAGGAAATGCACGGCTACAGCATACAAGAGTTAGCAGGACCGTTCGTATAAAAGACATACGTAATTAAGAATGACCAAAGTCAGTCATGGCTAGGAGTTTGGGTGAGGCAGCACCACGAACCTTGAATGTTAGGAAGCTCAAACCGCATAATGGGACTTCCTTCGAAGTCGTCGTCCAACATCTTCTGCACTTGTTGGATGGTGAGTATCGAACGTAACCAGTCCCACTCGTCGGTGTTCCGAACGAAGAAGCCCACATTAGCATCTGAACCTTTGTCACCCGACCTTGCGTGCACGACGTAGCCTATCGGTGCAACAGTAGTTGGTCCCCACGAGCCCATAGCTACCGGGTTCGGCGTTTCATACGTCGGTTGCGCGTATAGAAACTCTGCGGTGTCGGTGGGTGGCGCTACCGCGATCGTCTTTTCGGTGAAGGGGAGATGCACCTCATGCTTCACGCTACTCTGTGGAAGCAAGGCAACCCAGTATTCATAGTATGGCTTTGGCAAAGCTTGACGGGCGTCGACAGCAAAGGTCGCCCCTGGATAGCTCTGCATGATCACGTCTGTACAGGGGCGGAGAAAGTTTGACACTGAGAGTGCGCTTTCTTCTTTCGCCTGCGCGAAAATCCTGAAGTCGACGGTTGCGGCGTCTTGGTTCGACGGATTAGACGGGCATGAACCGTTTATGCGGAATTTAAGAGTGTGATAGCGGGAAACATCCAAGGTACTTCGAACCTGTCGCTCAAGGAGTGCTGCTTTCTCCTCGATATCAAGTCCACAGGCAAAGTAATGCACTTCGGCTTGAAAGCCCCCTTTCGCCGTGATACCAACCTTGGTCGTCGGAGGTGGCTTTGTGAAGCCAACGTTGCTCACCTTCCTATACAAGGTATTAGACATAGATATTCATATTTTGGAGCTTGTACTCGACTCACACTCTATCCTGACCCACAGATTCGATTTTTATGTTCGTTAGATCTGCAACTACGTCTGAATTGTAGTAATAAGGTCCTTGTATTTCGTATAAGAGCTGTGCTTTGCAGGTATCGATAGTAACCATGCCGTCACGACCTGACTGCTTAGTAACGATGAAGGTTCCATCAGACTCGATCTCGAGTATGGGGAAGCTGAGACTTAATGACTTGCCCGGCAGGCTCTTAAACCCAGAAAAGTTGCCTCCGGTGACGTAGGTTGAACACTCTAAGAAGTGGCCTGCTACAAACACATGTGCAAGCTGGCTGAGGTCCTCCCTCTGCCACTTATAGGTATAGGCAGCGCAGGCAATACTTGGAGAAGCATCTGCAACTCGGCCGCACAGTACGATATCGGCTCCTGCATTGAAAGCCTCTACTATACCCCAACATCCTAAGTAGCATTGAGCGTACATCGGTTCGTGTCCCCATTCAGAAATATTCTTGCCTTGTAGAAGAAATTAGTCGCGCGTTGTCGATCCGGTGAGGAACAATACTCACCAGTAGTAAGGCTTCGAAATGACTCTCCCGATTTTATGGCCTCCTGCACAACATCTATCACTTCATCACCACCCACCCACGCAATCTTTAGATCCAAGCCTTTATTCTTGACCATTTCTGACAGCGCATGGTATAGCTTCTCAGTATCACTAGCTCCAGCATTGACCGCAACCTTGATCTTGTTAGCAACCAATGCAGCAAGGGCTGGTTCGATGGATTCGAGAAAGCACTCCTCGAATTCAGAGCTTAAGGAGTTATTGTTGACTTTTGAGCCCCCTCGCGTGGTCATGTTATACTCGGACATCCAATCGCCGACAATGAAGTCGACATCTTCGTGGCGGGCAAGATCGGCAAATCCGCCTCTGCGGTCCGTCACAGAACCAGAAGCAGAGGCAATGCGAAGAACTTCTCGATTTATAGCAGGCATAATGTAGAAGACTTATGGGACTATTATGAAAGTCGGGTGCGATTTACAGGATTGAGACAAATATATGGGGGGAATGAGCATTATATGATGGGCAAAATCCGACCGGTGCCGTTCCAAACACATTTCCTCCATACTGCAATCCCGCTTCTCCAACCTTGAGAGTGGCGGTCATGCTTTCTAGCACTGGTATGTATTGAATCAGTTGTGCCAGGGCGCCAGTCTTCCATACCCCGCGGAAGTGCAGGTCCAGGCCGCTCAAGTCGCATATGATGATGCCTAGAAGGGCGGTAGGGATTAAATTTCCATGGTGGGAAGGCAACGGGATTGGTGCTCCTGGCATTAGGTTTTAAGCTGGACCATGCACTCTGCGTGGACAAACGGCCTTCGGCATATTGTTGAGGCAGATTTTTTGAGGTGCCTAATGGCATTAATTGGTGAAGCGGAGATCGGCATAGGGGTTGCATAGACCACGTGGGCCGTGCGCCTGGCTTGGAAACTAGGCATGAGTAATGGCAATGTACAGACAGAAAAAGAGGAAACCTTCATCACTCGCCTTCATAACCCATGCACTAACGACACTAACACTATCTAGGATTTCCAGGGTACGTAAGGACATGCTGATGGAAAGTCGCAGCAAACTTGCATAATGAGGCAATTGGGATTTGAGGAGACCTCCCAAACTGCCTATTTGTACACACTCTAGCGCGGCGTGCCAAACCATTTTAGCACGAGCAGGTTACATGTAAGGTAGTAACTTATTTCCAATGCTACCATAATGCTAAGCTAATACAGAAAAAATGAGACGAATCTAAAATATCCCAGACATTATGTGATGAGTTGGAGGTATCTATTTTAATACGCCAAGTTGATTAAAACCGTTTTAGGCTCAGTGTAACAGCGCAGGGCAGCTGAGCCTTGTTCGCGGCCTATTCCACTCTCCTTGGTTCCACCAAACGGGCAAGAGATGTTAATGGTGCTGATACAGTTTATGCCAACGACGCCTGAGTCAAATGCAGAACTCACTCGGAGGGCCCGATTGATGTCTTGAGTAAAGACACCAGCCATTAATCCGTATTTGCTGTTGTTCGACTTGGCGACAACCTCTTCTTCTGTTTCGAAGCGGTTGATGACCACGACTGGTCCAAATATTTCATCTTTGTAGATGGTGGCATTTTCCTTCGTGTCCACGAATATAGCAGGCTGGATGAAAAATCCCTTGTCCTTGTTAGCAACACTCGCTGTCATGACAGGACACATTGAAGTTATGTACCTTGCCTGTGGTGCCTCGACCACCTTGCAGCAGTGTGCCCTGTTTTTCACTTTCTGCTGTGGTAATCATGGATACTATGCGATCATATTGAGCCTTGTCGATCACAGGACCGAGGCTTGTGTCCTTGTCCTCCGGATCACCCATCTTCTTGGCAGTAAATTTTTTTCCATAGAGCTCCAAAAAACGGTCATAAATTCCGGCCTGACAGTAAACTCGTGACGGAGCAAAGCAGATTTGTCCCGAGTTGACAGTCATGGTGTTGACGCACCTGTTCGGGTGTTAGACCACGACCATCGAAGCTAATTACGAAGGTTCTTGAAAAATCTCTTGAAGAAGCCAAAACAAAGACAAAGTACCCACCATTCAGTCGCATTTTCCAAGTTAGCATCATCAAATATGACAGCCGGACTCTTCCCACCCAGCTCTAGAGTAACTCTCTTCAGATTACTTTGTGCTGCCAGGATCTGAACAGTCTTGCCTGTCTGGACACTTCCCGTAAAGCTGACTTTAGCCACATTCATGTGACTGGCAAGAAGTGCTCCTGTACTTCCATCACCACTGAGAACTTGAAACACTCCAGGTGGAAATCCTGCTTCGATGATTAACTTTCCTAGGGCTGCTGCCATTAACGGAGTCTTCTCGCTAGGCTTCAGGATAAAAACATTGCCAGTGGCTAGTGCTGGTGCAGCTTTCAGTCCAACTGACGCAAGTGGACCATTCCAGGGAATAATTCTAGGCCCCTAATTAGTTCACTGCTGTTTGGAGCCGAGGCAAACAATTCTCACCCTGCCACAACTCCCAGCGGCTCATTGCGCACAACCTTGTAGAACCCATCATCTTGAGGGAAAGATTCACCAGCGAATTTATCAATCCAACCAGCAAAGTCTTGTAAATTACAGTCAGCGACGCCATTCTCCAAGCGGATCTGCCATGACTTACATCTGAAGTTTTCAACAGCAGTTTGTATCTCCCCTTGGCCAAATGCCAAGTATGGGGCTCCGAGAGTGAGTCTGGTCAGAAAGCCCAATTCTTCCTGATCGCGTTCGAGCAGGTCGGCAAACTTCAGCAACAGTTGTCGTCGCGCCGTCCCCCGCCAAGCCCGCCATTTTACAAATGCAGCATTTCCCGCTGCGACAGCAGCATCCACATCATGCTCTCCAGCCACGGGAATCTGATCGCTGACAAGCTCTTCAGTGATGGGATTATAAACCGATATTCTGTAAAAAGGTGAGCAGTGTATCAGAACTGTCATTTTAATCAAAACTTACTTTTGTGGATTTTGGCAGTTAACATATTCGTTGTTAATAAACAACTGGGTGATAATTTTCTGTTTGTCTTGGGGCACTGTTAATAGCATCGTAACAAATTTACTAATTTGAAATGTAGTAAGAACGATTAAAATGGGTTATTGTAATTAAGATTCTACAGCATATGGCCTAGTATTTAGTTCTTTTAAATCATAGACTTGCTTCTAAAATTCCTAGCTTTAGTAGCCTGAGTCATGCCATTTGCTTACTCTTATTAGCTAAAGCGCAAATCACTCTAATTGAGCAGGTGGTCAAATAAACCCCTGTTGCATTTTATGCACATGTAGCATCGTCAAAGATTACTCTGCTCACCTATTTGTCAGCACTATTAATCCAATTCCCGTGCATGGAAGCAAGTAGTTCCAGGGTGTTTAGTTTGACGATCTTTCGGGTAGGCCCAGGGAAGTTCTAAAAGGATTTCTTCACGCGCACAAGCACACAAAAGTAACTACTTGGTGTTTCGTTGTGGTAGTATCAGACAACTCGAACACTAAAGTCAAATGAGATCATGCTCTGTATTTTTTTATCTAGTAATTCTCAAGGCGCTTAGGTTTGTTACATGTAAAAAAGCAACCGCTTTGCCCTTCTAGAAAATTAAGCTACAAACGACGGATCTCCTTGCTTAAAAAGTATATTATCTTAAGTAGGTAGGTATGTCATCAGCATCTGGGTAATCAGTACTCCTTGCTATGTCTCCTAGCGACTTAAGGATGCCTAATGTCTCTTCACACTTTGCTTGCATCACCTGAACTGCATCCGAACCAAGAGGAATGCGCAATGGCAATCTCGGGAAATTCTTTAGCGGGCCTTCGCGCCTGACAACGTCTAGTATCCGCTCGACAGCCAGCTCTGGGTCGCCCGGCTGCTTACCACTTGTCTCCTGATGGCGGTGTCTCAGTTCTTCTGAAATTCGCTCATAGTCTTCTATTGGATTGTCTTTTTTATTTTGCTTCCGTGCGGCATTCAATATGTCAGTTCTGAACTGCCCAAGAACCATCAGAAATGTCTCGATGCCGAGATGGACGGTCTCCTTTTCTAAACACTCCACGGCACCTATAGTTACGAGTTAGTAATAATTATGTTGTCAGCGAAGGAAGAGTTTACGCACCTTCTAACGCAAATTTGGAGCTGGAATACGGCCCCCCCGCGCCTACGCCGTGCCATGCCGCAATACTGCTCATAAACACAAGAGTGCCCGATTTTTGCTCTCGCATCGTAGGTAGCACAGCTCGAGTGAGATTCAGCGCCCCGAAAACGTTTGTGTTAAACTGTGCGGTAGTTTCTTCGTGGCTGTTCAAGCCTCAACGGTTAGCTGTGACCTTATTATTCCATGGAAAACTGATAGGATGCGCTTGATTCAACGACACAGTAACTGGCACGTTAAATCAATCAGCGAAGGAACTTACGATATCTCTTCCCAGACTCCTGGCGCAACATACCCCGCATTGTTGACCAGCACGTCGATTTGTCCGAACTTGCTAATGATACTACGCACAATATTGTCGAGTACAGGTTGCGGCGATGTAATATCCAGCTCCATCGTAGTTAGGTTCTTGTGAAGGTCAAGTTCTGCCAAGGCAGAGGGTCTCCGGGCGGTAGCAATTACTCTATCTCCACGCGCGATTATGGCTGGAACCAAAAGACTCCCAAAGCCTGACGAGCAGCCCGTCACAAGCCAGACACGAGACGAGGAACGTTGAGCCATGTCTACTTCGATAATAGCATCTCCCTCGATAATTGTTTCTTGCCAAAACAGATGTCAAACAGTCCCTGCTAGAGTTTATGTGCTCTGGGGCGGGATTAGCAATGCCGTTGGCTCCGTAAGTTAAGAAGCTAAGTATTTGCAGTCGAGGGTTTCGAGGGTTTGGAGGACCTGAGTCATGCCATAACTCTGCCAAGACTGCATCCACTCACGGGATTCTGTGGGCCAAATTCAATTACTTATCGCAGGAACTACAGATGTACAGCCTTACTTGTTCTCAGCGCCCTACTCCTACTGGACTCATCTACTAGGAGCATCGCGAGCGTGGAATAATGGGTCTAGAAGAACGGGTCTGGTAGATTTATTTTGAGTATCTGCATCTACATCTATACGCGGCGTGGCGTCGGTCCCATCCCAAATATACGCCATGTAGCCACCGAACTATTCCCACGCTGTAAATTCGACGACTTATTCCCAGACTATTGCGAAGCGTCCCGCATTTTGACCTTTCGACATCAAATCGACGATCTCGTGGATATCGTCCAAATCTTTGAAAGTCGTCATATGTGGGTTTATTTTGTTATCGTGGCTGAAATAAATTGCTGCGCTCATCCTATCTGGTGTTCCGCTGCTCGCGCCTTTGATCCTGTATCTTCCAAGGAGGATATCTAAAGCGCTAATTGACAGGTTTTTGGGTGGGATGCCTACAATCATCATGAGGCCGTTGACGCTGCAGAAGAAGCATTAGATACCGAGAGAAATTGTCGTATAGTGGACTGGACTCTAGAGGGAGGCTTACCGTAAACATTTTGGGGCTTGCTCATATGCTGCTAAAGCAGCACTAAAAACGATGGCAGCGTGACAGCCTCCTTGGGTCTTCTCCTTGATTTTCTCCAGGTATGTACTATCAACCATTGAGTTGTAAATAAGATCAGCGCCTAGAGATCGTGCGTTTGATAGTTGAGCATCAGAGATATCAATAGCAACCACTCTATAGCCCATTGCCTTCGCATACTGAATACCTGTCACGGATGAGTATCAGTTTTTGTGGTCTTGCTAGAAAGCACTCGTGGAGAAAACATACCAAGATGCCCAAGGCCTCCACATCCGATCACTGCAACCCACTGGCCCTTCTCTAGGTCACACTGGTCGACTGCATGGTATGCTATCCACCTAATCAGTCCTAAACGTGGTAAACTATATTTTCGGGTAGTTATCACCTGTAACACCAGCGCAGAAGAGTGGTGCGGCAGAAACCATATCAATACCATCAGGCAGGACCATGGCATTTCGGTAATCCGAGACCGAGTAGTCCGCAAAATGGCCAGCAGTGCTGAAGCCGTGCATAAGACCAGTTCCCTCTTGACACAATAGATTGTGGATCTTGCATGCTTCACATTTGTCTATAGCAGTCGTCAGTTCGAGTAACTATCGTGTGCACTTATACATAGAGTCACCTACAACACGCGTAGCTGCAGCCAAGGCAACCAACTTTGTCCCCGACGCTGAAGCCCGTTGTCTTGCTGCCCACTTCCACTACGACGCCAGTATTCTCGTGGCCAATCGTGACATCTTCGGTTGTCGCAGGCTCAGCAGTGCTATCCCAAAAGAGCATCTATAATTAGACTTAAGTAAGCCCCATCGCTTTGTTCTATGGAAGTGAATCAACTCACCAGATCTGAATGGCACAGTGATGCACATTTGTTTTTGATCAGAATTTCATGGGGCTTGCATGATGGGATTGGGATCCTATTAACGGTGATTTTCTTTGTGACCTGTTGTGCCCAAAACATGGTTATTAGTATATATATTCTTTTCGCTAGAACTCTAAAATATGGCTCTTACAGTGTTGAACTGAGCCGCCCTCATGATGCCGTTATGTCCAACTTCGTGAGGCATTTTGGATTTGGTCTATCGGGGCAATCGTTCAACTTTTTGTGGTGCTTCAACTTTATGGTGTTAAAGAAATTAAACTATATGAAACAACAAGAAAGTGTCAGGTATAAATAAAGCCTAAGAGAAAGTAGATTTCGGGGCCTATGGCTCATATGGAGAGTTAAAGAAAGAAGGGCGGGATAGAAATATGTCAATCAAATAAATTTGAGTCAGGTAAGTGTTAACAAGGGTTCCGTACATATTACCACCAGCTTTACCGTAATACCATAAAAACTTAGCCAATCTTATTTTACTCTAAAGCTTCAAGTCGATGTAATTATGGCTTGACTCAGGGCACAATTGGCGCAGATGTCACGCCCCACACCATTACAATGGTGCGGAGATAAACAAGCCATGGCATGACCGATTGGTACGCCAGCTTTCTCCACAGCAACAAATCCTCTTAAGAAGTCTCCCTTTACTAGTCAAGATATACGGATCAGATTTAAATCTCCTTGGACAGCAGCCATTACGTCATAAGTGAGATCGAATCGGTCAGCAGATTGCTGAAGCACAGTCACTAAGTGCCCAACTTCAGCCAAGCACACCTTCATAGCAAACTAAACTGCATTACTCGAGGAGTTAGATACTGTTGTATTAAACTTTTTGCCTTAATATTTTAGTTCTCATATTTTCGTTGCCTATCTATACCAAAAAAAATGTATAACACTAGACATACGTGTTGAATCTATGCTATTATATAGCAGAGAAAACAGGAAGTACACAGTCTTGTTTGAGTTGACAAGCTAGCCAGGGCGATGATGGCAGGCCCGTAGATACAATCAAACTATCTTCTCGACCTCAAGTGTAGTCATCTTGTTAGAATCTGAACTTCTCCTACTACCACCCTTATTTGCATTTGCGACAACGTCATCGAAACGTGATTTGATCCGCTCCTTAGCTTCAGCATTTGCGAATACGTAGTCTATCTCCTCTAAAGTCTTGCCATTTGTCTATAACATCGCATTAGCAACGGCCTAATTAAAGATATTGGAGGCTCTATACCTCAGGTAGACAGATCCAGATAAATGGGATGCAAAGCATGTTCATAATACAAAAGAGAATGTAGAACTTCCACCCCGCGTTGCGGATCGCAGTGGGTGTAATCAGCACTATGACCTTTGGTAGTTAGCAAGATGTCAGACTGAGCTCGCAGAAGACTCACAAATGTCCACATCCACTCCGAGAAAGGTCCAATAGCACTACCAATATGCCGCAAATGCAGTGGTGTGATTTCGGGCGCAAGCAACCATGGAATCGAGTTCCAACTCATCCCAAACGAGATTTCATAGCATAGGAGCATGGCAAGTGCAAGCTTGCTAGTGGCTGGAGTGTCTAGAGCAATGCTTATGGTAAAGACTACCATTGTCGTGGTAAGAGCGATTGAACCACAGAGTAACATAGGTCGTCGCCCATATCTATCAATCAACCACATAGGAGGGAATGTACCAGCCCAGAAAGCGATCTGGATAAAACCGGCAACAAGACTGGCTGTTTCACGATCAAAGCCAACATTAACCTCGAGAACGATTGTCACTTTGCACAGTTAAAGAGAGCTCCTTTAAAAGGAAAAATATACGCACCATAGAATGCAATGACATTAATGCCAGTGAATTGTTGCATCATTTGAATCAAGAAACAGAGAACGAGCCGCCGGTAGTTCTTTAAATCTGTACGGTCGTAGAAAATGTTCTGCCACCGGAAAGGCTCTTCTATCGTTTCGATTTCCAGGGCTGCCTTCATTTCACCCTTGATCATTCGCACTCTTGGATCGTCTTCTCTACAAGACATTAATCTCGCAAGGACTTGAATTGCCTCAGCTTCTTTGCCCTGGCTATAAAGCCACCTTGGAGTCTCGGGCAAAAATGGCATAGTAGCCAATGTGATGAGCGCAAAGACAATCTGAAATGCAATGGGAAGTCGCCATACGATCTGTCGCCGCTTAAGTTAGAACTCTTCTTAGTAACTGGAGAATAATGGGAGATCTTGCCTCTCCAGTCATGTGTTTGACTGTTCCATAGTCAAGCCAATAAGCTACCACAGTCCCAAACTAGACAAGTATAAGCAAAAATAAGTACTCAGATACTTTGCAACCTACAATAACCACCGACAGCTGTATTGCTATCATTCTTCCTCGTCGGTTACTCTTTGCCATCTCTGAAACATATATTGGGATAGTAGAGGTATTGATCCCTAAACGAGATCAGAAATGTACCAACAACAGCGCGAGGAAGAATTCTAACAGTACCATTACCAACACCTGAAATTATCCTTCCAATGATGAGCTGAACAGCGCCATAAGTGGACGCTTGCAAAATGGCACCAACGACCATGATGAGACTTCCCCCTATAATGGATCTTTTTCGTCCAAAGCGACTACCATACAAGGCAGAAAGGACACATCCTACTAAACAACCAATGTTATACAGGGCCACAATGGCGCCTAAATATCCTTCATTAGGATTGCCAATAGCATTCAAAAAGCTAGGCTGCGTTACTAGCCCACCAAGAACGCCCTGATCATAGCCAAAGAGCAGATAGCAACTCCCTGAAGAAATGGTAATTGCAACCACCAAAGGCCGTCCGCGTAAATGAAAATGCATCGGTTTCTGTTTATGCTTAACAATAAAAAAGCAACGAGAATGTTGTGAGAAGCGGGATATTGTAATGTTTAGCCGCTCTTTAAACTAAGGAGCCAAAACATTATAAGTGTCACAAATTACCCCACACAACTAATCTCCACTACTACTAAACGCTATTTATGGCGACGGCCAAGCTCGAAATTCGATAGCTAGGCATTTGAGCACTGACGCTATGGTCTAATTTAACAGTAGGGCTAATCGTAACCTAGTTTACTCTAGGATATAATGGGGTTAGACGTTACTAATTAGCCATTAGTCATGTCTACACTAATGGAAAATATTTGCTGTGCCAAGTGACAGCTCGGGACTGTAATTCCGACGTGAGAATGCCCCACATTCTAAAATCTGGGGTACTTACTTGCTAGCCTCCACACAAAGTATAGTGCTAAGGTCAGCCAAGATCTAGAGACGCCACTATGTATGGCCTGACTCATGATAGACGCAGTTGCCTATACCTGAAATTAGTTGCCATTGCAGATGCTTAAATTCGGTAGCCGACATCCTGGGTTTCTAAACTACTGCACTAACTTCACAACATCGTGGGGAAACCTGGGGTATGAGAAGCTAAAATTAAAAGAAACAGTACTAGACTTCTTATTGCTATATAAAAAGGCTCTTAATGACACCTCCATAAATTTGTACGAGTGAGAACTTCGTTTTGCACAACACCTGGAATTTATCCCCTTTTTGCTATCATGTTCGAATCAAAAATTAGAGGTAAAACCCTCAAAAGAATAATGGCAACTTGCTGTGCTACTGTAAGTCTCCTCGCGCAAGCATCTTCAAATTGCCCATAAGAGGGAGAATCTAGCCACTAATTGCTTATAGTCTTTCTGCATGTATGGCTACGACGCAGGTGTCCTTGGAGGGGTTCAGACTACTGAGCCATTTCATAGAGCAATGGGAGTAGGTGCTTACTCTAAAAGCATTGCGTTGGTCTGCTAATGCTTATTTCTAGTATCCAACTGGGACATATGTCATTCCCATGATTGCATCTTCTTACACACTTGCTGCTGCTGTCTGCTCCTTGATGGTTACTATGGTTGGTATGCCCCTTGGTCGCCGCAACTGTATCCTCCTGGGCAACCTACTCGTCATTATCGGAGCTAGCCTTCAAGCGTCATCGTGGTCAGTTGCTCAGATCATTGTTGCACGCATAATATGCGTAAGTTGTTTTGCGTGCTGTATTACTATGAAGCTTGCTAATTGAATTTCAGGGCTTTGGCATTGGGGTATGATCGTTCATATTCTTCTCACTCTACAGAACACGATATTGACTCTCGTCATTAGTTCATCTCTTGTTCAGTTCCGACGTATCAGGCCGAAATGAGCACTGAGATTAAAGAGCGCGGGCCACAAGTCGCTGTGACCTGCGTTTTCCTCGTTGCGGGTGCAGCACTTGCATATTGGGTTGATTTTGGTTTTACTAGTATGACCAATCAAGCCTCGTGGGTAAAGCGGACCTCTCTAGGTAAAGTAAACATTGATTACTAACTTGGATTATAGAGACTACCAATTGGATTTCAGATCATTTTTGCTATCATCGGTAGTGTTGGCATGTTCATCCTGCCCGACACTCCTCGATGGTATTACGCCAAGGGATATATTAGTAAAGGGGATGATGTGCTTTGTCGTCTTTTCGATGCTGACATAGACGACCCAGCTGTCCAAAGCACAAAGCAAGATATCATTTCTAGCATCAAGTTAGAAGAGGATAATAATAGCGACTTTAATATTCTCGACTTGATCTGGGACCGAAGCTATCTTCGTGCTGGTCGACGCATTCGTATCTCTTTTATGATTCTTGCGCTCCAGCAGATGATGGGTAAGCGCATCCTCATAAGCATTATAGTAAGAATTAATTGCTAATCGTGACCCTCTAGGCATCAATCTGTCTGTGTACTATAGTACTGTGATTTTTGCACAAGTCGGCTTATCACCTTTTCTTACGAAGCTATTAGCAGCAATTATGAACACCCTGTTTGCTGCTGGGACTATACCTCTCGTCTACACTATTGAGAAAGTTGGGAGGAGAAACGTCATGTTATATTCCGCCATTGTGCTCACCATCTGCATGTCTATCTTTGTGGCCATGATTAGTCTGCCTAATCCCTCAGCTAGTACACAGTGGATAGCTGTTGCTGCGATATTTGTCTACAATATCGTCTTTGGATATGGCTGGATTGGTGTTTGCTGGCTTTATGGTCCTGAAGTGAGGCTTTTATTTTACCTGAGTCTTTTAGAGATACTATGCTAACATTACATATTAGATTGCACCACTTAAACTACGCCATGCTGGTGCTGCAGCTGGTGCATTTGGGGAATGGCTCTTCTCTTTTATCACCGTATTTGCTGGCGGTATTGCGCTTGAAAATGTCGGTTGGAAGATTTGGCTTTGGATGGCCTTATCATGTGCTGCTGCCGTTCCATTTGTATGGTTCTTATGTCCCGAGGTATGTCAAAATATTAATAATATATTTTACTCTGAAAACCTGCTAACAAACTTTCCTCTTGTAGACATCTGGCAAAACTTTAGAAGAAATTGACTTTATCTTTACTAAAATCGGCAGTCAGAACAGAGATCCTACCAGTGGGAACCTCACTAGCCATGATCTCACGGAGAAGGTGACCGTCACAGTGGTTGAGAAAGTATAGTGTTTTGAAAGACTAAATTATATACAAGAGATCGAGAGTGGTTTTTTGTCTGTTTTGGCATAAGTAATTTGAAGCATGTTAGCTTTTTATGAAGGAAAAATATTCCATACTACCTATTACCTTCAACTCCGCCGTTTTCATGGGTTCTTTGCTCTCACTCTTCTTAGAATTGTAACTTGCGTATTTCTTTGAAATCAAGCCAATGATAAATGAACCGCAGGTGTGTCCAATCTTTGACAGTAAACATACTAAGTACTTCTAACAATCTACAAGTTGTATATATATCCTTCATTTGGGTATCTACACACAGATACGGTAGAATGCCATTGTTGCGTGCCTCTATGTAATCCTAATTTTGCGCAATATGGTCACATTAAGAATTCCCCTTGACAGTGTATATGATTTGCAATTCTCGTCTTGTCTCAATGACTATCTAACATGATGCTAGTAGTTTTAATTCATCTTTTCACTTATCTACCTAACAAAGCCATCTTTACCACCCATGATCTTTGACGCATCGCCAACAATTAGGTTCTCATAACCAACCATATAGGTCATAGGCAAGGCCATGAATCTGTCACAATCTGCACTCAGCGCCGCGGCATACTCTTTGCTGTTGTAAAACGCGAGCCAATCGTCCCATGTGCGGACCCATAGTTGCGCACAGCCATCATATTCAAGAACATTTTCTCCAAGACTTGCAGCTCGCGCTTTCATTTCTGGCGTTTGGTGATGCTGTATAGACGTTAGTATGTCATGGAGAATTGGGAATTTTAAGGCTATTTTGTGGAAAGAGCCAGGCACAGCTAAATAACGAGGATTGGGGGACACGTACTTGAGCATATCGAACAATGTGATTTTTGAATGCTTGTGTCGCAATGGCTAGATCAGCATGGACTGTCTGCCAATGGCCGAAGAAGGCATCATAGTCGATGGAATCAATCTTTTTGAAAAATACGGATACTTTGATGCATGGCTGGAAATTCGGCTCAGAGTCATAGCTGAGCTTAACATTGGCAAACTGGTGGTCAATCTTCTGCCAAGGCATATTTGCGGCTTGATTGCGGAGCTGAAGTTGGAGATGCGTTGAAAAATACTAATTGTCTAAAGCTGGAAGAGGTTCTTTTTATTTGGGGTAGAAGAGCGGAGTACGCAAATGAGTCTGTTATATAAACATCATTCATTTGAGACTGTGGGGCAATAACATTTGGTAGCTGGTATACTATGCATGCGTTGGGTATCTACTTCCCCTCGCGTAGACTCTCTTACTAAAAATCCAAAGTTGACACTGTGGAGCTACGCACTTGTCCTAAAGGGACCTGCCTGGCTAACTCAATTTAGGGCTCGAGATTCTTAGTTGATGGAAGCAACAAACTTGGGGCCTGCCACGAGTACGATATTAGTCATGGTTGGCATGACTCAGTTCGCCATTTGCCCCCCTCGCGTAGCTTCGCTCCCCATGGGGTAAGTCATGGTAAACTGCAACGCAATACATAAATGTACTCTATAGAATTTATATAAATCACATATATGTTTGAAATATGTCAAAATTAGATACAAATTAGTTGCTCGAAGTTCTAAATATTCTATAGAATACATCCGTTTTTGCTCATTCATTTCCGCCTCGTACCACAATACCCTAACATGGCTGGCGTCGCACTGATTACTGGGGGAGGTAAGCAGCTCATCAAAGACTGTAGTACCTAATCATGACTGACGCCTTGGCAGCATCTGGAATGGGACTTGCAGTTGCAACGTCTCTTTCAAAGAAAGGCTGGACGGTCAACATCGCCGATCTGAACGTGCAAAGGGGCGAGGAGGTAGCAGCAGAACTGTCGGGCTCCTTCTTCAAAACGGATGTCAACAACTACGCATCCCTGTCAAACACGTTTGATCAGGTGTTCAGGAAATATAATAGTCTGAACTTCGTCTTTGCAAATGCAGGCGTCGGAGAGCGAAAGAACTTCTATGCAAAAACGGATGCGATCTCAGGTCCACCAACCGAGCTGGATTTCATCATCGATATAGATCTTAAATCCGTCATCAATTCCGCCTACCTTGCACAGCATTACTTTCGTAAGAACCCTAAGGGAGAACAAGCCTGTCTCATTTTGAACTCTAGCATCGCGGGCATATACCCTGTTCGGTTCTGCCCTATATATACTGCTGCAAAACACGGGGTCGTCGGATTTGCTAGGGCTATCTCTCGCCACTTCTATGATAATGATGGCATTAGGGTTAACACTCTGTGTCCTGGAAACGTCAGGACCAACCTGTTCGAGAAGAATGAATGGGATGCTTTTGACAATGAATGGATTGAGTTGTCACAGATTGTAAAGGTCGTGGAATTGATGCTCTTTGATGAGAAGATGCAAGGACAAGTTATAGAAGCTGCGCCCGAAAATTACTATGTCATTGAGCCACTGACGTACAATGATCCTAATGTCAAACGTACGCTTGATGGAACCGTTGTGGATTCTATTGGGAAATAAGTTGTGGGAGACATATCAGAATAGTGCTATAAATTAAGTCAGTAGACGCAAATCTGTACTATCTCAACCTAATCGTTTTCATCATGTTGAACATGTCAGAAACACAACTAAAGCACGGATCTTATTTGGTGCAGTTTATCATAAGCGCGGCAAAAATACCTAGTCTGATAAACTTATCTATGCATTCATATACAACTCTATGCTACGTTTTTTTGTAGATGTAATAAATCACTAGAAAGTACAGACTTGCAAAACCCTTTGGTATCGTAGTGGTTTTCCATCGGAACAACAGTGGAGATTTGAACACAGGACACCGGCTATAATCTTGTGGGGCGTCGTTGGATTATGGCAACGGAACATGAATTCCGCGCTATGAATGACACTAAGACAAGCATGTCACTCGAAGAGTGCTGGTGCTAAAATCCACAAAAATTATAGTCGCTGATCAAGCTAGGCTCCTGTGATAATTTGGCATTTTACACTAACTGTCTAGGTATACTCTCATATTCTCCATGCAGCACAGTGGAAATATCCGAGCAGTCTTGAATCCCGGCACGCATACTGCCGTAGTAATCCGGCTTTTTAGAGGGGTAGACCGCGGGGTATTATTGTAAACACCAATCTTCCTTTCTCTTCTGTTTATTCATATCATATTGTAAAATTTTGGTGTTGTGCTACTTTTAAAAAATATCATCTACCATCCTCTCATATCGTAATATACTCAGAACAATAAGGAGCACAATGGACACCAATACCAACGAATATGCCTATACGTCCGACTTCTACCAAGGCCCGCCTTTAATTGACACCCTCTCTCACGGAGAAAGAAGCGGATTATCGTCACTGCCTCTACCTCTTTATAAACGAGGGAAGAGGGCACCCAGGGCATGCACGGCTTGCCGAGCGAGGAAAGTCAGGTGCAATATTGTACCGCACGGAGCACCCTGTGCGAATTGTAGCCATTTTGGAATGGCATGCATTGAACTTAAGAAAAAGACGTCAGGTCGAAGGTAAGAGGAAGACCTTCATTGAAGCGTTGAGTACATGGCATAATGAACACTGTTGATGACTCTCGTATAGATCGGCGCCCCCAAAAAGCGAAGCAGGTTCACCTGATTCTACAGTAGGAGAGCAAGAAACTACAGATATTGAAGATATAGAAAAGGTTAGCGGCAATGGCGAAATACAGACAGGCTTGATTGAAGAGCTTTCCTCACCTTCTTCGATTCAGCCAGACTTTTCCATAGGGACGGGTTTTGCATCTGATGCAAGTTACTCAAGTCCTCCCTTGCCTAGATTTTTTACTGCCTTTCCGTGTAACCTACGTTCCTCCGATCTGTCATACTTGCATTCGCATGATGCTTTTACGTTGCCAAGTACAGCCATGCAACTAGAGCTGCTGAAAGCATACGCCGACTTCGTCTACAACCAGATGCCTGTACTTGACTTGGAAGAATTATTGTTGATGGTGAAATATATGGACGACAAGCTGGACGAACAGAGAATTGATAGTTTTGCGTTCGAAAATTCGGGCAAGAAACAGATCAGCTTCTTGTTGTTCCAGGCAGTTTTGTATGCTGGACTTGGTTATTTGAGCACAAAAGCTTTGACGGAAGCGGGATTTCAAAGTCGCTCCTCCGCCCAGAAAATATTCTTCAACCGAGTATCAGTAAGTAAAAACCCTGTAGGCTACGTTTCATTTTTATTATGGACTGTCTTTCTAACAAGCCTGGCAGCTTCTCTATTCTTTCAACACCTGCGACGACCGACTATCTGTGATCCAATCGCTGCTTCTTATGACCCTCTGCTCCTCTACTACCGAAGCACGGCACTGGTTAAGTCTCGCCACATCATTCTCAAAGAGTCTAGGACTAAATTGCGATGTCTCCTCATCAAGCCTACCATTGCGAAAGAAACATCTTCGCCGCAGGATTTGGTGGACAGCCTTCCTCCGAGACCGCATCTTGGCTTTAGGGTTGAGTGGCGACTCTTGCAGAAGTTTCATAATCAATATAGATGACTGTCGCATTGACCTGCTAAGCCTAGAGGACTTTGACCTGGATGAAAACGTATTAAACCCCGAGACCATTAGCGCTGTCAGAATGAGGACCGATGCCGTACTATGCGTAGAGAGGCTTCTGCTTTGCTGGCATAGTAACGACCATCCTGCGTCGAGCTTTTCGTCAAGGGACACACGACTCACAATGGTATCGCAACCTATTTTCTGTTCTTCACTCGATGAATGGCAGTTCCCGCGACGAGAACATCCAACTACCACTACAACATCAACACCTGAATCTATTACGGATATTTCCACGCCAGACTTCGACGAGGTTATAGATATCAAAACTCAGTCTAGTTCTGGATCCGATGTAGACAGAGAGTACGTCGATTTCATTGAATATTTACAAGAAGAATTAGTTAAGTAGACGCGACGAACCTCAGAGCATAGACGGGGAAATATTTTACCTATTAACGGCTCCAAAAGCCTCCAAGCTATGTATTTATGCACTTTAGTAAGCTAATAGCAATGAATTCTAAAAATCGGTGTTTGGCACAGATACATATATCTACAAGTAGGCATCTGAACAGCATGCTGAGGATATATATAGATACATGCTTAGCATAGATATGCATAGCCAAGTCCCATTTTGCTATTGCTTTCTATAAGGAAGTTTCACAACTTTGCTGATGGTAGCTTCTTCTTCTGGGCGCGAACTCTCAAAACTCTTCTCAGAATCTTCCCGCTGGAGCTTTTCGGCACTTCATCGATCCATTCAATGCCACCTCTCAGACGCTTATGGTTCGCCACTCTCGCACTTAGCCATTCCATGATTTGTCTTTCTTTTGCTGCATCACCGAGACTACCCTTTGATAGCACAATATACGCCATTGGTACCTCTGTAGCTTGTTCGGGTCTGTAAACGCCAACGACCGCAGCATCTTCAATCTCCGGGTGGCCGAGCAATTTTCCTTCGAGCTCTGCTGGTGGAACTTGAAAACCTTTATACTTAATTAGTTCTTTGACGCGGTCTGTAATGAATAAGTTTCCATGCTTGTCCTCATGCCCCACGTCGCCAGTTTTGAAGTAGCCATCACTTGTCAAGGCGTTTTGCGTAGCTTCTAGGTTGTTTAGATAGCCTCTAAAAACATTTGGACCTTTAATCCAAAGCTCTCCTGTCTCGCCAGCTGGCAGCTCATCCCCATCCTCCGACATGTATTTAATGCTTTGATTGGCGAGAAGTATACCAGCGGAGCCAACAAACGTGCGCCAGGTGTCCCAAGGCTGTGAGTGGGTGGTTGGAGATGTCTCGGAGAGCCCGTAGCCTTGCTTAATCGGAACGTTGAGCCTCTGGTAAACCGCCTCAACTAGCTCTTTTGTTAATGGAGCTGCACCAGAGCTCATCATCCGCAAAGAACTCAGGTTAAAACGATCGATACTGGGATCCTTTGCAAGCTGGAGGAGGACGGGTGGGACAACGTAGGCCAAGGTGATCTTATATTCCTGGATATTGGAACAAAACTTTTCCAGATCATATTTGGTCATGACAATCAGTTCCAAGCCGTTGTAGATTGCCTGATGAACGAGCGAAGTGAGTCCTTATAACAGTTTAGCCTTGAAACCATGGATCTAATATCAACACTTACCGTAGATATGATAGAAAGGCAGGAAGCCGAGAATCCGGTCGCCCTTATTATCATGACCGCCAACCCAGCTGAGATTCACTCCCTCTCCAGCCTTCAACATCAAGATATTTGAAACAATGTTCACATGGGATAACATAACACCTTTTGGGTGGCCTGTTGTCCCACTACTATACACAAGAAATGCAAGGTCTGCTTCCGGGTTTTCTGGTATAGTTCGTTGATGGTAGGAACCCTGGGACACCCCCAACTCGCATATGTCGGTGACGTGTCTGATTACCGAATTGCTATCATTTTTCTCACCGATGAGAATAATATGATCTTCTTGAATGCCAGCAATCTGAGCCGCAGCACGTGCATTCTTTAAATATGCCCGCTGAGTAACTATGGCTTTCGCTCCACAGTCTCTTAACTGAATGGCCAGTTCGTTTGTCGTGTAATTTGGATTGGCAGGTGAGACAACTCCGCCAGCCCAGTGAGTACCCCACGTAATAATGGGAATGTCGATACTATTTGGTGTGTATAGCAGAAGAACATCGTTTTTGTTCCAGTTCCATGCTTCCTTTAAACCTTTTCCAAAGCCAGCCGTGGCGGTCTTCACGTCGCTATAGCTATACGATCTTGGAACCACCGGGTCAGTGTAGATGACTGTACGTCAGCAAAACTCAGGAATGTGTCAAGTTGGAACTCACCCTTATCTTGGGGAAAGTCTCTTGGTTTCTCAAACAAGAACGTCCAGACGTCCACCAAGGGAATGTTAACATCTTCAAATCTGTTGTTCTCCAATCTTGTTAGCATGCTCTTTCACCTGTGAAGATAGGTCATTTCGGTATCACATACGTAGACTTCGTAGGCATTTGTGCGGTAAAATATCAGATGCTGGGTGTGATACAGACAGGAACTACAATGTTGCCGTATCAGAGTTACAAATACAAGAGGCAGGCTAGGGATGAGGCAAGTTACGCGGAGCAAGCTCGCAAAGAAAATAGCACAACAAAACTTCAAGCCCCATTGCTTTCGTTCTCCATGAGCAGCGTCAACTACACAAGGTTGTGCACACGTCAGGGTACACTGAGTGTGTGGGCGTCCCAGTTGACTCCACTAGGTCGCGGGCCCATTTGCGGGACAGATATTCCGTCTACTCGCTACTTTCTCCCCTTCCACAGGAAATCAGGCGTTGCGCAAGACGTTAAGACAACTCCGCACATATTCGCCATAGTGTCCCAACCCCGCCAAAGATTTCCATGGGTCAGGCTCTTCCCCGGATTCACGGATTTAGGGTCCCTAGTGTCTGCGAACTTCAGCCACGAACCCCGATGGTTTAGCATAACCGAACAGCAAGCAACGTGCCGCATCATCCACGTACACGTGTCGCTGCGCCGCGCGCCGTTAAACATGCCCCTAGTATCTCAGGGCGAATTCTCTCCCACACAGATTCCGTCTCACCACTTAGAACAATTCTGTACACTAGTCCAATCATGGACTCCGCATAATGGGGTATGAACTAATGTTATGACTAGGGTTTCTTGCGATGTTTAAGAATTGTCATCCTCTGCTTTGTGATTCCTTAACGTTAGAAACGCAAAATTTAACAGTCAAAAAACAAATAGTAGACTATGGCAAACGATACTATGCAGGCAGTAATTTTCAAGGGCCCAAAGCTTATTGCTCTCGAAACTCGGCCTATACCACAGATCCAAAACTCAACAGACATTATAGTAAAGGTTAAGTATACTGCGTTATGTGGCAGGTAAGCACTGAACTTCCTACTGTTGCTGGTAGTTTACACTGCCTGTTACTAACTATTAAATAGCGAACTTCACGTGTTTCGGGGCCATCAAGCGACTGTGCCAGGCTTCATTATGGGTCACGAATTCACCGGCGTAGTTGATCAGCTAGGCTCGGACGTTCGCAACTTCAGGAAAGGCGATTTGATCGTCGCTCCCTTCACTGTATCGTGCGGGAAATGCTTCTACTGCATCGAGGGATACTCTTCTCGTTGTGAAAGGAGCATGTTATTTGGCTGCCCCGCTCTTGACGGCGCTCAGGCCGAATATGTCAGAGTGCCCTTAGCAGACAGTACTGTTGTGAAGGCCCCGCCAGGAATCGATGAATTGAAGCTTTGCCTCATGGCTGATATTTTTCCAACTGGTTACTTCGCGGCAACCAATGCCTTCACTGGATTGAGTGAGGCGGCAATTCAGCAAAGCACAGTTGTAGTCATTGGCTGCGGACCCGTCGGACTCTGTGCCCTTGTCAACGCCTTGAAGTACAAGCCAAAGAACTTACTCGCTGTTGATGGAGTGGAAGACAGGCTTGGGCTCGCAAACAGACTTGGGGCAGAGAGTTGGAATTATTTGACTAATCGTGAAGGGTTGAGCAGCCGCATAAAAGAGTTAACAAACGGTAGAGGGGCAGACATTGTTATAGAAGTTGTGGGTCTGAGTTCTGCGTTACGAATGGGGTTCGACCTGCTACGACCTTGGGGAAGCATATCTAGTGTTGGAGTCCACAACGGAGAGATTCCGTGGACAGGAAATGAAGCATATGGGAAAAATTTGAGAATGCAAATGGGCAGGTGCCCTGTCAGAAGTGAGTGTCTATTGCTACTGCGGTATCGTGTCATCGTTTTCTAACATACATTCGTGAAGGCATCTTCCCGCAAGCTTTACAGAGTTTATTAGAATCCCAGCATTTACTTGAGTTAGTCACTTTCTACGAACAAGCTAGCGCATTGCTAACACCATAGTAGCTTCATGACAGAAAATGTTATGCCTTTAAATGAAGTTGTGGAAGGATATAACTTATTTGATCAAATGAAGGCATCAAAAATAATCTTTCGAGTGGACTAATTGCCATTTGGCATGTTCGTTAAGTCAGCAATATACAAACCCCCTTGAAATAGCCAAGGTCATCATCGCAATCCCAACCTAGTCGAGTCTTGGGCATGAAACCCAATACTGTGATGACCAACGGTGATTTACCGTAAGGCCTCCACTCGTCCGTCGCGGAGACTTCTCGCACAATACTTTAGCTTGTGCCATTATATTAACCTCGAAAAAGCAAATAATATTTGGGAAAATCCTAAATCTGACAGAACTAAAATCTGACAATAATGAAAATGACTGCATTAGAAATGACAACGCTAGCTAAGTAAGCCTGGCTATATTACCAAAGCGGATGCTACTTGCTAACAAATGCACTGGGGATGACTGTGCTGATGGTAGTCGTGGGGGCGAAGTATGCCGTCGGCTCTCTGAGCTTACCTAATACGACGCGTAGAACGGGCGCGTAGAGCCCAGCGCGCCAGAATAGGCTCTTAACCCAGCCCAGAGAGTTCCAGCTTCCGACAGGCAATTGTCGCCTGGAAGAACGCAACAATCTTCCACGTGGCCGTCAAACATTTCAATGGCAAGATTTAGTATTTCCTATGGATCTGCCAAGATCATACTTGCAGAAACAGTAGCTGCTGGCGCATATGGGAAGCTTATTCGCGTTAGACAGCGCAAAGCGGATGCACTATGGTAGACAGCCCACGGGGACTTGGCACGGCCAAACTAAGCATGTCGGAAGGTGGTATTGTCGATAATCTTCACTGGGCATGTAATTGATTTTGGGGGGAAGCGGACTTCGAGCACTCCTTCACCTCGAGATGAACGCTCTGGCCGTGAGACGGAAATAGAGGCGGATCTATTTCTCTCGTCAGCCTTACAGGATTGTGAGTTTTGCTGCCATACCTGGAGAATGGTATAAGTAAGTTCTCTCCAGTCAATTTCGTTAGGCGTTAGGAGACATCGGATTCCTGAAATGGAACTCACCATGGGCCGCTCAGCTCTTTTTTTCTTTCTCTCCTTCCTTTTGCACCTCGCCTCAGCAGACATATCCGGTGATAGTGGACTAGTCAAGGATGCGTTTCCAAACCCAGTGCCCGACTATGCCTTTGGGCTAAACGATAGATCTCTTGGCAGTCGTCAGAGGGTCTGCCCAACACCTGGCCCAGGCGCAAGACTGTGTGATAAAGATACCAAATGCGCGGACGGAAGGTATGCCACCTTGGCACGAATAGAATAGACACAATTTCTAACATTTTTTTTTACTCCCAGCTGTTGTAGTGAATGCGGCATATGCGGTTATGGCCCCACCTACTGCGGTGAGGGGAACTGCACTAGCAGCTGTGAAGCCGTGGCTATGTGTGGTGTTTATGGCGATCTCACAGTGAACAATGGTGAATGCGGGATGGGCCTCTGCTGTAGTGCCTATGGATGGTGTGGCGTAGGTTCTTTCTCTCTCTCTCATCTCTCTTGTCTCCTCTACTCTATCCCCTATCCTATCTTTCTCTTTCCTCCTTCTCTCCCACCTCCTCTATCTACCCTCTTTCCGCCTTCCCCTCACCACTTCTATCCCTTCTATCTTTTTCTTCTTCCAATTATTTATCTCCTCCTCTTGCCCTCCAAGTCCCACTAGACGTCATGTTTAGCCAGTGGTGTTTGCTCAGCAAGATACTTATACTAATAAATTCGTGTGGGGTATAGACAACTGAGTCCCACTGCATCGGAACCCCAGATGCTCCCTGCCAATCCGACCACGGCCCCTGTGCCATCGCCGCCCCCCAAAAATGCGGCGTGGGTTCGGGCACGACCAACAAGCGCACCATCGCCTACTATCAGGCTGTCGGCTCGTATGGGCGGATCTGCAACAGCATCAAGCCTCGCAACATCGACACAACAAAGTTTACGCATTTGTACTATGCCTTCGCGTCGATCAATCCGGAAACGTTCGAAATTGCCGTAACGGACAAGGACAAGGAGATCATTCCTGAGTTTACGGCCCTGAACAAAACGCTTAAAACCTGGATTGCTGTTGGTGGATTTGATTTCAGTGAACCCGATGCGCCCACGCATACGACCTGGAGCGATTTGGTTTCCTCGGCGGCTAATAGAAAGACATTTATTACTTCACTGATGGATTTCATGGATTTCTGGGGGTTTTCCGGTGCCGACTTGGACTGGGAATACCCTGTCGATGAAACTCGCGGTGGCAAGAAGACTGACACTGCCAACTTTGTCCTTCTTGTGAAGGAAATGAGAGAGAGGTTTGGCACAAAGTACGGGATCAGTATGGCTATTGCTCCCGACTACTGGTATCTCCGCTGGTTTGATCTGTTCTCGATGCAACAATTTGTCGATTTTTTCGGGTTCATGACATATGATTTGCACGGATTTTGGGATGGCACAAATGCAAACATTGGCACGACAATTCGAGGCCAAGCCGGCATAGACGAGATCCAGAATAACACTGCACCACTGTACTTTGACAAGCTGGATTTTAGCAAGATCAACTTCGGCCTAGCATACTATGGCCGAGGATACACGTTGGCAAACCCAACTACATGCAAGGAACTAGGCTGCACTTTCACGGGGCCAAGCAACCCGGGAAAATGCACCAAGCAGAAGGGTGTCTTGTCGCTCACTGAGATTCAGCAAACGATACAGACCGAGGGGATTACACCCACGCTGCTCGGCCCGCAGATGATGAAGTCCATTCAATGGGCCGACCAATGGATTGGGTACGACGACGACGAGACCTTCGCCATGAAGAAAGCGTGGGCCGACGACTATTGCTTTGGCGGGACTATGGCTTGGAGCGTCGATTTCAACTCGGGGCCTGGTAATGGAAACACCCCCCCGACTACGACGGATGGAACCTGTGGCAAGGACCATGATTATACGATGTGCGGCAATGGATTTGGGAACTGCTGTTCGAGCGGGGGTTGGTGTGGCGATAGTGACGCCCACTGCGGCTCAGGATGTCAGAGCGAAAGCGGAACCTGCACTGTGAGACAGATCCTCCTAGTCCCCTTTACCTCACGTTCAAGCCCATCATATACTAACTTCTGCGCGCCGTAAAGCAAGGAGGACCAACAACGGACGGCACTTGTGGCGTTGGTAACAACGGCCTTGAGTGCGACTTATTCGAAAGTGGTCCATGCTGTTCTAACTCCGGATACTGTGGGTTTGGGAGCAGTTGGTGCGGGGTCGACAATTGCCAGGCCGGATGTGCCTACTTCCAATTGCAAGAGGGACTCGGGATTAAAGAAGTCGACCGGACCCAAGGACCCCTTATACCAGACGCCTCATGCTGGGATATCAAAGGTGTAACAGACTCGCAAGGTAAGAGAGACTCGCCGGTTTAGTCGGGTGTAGCTGCGTATCGCCCGTTCCCGTTCCCTGCTAACTTGCTTTGCAACTACCAGGCACGAGGCTCAATAGAGACATGTGGAAAAAAACGAATTCCGGGGGCGAATTTCATAGTAAGTAGTTAGCTCATGCATCCTAAATGATGCCTCGGATGATTGCTAACCTCTACGGAAGACTGGTATGAGGATAATTTTGACTCGCCCCAAGGCTGGCTCGAGGCACTTGCAAACCCCCTGGGCCTGGGGCAAAGCCATGCCACATGCAAAATTGACACGCCATGCGCGCGGCCGAACTGCAAGGACTTAGAGAACCAACAGGAACCTGGGACGGCGTGGAAGTACATGACCGTCATCTCGGCCGTGAACGTGAACCAGTATTTTCACAGTCTATGGGAAGCGGTCGGCAATGCAAATACGCGATTCGCCGCTAACGACTGGAGGCTATCTAAGACGTTTTGGCCGGTCCCCAAGGGTGACGTTCTGCTCGACACACTGGTTCTTAATGGACTTGCCGCTGGTCTACAGGCCATGTTGTCGCTTGGGGGCGGAGCGGGAGCTGTCGCGGGTGCCCTGACTGGCGGTGCCATATACGAGGCCATAGCAGAGATCCAGATGGGAGGCACCTCTCAAGATGATGGCGATCACGTAGTTGCGTTCCAACAGTAAGTCGTACGCCCATTAATGCTCCACCCTCGGTCTATGAACTCGACATCTGACAAGGCCGGTAGATTGACCGACGTAATATCTCAGGGCGCGCGGACAACCTTTGACAAGGCCAACGCTGCTATAGTGGCCGGGAATGGAAGTTGGCCAGGTGCACGCCAGGTGCATGATTTGTTCCAAGACGGTGACTGGGTGGACTATAGAGAGATACCGGTTGTCAGTGGCAGCGTGTCTGTCACCGATGTAGAGAATGCCTTCTTCCAACTCACTGTTGCCAACCTCGTCAACTACGCCTGGCGCCAGCAGGTCGTTTACCTAGCCTGCTACCCAATGTCGCAAGAAACTTGTGAGTTCCTACCTTGTTTCCCACACCGTACCCAAACTCTGTTCTGAAGAGTCAGGGATGCTAATATGTTGTGTTTCTTGGTAGTCGATAATACTGAAGTCAAAGCCGGGAACAACGAGGACAAGCTAAAGATATACTACGGAGGCATCGGTTGTTACTTCCAGTCGGCCCTGCCCAACAAGACGCTCTTAAACCAGGCTACCAGCAACTTTGATCCTCCCGGATGGAAAGTAAGTGCTCTTTGATCTCTTTGATTGTCATCATGTCCATATCAACACCTCCCAAGTATTCCCAAACTACAAAGTCATCTCTCTCCCAGCTGACCCCCTTTCCCTCATAGGAGCTTGAAAGCGACGATTACCCCTTTAGCACGCACGACATCATGATTTCTAGCATAGATTCCTGGGATCGGTACGGAATGGGCGAGGAAGACCGCAGCCGGGACGAGAACTTCTGGGACCCATTCGGGCCGGGCAAGGATTATAAAGAGGCATTCCGGAGCAGCGGCCTATTCAACATCGCCGTATGCATTCCGGAGACGTCCGACGACCCCAAGGCGGGCTGGGACAACCCCAACAGCGACGACACGCCCACCCCGACCGGCATCGAGACTTTCTTTGAGTCGCTGCATGGAGACGGTTCGGACAGTGCGTATCAGAAGTAAGTCATGACTTCAAATTTGACACTGGTGATTGGTAATTGAGAACGGACATTTTGCTGACGGTGGCTCTTTTAGTTGGTGTTATTGTCTCTACCGTAGAAACGAACGTAACAAGTCCCTACATGAGATTTACAAGGATAATGATTGGGATGGGGCCTGGTCAGAGTCGTGCCTGTCCGTGCCTTGGGGTGGCGGGGTCAAATGAGACCTTTTTGGTATTTGACAGAAAGGGGATGATAATTGGGCGAGTTGGGTGTAGAGACAGCACAATCTGATTCAATACTCGGGGAGACCATGTCTTCCATTCAGCTGGTTAGGGAATACTCGGTGGTTTCACCCCGCTATCTAGAGCTCAATAACTATACTACAATGACTGCATAATGATGAGGAGCTGAGACCACACCCAGAGTGTATTTCTGTCGTCAATAAAACCTAGTAACGTCACCTACGAAGACAGTAACCTCGGCATCAGCCCAATATTAGATCGACGAGTCAGTGCACTGCATTTGTGCATTAGATCGTGCATTCAATCGTGCATTGGATCAGGGGCTGGACAACCTAGTCTCTGTTAGCACACGATGCCTCTTCATACATTTGAAATCACAACGTTCCATACAAAGGGGCTGCGTCAATCGTATGTCGTATGCAGTCGTAAAATTTTACACACCTCTGCTCATTCCTGTGATTTTTAAACAATGTAGTCTCGGACTTGGCATACATCGGTGGGGCGGCGGCCTGATGTCTCGCATTGCGCCCTTTTTTTATATTGGCTTGCGCTTGGAGCGGCGCAGCGTGTTCGGACGGCTCGGGCCTATAATGCGGAGCCCATTTGGTTCGTTAAGCTCATCTGTCAAAGACTGATAGATCGGTTCCATGGCGAAGATGTGAGATACTTAAGAGACAAGGCGCTTGTCATGTCAGCTGCATATGTCTGGCGAACCAACTCCGCGGCATTCCTTCTCTTTCAGTCATAGTAGGTACTTGGCACAAACATTCCTCAGTTGCTACAACAGCCACCGTCGTCACAGAATCACACGTAATCTCCAAACTTTCAATGTGGGGAATATTATCATTATACAGTGCTTGCGGCGTGAACGCCTATGGCGTCGTCTGGCACCAGCCTAGGATTGGGCATAAAAGCCACGTCTCCAGGACGTCCTATCATTGTCCCCTCACTTGGCCTTCTCGTTGGTGTTTCCATCCATGTATTCCCACATTCCTCGCCACCTCTTGTTCATACCCCATATCCATGTCCATGTCCATAACCTCATATCTCATCCCTCTAGCAGCCCCGTCTATTGCCTGGCCTCGCCCCTGGTTTCACCCAATAATACACATGCTATCTATCGCGCTCAGCCAACGATGCCGTAAACAAAATCGTGAAGTTGCGCACATTGAAGACAAGGTGCTCTTCGTATATCCCTATAACCGTCAAGCCATCAAGGCGTTTTCTATCGTGAAGTGAAATAAATGTCTCCGTGCAGGTTCTCAACGCCGACTCCGGAGCCAGCGCTGCACGTTTCGCAAGGATGGGTCCTCGTCCGTCCAGCGGCCCATGGTGTAGTCCGAGTTGCGCATTAAATTGTATATGTTCTCATCGGTGACTGTCGCGAGTTCCTGTATTATCTCTATCAGCGCTATGTCCTTGTTCCAATCGTAGTACCTCTGTATCGACATGTGCCAAGCCAGAGGAGAAGAGAAAAGCTGGGCGGTATAGGAAGGTGGAGGAACGCACAGCTCGCAGAGCTTGGTCGCAAGACACCAATGCAGGCACATGTGATGGATCAGGCCTCATCCCCAGTAACACGCCGTCGCGCCATGCGACCCAGCGCATGGCTGCGCTTTGCCTCATACATATCTTCTGCGCCTCGTGCCGCCGCGAAAAACTATCCAGCAGCACCTGCGTCAACTCGGCCTTCTCCTGCTCCGCCTGGCCGCCTCTGCCGGTCGGCACGCGCGTGTCGGCCGCCACGTTCAGGACATGCTGCCCGTCCACGGCGCACTGGCGTAGCGCCGCGTAGCCTTCGGTGTAGAAGTCATCCGGGTGGGGAGGGTCGCTGGATACTGAGGCGATGCTGTGCTGGAGGGCGCGGAAGTCGGAGAGGAGGTCAGCGACTCGAGTCGCCCGCGCATCATTTACTGGCAAGTGGATCAGTCTCGATTGCTCCGTGCGGTGGCAAGGTGGCAATTTATGAGCATCTTGTCAAAGTTGACAAGAAGGCGATAAGGGTGGCGGGAAACGGGTGGGAGCTTAAGAAAATTGTGGGATACTCACATCCGTCTGCCATTGGGGCGATAAAAAATATATCCGTCAACGGATATACCGGTAATAGCAACAACGAGAGTGAGTGAGTATGAGAGTCAAATATTAATTGGGCAAGGTAATGAATGTGAGCAAAAGAATACAACAAAGAGAATTAACTTTTCGACTGGTTAATAGCCTGACAGCATTGGGAAAGAATGGATCCGCGGTCCAAGCTGGATATATATCATCGGCCCTCGTCGGCGACGTATCCTGATATGGTATGATTGGAATTGAAATTACCCACGACATGCCGTATCCCCATATTCGTGTTCTGTGGCTGGCTGTCGGATGCACAGTCAACGGCTCCATGATATCGCGATTCTGCATAGCACTAACATCCATAGGGCGATGCACTTGTGCAGTTGCAGAGAGGCAAAGTTGGCGGACGTTCCGTTAGGGAGCTCATATTCTCCGTGAACCCTACCGAGCTGTAAAGTGTGGACCACATAAGTTTGTCATCAGCGAGATCTGCAACCACACCGCATAGATAGCATAGGGCATTGTTGGGTATTGGAAGATATTCTGAGAGTCCGACTTGGCGGGTATGCACCGGTATGCAGCGGTATGGAGCAAGTATCCGATGGAGTGGGTTTTGATAGTTTTGATACCGCAGAAACACCCAGGGGTTCACAGGGCTCAGAGGCCGTAAGGAGGTTTAGACGGGTTTAGACAGATTTTCCAAGGGCTGGAAGCGTACAGAGAGGGGCCGGTGGATGGGGAACCGTCACTAATCCGCGCGACACTTTCTCGTTACGGGTCAAGTGCGAGCTTTGTGGCGTCAAGGAGCATGCGTCGGAGAGCTAAGCCTCACGATGGTGCGCCACAACAACCAATGATTCTCCTGCACGAGAGCAAAGTTTGCCCCTCGTCTTCGATGATCCATGTGTTGCGGCGGTGATGCAGGGGCTACCACTACCACAGAGCACATCGCAGTACGGAGCACGGCGTACATCGCACATCGCCCTGTGAAACGATCTTAACTCAGCGGTATGATCAGACGTGCCCTGTGCCCAATGGGAATCTTGGGCGCTGGGGCCAATGTGTCCCAGACAGCTGAAAAACGGAGATAGGGGGATTTTAGCCACAGTCCATCCATAGCCTTGTGGGGAACTCGGAGGCTGGTCTTTGCTCAAGTGGCAATAGCGCCCGTCGCCCTGTGAGTCCATATGGCATCTCTGGCTTCTTAGTCGACAGTCGTCGACAGAGAGGGAGCGTGGATCGTGCGCGATGTGGACTGGAGTTTGGAGGTGGATTATGACCGCGTGCGACCCATAGTGTAAGGCTCTCCTCAAGTCTCCCTCCTCGAATCCCCTCCAGTCCGGAAAAAGCGGAACGGTGGCGGCGAATTTTTCTCAGGTGTCAGTGGAGATGACTTGTTGATGGTGGCTTTATTGGAGGACAGGTATAGGCCAGCAAGAGCTGCGAGACAGTGAAGTTGCGCAGATCCGCGTCTATCGCCTGTGTTCTGGGTGGGTGGTGTAACGCGGCAGCAAAGTATTGACGTCTCGCGAGCCTAAGGGCCTATAAACGGGAGATCATATAGCAGGGTTAGCATTTCACAGATGAGAAGTCCGATCTCCTTCCTTTTGCGTCGGGTCTCAAGCCAAAGCAGCCAATCACCTCTATGGGGGCGCTCAAATGCAAAAAGGGGGGGTGTGTTCATGGATCTAATATTGGAAGTGGAAAGAAATGGAAGCAATAGCAAACGGCCTGCAACGCCTTCATTGATTTCGAATCTTATTCTGATATTACATGCCCTCCCAATCTGGCAAGAGCAACCAACGATTGGCTGAAGGGTAACCGTGATGCTTGAATAGCTGTAATCGTGGCGCTAATGCAAACTGGGCAACAAGGCTTAACGCCCTCACTCCACATGCTCGTCCCAATTACCTCAATCCTTCTCCGCAATGGCTTGCAGACGCTCATCAATCTCTTCCTCCGTCAACGCTCTGAAACCCGGGTCGGGCCCTTCCTTTCCGTCCGCACGCGGTCCGCCAGCAATGCCGATCTCCAACTCTCCCTTCTTAAAGTCCACGCTGAGGACCGTGCTGAGGGTAGTTATAGCCAGCTCGACAACCTCCTCCCAGGTACCCTCTGCGCTATCCTTGTTCTTGAGCTTCTTCTCCAAGTGGTTGAAAGCCTCCTGCTGCTTTGGGCCCGATGCCGTGGCCTTGTAACCGGTGTAATAACCAGCGGGGTCGCACTTGTAGAGCTGAGGGCCGTTTTCGAAGTCAAGGGATACGAGGGTGGTTGAGACACCATATGGACGCATGTAGGCCTACGAATTGTAAGTATCCGGCGTAGCATGCTGAACCGGCGATTCGGAGATATTGTAACTTACGCGCTGAGTATACACCTGGGATATGTTCGCCAACCTCTTGGCCAATACGTCGCACGGCATCTCGTATCCATACTTGTATCTGAACTCAGCAGCTTCACCACGAGCTCTCGTCACCCACGCCCTCGAATCTGCGATCGAACCGGTCATGACACATCCTACGGATGGGGAGAGCTTGAAGATATGGGAGACGGAAGAGGGATCGATGAGCTTGTCCTGCACATTGTGTAAGCTGAGTATCGAGTGATCGGGAGTGATGAACGTACGGGAACTTTCTTTTGTGATAATACTACGGCGCAGTCCTTCCCCCTGATGCCGATCGACATGATATTTGCCGCGGTGACAGCTTTGAAGGCATATTCTGTTTGGTGAAGCTGATTAGCTATACTCTCTGGAACCACGGAGCTTCTTTCGGTCGATTGTGGTCGGCTTCGAAGCGCTCCTTCTGATGATAATAAACAGATGTAGCTTACCAACTTGATACAGCCGTCCTTGGTCAGAAAAGATGGTGATGTGCCTGTCATAGGCGGCGCTGTCTGTTCATTGAAGTGGTCAGCCGTGCCAATCCAAGGCTATCTGGAGCTCCGCGTTGGCTCAACATACTGGACATCTTGACGTCTTAAACTGGGTTGAATAGCTGTATGGTGATTATACGTTCTTCGAGATTGTTAAGCTTGAATTCACTCGTGGATGGTTGAAGAGTGGCATTCAAGGTTGATAGCTGGGGTGAGACGTCAACACGCGGTGCCTGGAAGCACTGACGACTTGTTAGCGCCAAAGCTCGCGGCCGCGCGAAGCGAGGCTGCAGCCCGATAACGAAAAAAGTTGACGAAATTCATCTGAGTTGCCTCGTCGTATATTTTTTCAAAGCCCAACATAGGCTGACTGATTGGGTTATGAACGATTGAAATTCTTTGCGCATACTACACCAGCAATTATACTACCGACAATGTCCGCCTCCTCAACTTCATCCCCGCGTATCCCTGCATGGAAACGCCTGGGGCTCAAGCTCAAATCTGAGGGCGATGCACCTTCACCAGTCGCTGCAGCAGCGCCCACAGAATACGTGGCTGCGGAACAGCCAAAGAGAAAGCGCGCATCCGATGAAGCCGAATCTACACCTATCAAAAAGTCCAAAAAGTCGCTCAAAAAGGCCGAGTCTACTATATCTTCAACCCCAACAGCCGTGCCCGATGGTATGCTAGGCCGGCGCAAGTCGGTTGCGTTCACGCCAGAGACGAAAACCGAGGACGGTGACAGCATAAAACAGCTATTCAACTCTTGGGTTGCTCAGCAGAAGGAAATCGACCCTACCTTTGCCAGCAAGAACGACCAGCCATCATTTCAAACCCCCGAGCCAACCACCGTCCAAGAGAAGGTCGATACCACATTACCTGAGCCCGAGCGACGAGTGAAGCGAGTGAAGTCCACCAAACCAGAAGACAAGACAAAGGCAAAGAAGTCCAAGTCCAAGGTGGTGAAGTCGAAGCCCATCGATCCGGCACTCACCTACTTGACCCAGTTCCACAGTGACAAGTCAAACTGGAAGTTCAATAAGATCAATCAGATCGCAGTCCTGAAGAACGCCTTCGACACCGACCTGATCCCCACCGAATACAACGAGCCACTCTACGCATACATCGCCGGATTGAAGGGCGTTGCGCGTGTGCATCTGAGAGATCGCGCACTGGAAATCAGAGACAAAGACGTGGAGGAAGGCGGAAAAGGCTTCACCGATAAGATGACAGACGACCAACGGGCGAAGAAGCAGGAGGAATATGAGACAGCGATGGAGGAGTACGTTGCGACCATGACCTCCACGGCCATTTCATCGAGGACCGGCCTGGAAGAAGGCATCCTACTCGGTCTCAACGACACGGCGATGAAGGAGCGGATGACAAAGAGGATGAGAGCTGAGCACGTTCTGAATTTACTGGCGAGCACACCTGGTGACCCATCTGACTACGCGCCTGCGGTGGCCAACACGAAGCCAGTAGAGGAGACCAGGGCAGCACCAGTGAAGCTTGACGCGGAGAAACCACAAAAGACAGTGAGGAAGAGGAAGCAGAGAACGGCGGTGTACGAAAGCGACAGCTCGTCATCTTCAGACTCAGACTCGGACTCAGACAGCAGCACGTCGGAGGAGGAGAGTGATGGCGAAGGCCCATCTAAGAATGTCAAGAAATCGGACTCGGATTCTGACAGCTCAAGCAGCTCGTCTGGATCAAGTTCTGAAGACTCCTCGGATTCAGATGGCTCGGATGGCAGCAGCAGCAGCGAAAGCAGTGACAGCGATGACGATGAGAGTGACTGAGGATGGGATTTGCGCTTTTGATACCCCAAGAACAGTGCAGGTTGGGTTTCTTATACTGCAGGAATGGCGTCTGGATGCTGCTATTGCGAGGTTAAGGGTCTGATAGCTCGTATATACTGCGGGAATGGCGTCTGGATGATGCGGTTGCATGGTTCGGGGTCTGGCTAAATGGTCCGTCTCCTCCCTTTCAGATATATCCTCGACACATGATGAGATGTATATTTGTCCAGGGAATTATATTGGATGTGGGACATGGCATATGGATATCATTAGACTCGGGATAAATGGAAATGGAACCATGAACCTCAAATATGTTTTTCGCTCTCTCCAACAATGAATGTAGCACTATTTGAAAACACCAGGCATTGCTTTTATAATAATAATATCCAAGCAAAATAAACCAAAGGCCGTCAAACTCGTCTAGCGGGTATTCTACATATACCCAATTGTAAACTCCACTCCGCCCATCAACCACAGAACTCCATCCCATATCATATACCAACACTACCAAACCCAGCCCGTTTCCGGTCGTCACCTGGACCAAATAATTCTTCCCAGTGTTCCCCAAAATAGTATGAGGATTTGTGATTTTCGAATAGTATTCGGCGATGAGCAGTATTCGGCGTAAATTTGAAGTATTCGGCGAGTA